TCACCACTCTGCCCCCAGGACGCCGGGCGGCAACATGCCCTCACCTCAGCCTATGGGCGGTTTGTGCGACACATCGCCAAAGCACATCATATTGGATTCTCTTCAACGAGACCATTTGCCGAGGGGATTCGAAACCGTGTATCTTCTGAAAAGCTGGGGCAAACGCGTTGTAGGAAGGCTCTTCCGATGATTTCTCCTGAGGTGGACGTCGTGATGCATAGAGCTAAGCCAGCATTATCCATTGACTGATCAATGGCATAGGTGAGTGTGATCTCAATGGAAGTTCCAGATACGTACAGGATGAAGATTGTCGGTAGTAAGGTAGTCAGCGGAATGCGTCGATTATTTGGGGCCAGAGGGCAGCTGAGCAGGGGCACTGCTGATAATGGTTCGTTTCTGCCGTTGCTGTTGAAGAACCACTGCAAGTATTTTCCCCGCAGACTTGCAGCCTGAAGCATCTACCGAGGGTTCTTTGACAGTGTGTTTGCTGCTCTATATGGCAGTGCTGTTGTCCAGCCATGCTGTGCTCAGCCTGGCAATGTCCGGCCTTCAACTCTGGAAGGCAACCTTAGGGGTACACCGATACATCCGTCGAGCTCCTGTTGCAGCGTTTCAATATGCCGCACAGGATCTGGTCTCTCCATTCCTTGCGAGAATGACCCAACTTTCGGCGCCTGGGAGGCGGATCTGTGCCTTCAAGAGGTGGCCGTGTTTCAACTCGTGCCGATTCTTCGTTTCGTTCTCGAGGGCAAACTGCTACCCGGCAGTAGGAAAGAAGGAGAGTGCGTTGCTACGTGCCGGCTGTCCGGTCACTCGAAGGAATAGAGCCCCGTGAAAGTTCATGGAAATGGCATCTAGATATTGATACGCGCGATAAGAACGCCCCAAAGCCGCAGCAAAACCGACAAAATCACACCCCTGTTGGCGTGATGCAAGCGTTTCGTCAAAGATCTTGGCTGGGATGCGAACGTGTGTTTCAAGACAGCAACAGAGCTGTTACAGGAGACAACCTAGCCTGGAGAGCTCCGAATGCTGCGAAAATGAAATGCTTCGACCATCACGGACACGCCTTGTCAATGTGTTATTGTTGGCGAGTCCTCTTTCCACCGTAATAGCTCAATTTCCAGAATATCGCTTGGTGATAGGGGTAGGGCGTTTGGTCGGTGTCAACCACGGGAGACGCAACGGACTTCTCCGTCCCTTGATTGACGAGCACTCTTGATCACAATCACACGCTTGCACATGCATGTAATAAGCAACACAGCTTCCACTACTCGTCCATCTCATTCTAAGTTTAGGTGCTTATTATAGCTTCTGGAAACTAATCCAGAGCTTGGTTGAGTTGGGCTAGTACCGAGTGCAAAACAGACGGGGATGGTCTTCCTCGAAGAGCAACTAACGAAGATGCACTCCGTAGCAGCATCTTCAAGATAAATAGGCGTAGGGAATAAAGCTGCATTCCTTCTAGAGCCATTCTACTGCAAGGAAATGCACAGCTACAGCTGAATTGCGGTCATGGCCATGTCCAACCGCCTTGGCAATCTCGACTTGCGGGCCCTTGCCTTGCAATCAATGCATTTCGGGTCAGGCGACTTTTGTTTTGGCCCTGGGCCTTGACTCGACCTTTTTCTGGCCGTGAGCAGGGTACGTACCGTGCCTGGGGGGCCCCCCATTAATGGGGAGCCGGTCTTCTTTTCCCTCCTCTTCTTCGCCTTCTTTTCCCCCCCACCAACAGCCACACTCGCATGCAACTTCGTTCTTTCGTCGCCAACTTGGTTCAAGGTAAGCAAGCAGCATCTTTCCTCATCAGAAAGGGCATCTCGTCTTCTTTCAGCCTCCACGGCCTCTTGTTCGGTCTGTTAAATCAAACAAGATCCGCCAGCCTGAGCCAAACGGTAAGCCAATCTCCTCTTCAACCACTCCAAACCCATTACCTTGTTCCTTTCTCCCCTTTCGAGAATCGCACACACATTCACGCGCCACACACCCACCCTCACACTCTCACAAGCGATGGCTTGGAGCCGTTGCTCGCAAAAAAAGGAGGCTTTGTTTCCTTTTCTGCTTCTCTTGTCCTTTCTTTCTGCCCGGCCCCTCTCTGATTCGTCCCGCTCCTATTCCCGCCATCGGCATCTCGTCAGGTTTCACAGCGCCTCGCGAGCTCCCTCTCATTGCCCGCTGGTGCGGCCATCTGATTTGTCCTTGCCCCCCCCCTCGAACTCCCTTGCAGACGAAACGCGTTCGTACGTCCAGAGCCTATCGCTCGCCGTCTCCCCTCGATTCCGTCTCCACTAGCTCCAGTGGCGCTAGGTGAGATACCAGAATCAAACAGGGTACGAAGACGTGTAGAACCGGTCCCTAGGCGGCTTTCTCTCCCTGTCCCATCACTCTCCTAGCCTCTCCTGGCCTCTCCCAGCAGCTCGCAACAGCGGACTAGGTCGGAATCAAGTTAGCAGCAGCGTGTGTTTTTCTGTGCCTCTACCGTTCCCTCTGCTGTTCGGTGCTGCTTGGGTGCTGATATCGCCCTCGACCTTTGCCCGGGCCTCTGCAGCTTCAACCTCCTGCGGCTGAGCCCCGTTCCCGCTGTGTCAAGCTGCTTCTAACGTTTGATCCAGCCTTGAAACCCTCTCCAGACCGAGACGGCGCCATCATCCCATCTCCGATTCCCGATTCCCATCTCCAGCCCTTCAGTCTTGCATCTTCCTTTCATCAACCAACCCAATTCTTTGTCTTGTTGCCTGTGTCCCCTTTCGCCGATCCATCGTCCTTGATCCTATTCTCTACATACACCGCGCATAGCCCAGCCCCTCGCCCAATCCGCCCTCCACCGACTCGTCGTCTCGATCCTAACCAACCCCTCCCACCGCATTACCAGCCTATCTTCGAAACCGAAACTGAACAACCAGAAGCAGTAGACCGTCATCAAGCCAGAACCGAAAAACTTGGGACGAAATGGCGCAAGCTGGAGTGCAATCGTTGAAGGTAATCGCATTCATCTGCTCCTCTCTCTTCGATTTTTTTTTCCCTGTTACTTAACTGACGCCTCCTGTCTTTTCTAGTGTGTCGTGACCGGTGACGGTGCCGTCGGCAAGGTATGTCGCAGTTTCTCTATCCCTTCTGCTAAACTCTGGTCGACTAACGTATGGCTTTCGCGTAGACCTGTCTTCTCATCTCGTACACGACCAATGCTTTCCCCGGAGAGTACATCCCGACCGTGTTAGTTCCGCCTTCCGATATGACAGAATCACTCTGGGCTCGCGAACGTTGGTTGTTGACTTTGGGTTCTCCCATTACAGGTTTGACAACTACTCTGCTAGCGTCATTGTCGATGGCAAGCCGATCAGTCTGGGTCTTTGGGACACTGCAGGCCAGGAGGATTATGATAGACTCCGGCCCTTGTCCTATCCCCAGACCGATGTGTTCCTCATCTGCTTCTCCGTCGTGAGCCCTCCTTCTTACGATAACGTTGCCGCAAAGGTATGATATGCACTGCCTCCCTGTTCTGGCTTGGGCGACAAGAGCCGTGCATCTGACAATACACAGTGGCTCCCCGAGATCACCCACCACTCGTCTGGAACCCCCATTATCCTCGTCGGTACCAAGATCGATCTTCGAGATGACCCTGCTACGCGAGCCGCCCTGACCAAGCAACACATGGAGCCGGTCAAGTACGAGAACGTGCTCAACTACGTCAAGGAGGTCAACAAGACGAACAAGATCATCTACAAGTACATTGAGTGTTCCGCCCTGACGCAGCGGAACCTCAAGAGCGTCTTTGACGAGGCTATCCGGTAAGCAACGCCTAATCAACCAGACTGCTGTGGCCCACGGCCTATTTTACTCCCCCCTCCTGCTCTCTGCCTGTCTCGGCCCCCCTTACATGGCTAACATTTCTTGTTTTGATCAGTGCGGTTCTCAACCCCACCCCTCAGGCTTCCAAGACCAAGAAGTCCAAGTGCTCGATCCTGTAGAGGATTTCTAGCCGTGCCATATCGTTTTCCCATCTGTAGCATTTTGGGCAGCGAAGGCCCCTGCTAGATTTTTTCTTCTTCACGGACGATTTACACAATCTCGAGCCACCGCCGCCGAACGATTATCTTTTTGGGTCACCTTAGAACGGTGTACATTACAGAAACCCCCCCGGGACGTATTTCGATGAACTACTAGACCGACCCAGCATTAATGGAGAGCGGAGGACAAGACGAAGGCGAAAGAGGGTCGGGGCTCTGAAAAAGGAGATTTCTTTTCTTTTTTTCCTAATGATTATGGCTGTCCTGTGTCTTGAGATTCCCCCCATTTTCCTGGTACTTGTTGATAGGGATGCAGCAATCCGGAAAATGACATTTGTTGAGCAGGACGGCATGGTGCCGACGCCATCTCGATGGTCCTAGGAAGCTGCAAGACGAAGAGATTACTTTACCGCTCCATGGCGTCTGGCAAATTATAACGAATTTCATTGAACTCTGCGTTGCACAAGTCGTTTTTGTTTGTTCTTGAAAGACTCGTTTTTGACTCCTTGTTTCGATGTTTGACATCGCAAAGCTTCTTCGAAATTTCTACTTGATCTGTTCTTCATCTTCAACTTGCACTCATTTTGGTCTGCCTTGGTTTGGTACTGCCCATAGATGATGGCACATGCATTCATGAAGGTGCTGATATATAGGTAGAATAGCGATACTCAAAAGGTAGCGTAGCTATCTCAGATTAGCTCAGATAACTGGCAGAATGCACAAGAAAGAATCGAGGTCCATCCAATTATATTGGGGGTATCTTTCTTCTCCCCTCCACATCATGCTTTCCCGTTCTTTCCTCCGGCTAATCGATGCCGAATGCCGCTCCTCTATATGACGGAGGGATTAAAGTAGATAGATACATGACAAAAATGAAACAAATAGACCAACAACGACCGGAACGAGGGAAATCAAACAATTGAGCAAGCGCCAGAGAATGCGTCCACGAAAATCTTTAAGTTGGCTTGATCAAGCCGCGAAAGAACCTGGCAATCAGTGTCCAAGACCAGGGAGACGAGCAAGGCGGCTGGGGTGAATGTCCATTCTGGCCGAGCCATTGCTGCCGCCGTTGTTCTCCTCCTTGGCCGTCTTCTCCTTTTCAATGCGCTTGGCTCGGTTCTCGTCGAGCTTCTTGTTCTTCTCCATGATCTTGTCCTTGCGGCCCTGGCCCTTGCCGCCGCCTCCGGCACTGTAGAAGAAATATTGTTAATACAACTTCACAATAGGCATAGCTTTAAGGAGGAGTTTTGTAGACTTACGTGAGCTCAACGTTAATCTTCCTCGGGGGAGAGATGCCGTCGTCAAACATGGTATGGTGGAACTTATCCAGACACGTCCGCTGGTGCGTGGGGGTTGCAAACTCGACGAAGGCGATGCCCCTGCAGGCCTTGGGGTCCTCCTTCTTGGTCAGGCACCGAACGGCAACGGGCTTGAGGGAGGCGAAATGCGCCGTGATGGAGGTTGCGGTGGCGCTGTAGGGGAGATTGCCAACAAAGACAATGTTGCGGCCGGCCTTTTGCGCGGCGGACGGGTCGAGGTCGATGGCATCTTCGCCTTGTGGGACGCTTTCCTTGGAGGAGTCCTGGTTCTCTTTCTCCTTCCTCTCCTTCTTCTCCTTTTTCTTCTCCTTCTTCTCCTTCTTCTTGTCCTCCTTGTCCTGCTTCTTGGATGCCTTGTCCTCTGACTTTCCGTTGGTCTTGGACTCAGCCTCGGCCTCAGGCTTGGTCACAGCCTCAGCAGCCTGTGCGGTTCCCTCGTCACCGTCGACATCCATGCCCTCGGGCAGGTTCTGGAGGTTCTTGAGCTCTTCCTTCTTCTCCTTCCGGGACTTGTTGTTGTATTTGCTTTTGTCCTTCTTGGGCATCTTGGCCTTTCGCTCCTCCTTGTCCCGCTTCCTCTTCTCCTTCTTCTCCTTCTTCTTCTCCTTGCGCTCCTCCTTGAACTTCTTTACCCTCTTTTCTCCTCCCTGGCCGGCTGTCGCGTCTTTGCTGTGATCGGCGTCATCGTCGCTGCGCTTGCGCTTCTTGTTGGCTTGATCTTGGGGCACGTCGACGGGCCTGGCGTCTTCGGCCGATGCGGCAGCGGCACGTTTGGACTTCATTGTGCAATATCTTTAATAGATTGTAGTAGATCCAAGAATAAAGATTGATGTAGAAGATAGAGACTATAAAGTAAAAGGAAAGAGCTGCGCAATGTTTCGACTGCTTCCAGCTCTGCGCAGTCCAGGTGTGATAAGAGAAAAAAAAAAATCTCCAATCGCTCTTATCGCGGTTAGATTACCATAACTTCTTCTTTCGGGTCGGCCATCTTTTTCCTTATAGTGGGGCACTGCTGCCGGAACAAAATGCTACGAGATACCAAAGCAGACGGGAGGCAGACCTGCTAGCGCTGGCCGTCACAAGCAGGCTGTGATAAAGCCAAACTAGTATGTACTTGATAGAGGAGATCAATTATATGGGGGAGCTTTATTTGACGCTATAATTTTTATCCTCGACCAGATATGAAGATACTATTCTAGTTGAGAGCCGGAATCGACAGGAAACACTAAAGCTTCGAAACAGGGCTCTGAACAATTGCCATGAAAGTGTTGGGACAGCTCTCGGCCTTCTCAGGCTCTAATAGTTGGTGAGCTTACCAGGCACCTAAGTGTTACGAGTGCTGTAATTGGGCCGCTAACTCGCCGCGGGTTCTTCCGCTTGTACGCCGCGTTGACGCCACCCGCTTCTTTATCATCTTTCAGGTTATGTGCGAGAATGCCACGGCAAGAACCGCGACCTGGAGCTGCGTTCCATGACGTGATCTCTGGTCAACTATTCGGGACGTCTTCGTCTGTCCTCGTGTTCGGCTATCGAGGCGATAGTCTCCGGAACGAGTGCATCAGACAGATACGATGTCTCCTTTCGTTTTTTTCACCACAGTCGCAACCAGCCTGCCAATCGGGATATGTGCAACTTTGTCGAGGCAAGAGCTGTTCAAGTTCGGAGAGAATCCGCGCAGTGATACAGAGTAATAGATAGTCCCTTCCCAGAGAGTGATTCTTCGTCACTCATTGCCCGAATGCCGAGCTCTCGGCGTCATGCCCCCATAACCCTCAAACGTACAGCTCTGTTCGTTCCTGCCACTCAACCGTGCGGGGAAGCGCGCCCTCTCTATCCTTGCCTCTTTCCTTTGGAGCACGGGTGGATTTCAACTTACCTACTCGAGCAGGGCACTGAGATCTGAGCAACCACGGAGGACCTTGACTGCCGTATTTGCTTACCTACAGTAGGCATGATCGCTCTTACCCCACGTAAAGTTTAGGCTTTTACCCCGCAAATGACAGGGGCAGTAAAAACCAATTGAGTCCCTCGAGTTAGCGAGTCGGTGGATTCTGAGATTTTAGAGGCGGCCTAGAATCTCAGTCTGTTGAAGAAGAAAGCCATGGATCGGAGCATATCGTTGGATTGTGTGGGGAATCGCCAAAGCCGATGACCGCCTTGGAGACAAATTGGAGGAGGCATCAAGCATCTTACCAAGCTTACGGAGGACCTATTACTAGGTACCTAACATGACGGTGTTTTTGCTATCCAATCCACATGCACCTTATCGTGGCTATCGCCGTGATCCCGTCGGGTCATTTTGGACACATTTGACTCGCTTGATTCACGTTCACGAGTCAGCGAGTCGGACATTCGGTTACTCATGATAAGCGGCAAACCTCGAGAGACCTAGCAAATCTGGTTTAGCCTCTTGGAGTTGATTGACACTCAACTACTGGCGACACGATCCCCCATTGATCCGTTGGGCCAAGCTCTTAAAGTAGCGCCAAAGAAGGGACCAGCAAGCTTGACGCCATTCAGTTCTGGTTGCTGTGAGGACATCCCAGATACCGATACCAACTGCCAGGATTGTGTGTCCCATCCATGCTGTGCTAACCCCCATGGTGGAGCAGAATGATGAACGCATTGCACCACCATCGTGGGTCACCCCGGATTATCATCAGACCTCCCCAGCTGCGAGTCTTCCGCCATTGGCACTTGATGCTACGCAGTGCTGCTTGGCAACATTACATACATACAGCACAGAGGCCACAAGAATGAGACCGTAACGAGTCAGTTTCCAGGCCATGGAACCCCTTAGATCGGCAGGCTGCTCAAGTAGTACATCCTCGGTCTACTATATCATATGTTGTCCCCCCTCATCTGAGACACAGACACTCGTTTCCTCGGATGTAACCCTGCTGTCTACCATCCTTATCTCCTCTCTCGCATCTTCTCTTCTTCTCCAAGTCTCTTTGATCTGCCTCCCCACGTACCTGCCAAGAATCTATAGCGTTTCATTGTCCCCGGCCTTTACCTTTTGACCTACGACGACACAATGGATGCAAGAAGCCCTACCTCTGCCTCTGAAAAGGCAGAGGTTGAGAAGATTCAGGATGTGGCAGCACCACATACTCTTGGGAAGACAGGAACAGAGACGGCGTCTGATCCTGCCATTGGATCGTTTGTCGACGTTGATGAGCAGAAGGTTTTGCGCAAGGTACGGCATCTCTCTAACAAGGAGAGCAAACAGACGAACCAATTGACTATATCACCCTCACTAACAGGAGACTGGTGTAGATGGATATTCGATTAATCCCCATGCTGGCGGCTCTCTACCTCCTCTCATTTCTCGACCGTAAGTTGAAGATTTACAGCATCCATGACCGCACAAGGCTGTCAAACTGACAACAACAACAAAAACAAGGGGGAAACATCGGTAATGCCAAAATCGAGGGGCTTCAAGAGGACCTCCACATGACGCCGGGGCAGTACAATTGGTGCCTCACCGTCTTCTTCTTCACCTATGCGGCTTTCGAGGTTCCTAGCAACCTGCTCCTCAAAAAGCTGCGTCCTAGCCGCTGGTTGCCATTAATCATGGTCTGTTGGGGCGTTGTCATGACGCTCATGGGCATAGTTCAGAGCTTCCGGGGCCTGCTTGTGGCTCGCTTGTTCCTGGGAGTAACTGAAGCCGGCTTGTTTCCCGGCGTAGCCGTGAGTCTAGCCTTCAGCTATCTGATAGACTTATATGGAAACCTCATCTAACGCCGCAAGCATAGTACTATCTCACAATGTGGTACTGCCGTCACGAGATTCAACTTCGACAAGCCCTCTTCTTCTCCGCCGCCTCAGTCGCTGGAGCCTTTAGTGGCATCCTCGCCTTTGGCATCAGCAAGATGGACGGCATCGGGGGCCTTGCAGGCTGGCGCTGGATCTTCATCCTCGAAGGAATCGCAACTGTGCTCGTTGCGGCCCTTGCATTTTTCTTTCTTTACGACTTTCCCGAAACGGCCACGTTTCTCACCGAGGAGGAGCGTGCGTTTGTGGTCTATCGACTAAAGTACCAAGGTCAAGTCCAGACCTCGGCCGACGGGGAGATTGAACAAGCTCAGGTTGCACAGGCGGAAGAGTTTGAGTGGAAATACGTTCGTCAAGCCTTTACCGACTGGCAAGTCTGGGTCAATATTGTTGTATATTGGAGTGTAAGTCTCGAATCTGGAATAACTCTGTGGTCTGCGATGCTCATACGCAACGGGGAAAACGATAGGTTGTCTGCCCCCTCTACGGCATCTCCCTATTTCTACCGACTATCATCAAGTCTCTCAACTATACGTCTAGCACTGCCCAGCTAATGACTGTGCCCATCTACGTCGTCGCCGCTATTCTCGCCGTCATCAGCGCCTACTTCTCTGACAAAGTCGGGAGGCGAAGCCCCTTCATCATTGGCTTCCTCCTGATGATGATCATCGGCTTCTCCATGTAGGTGTTCAGCCTGAACTACTATGAAAGAACGATCGCGCACGGCCGTCTAACAATTCGATCCAGGTGCATCGCTTCTTCCAACCCGAAGGTTGTCTACGGAGGAATCTTCGTCGCCGCATGTGCCATTTACCCAGCTTTTCCCGGCGTCATCACATGGCTGTGCAACAACCTGTCAGGGAGCTACAAGCGCAGCGCCGGAATGGCACTTCAGATTGGCGTTGGGAACCTTGGAGGCGTAAGTTGGCGCTGGGGCTTTCATCTTTCCCTCCCGCTGCTCTTGACACTGGACCTCAGGACTGACTGCCTCGTGCGGCTAGGCTATGGCATCCAACTTTTACCGTCAGGCCGACAGCCCCCGATACATCTTGGGCCACGGCTTGGAGCTGGGCTTCATCTGCTTGGGTATCATCGCGAGCTCCGCCCTGATCTTCAGTTACTACACCGTCAACAAGAGACGCGCCCAGAGGCTGGCCGATGGAGAGCTGGCAAAATTCACGCCACAAGAGCTGTCGGCCCTGGGAGACCGAGCCATAACCTTCCGTTACATGTTCTGATGCTTGGATTGCAAACACGCAACCTTTGTTTCTTCTCGCAACTTGCAAAGAATACCTAATTACTAAAGCAAACAAGCATAAACGACATTGTATTTCTGCCATGACTGACTCGGCGTACTGCCGTGCATGAGACTCTAAATGATGAACTAACAAACATGATAATGACCACACTGCCCCATACACATGCAGTAAACAACAACATAAAATGGTGGCTCCTACAAGTAATTGCCCACTAACTTTGAACGACTTCCCCGTATAGATAAATCAATTCAACAACATTCCACCAACAAGGATAATGAGAAGCGCAATGGTGAACAGGCGAGGTGTTGCTCTCGGAACGCTGTTGACCAGCGCGACATGGGGGGCCGATGACTCCATCACCGCTCCACCAGACTGAGCAGGAGTGCTGTCCGACATGCTAGACTTCGTCGTCGGGAATCCGCTCTGGATCGAAGTGTTGCTGCTCCCAGAGACAACTACCGACTGGTTGCTGATGGCCGTCGTGGGCGTCATGGCTGTCGTGGGCGCTTCTGTAGCCGAAGGCGCCTTGTCCAAGACGGTCATGAGCACAGTCCCGGCAACTGTCTCCCCGGAACGGACGACCTTGACAGTGACAGAGCTCAGGGACTCATGTTGATGAGCATCGGTGACCGGCGAGGCATCTCTCGGTATATCAGAGGTGAATACGAGATTGGCCCTGGGTGTGTGCGCTGTGGTCACCGTCTCCTTGCCATCAGACTCGCGCGATGAAGTTGAAGATCCATGATTTCCCGCTGCGCTTGTCGTGTGTGAGGTCCGATTGACCTTGGCGGTTGGCCAAAGTGTGACTTCTGAAGGTCCCGGTGTCTTGCTGGGAGGTTTGCCCTCTGCTGTCTCTCCGGCTGCATTATCTGGTCGACTGGGGAGTGATCGCAACGTCAAGCCGCTTTGCCCGTACGATGGCGCCTGTGCTCCTGAGCCCTGGCTCTCCTGTGGTGGCTGTTCTCCACTGGGCTCAGGCAGGCTGGTCTCGAAGCCGGAGCCGGAAGAGTATTCCGGGGGTCCGCCGCTTGAGGGATCCGTTGCATCGTCCGATGGAGACGGGCCTGGTGCAGGGACTGGTGAAGGTTGAGGAGATGGCTGAGCTGCACTTGTGAGTTCCGCGGATTGGGAAACTTGGGAACCTGGGACCGGACCGCCAGACCCACTCATATTGTCTGCCGTCAAACATGTGCTGGATGGAGCAGCCGGTGTTGAAGAAGCCGGTGCGGGGGGGAGGGCTGGTGAGGTCGCTGGGACTTGAGGCTCCTCGCCTTCACCAGCGGAGTCACTGGAAGAATCAGACTGGTTGGGATCCTGAGGATCCAAGCCTCCGGTTGCTGGAGAGGCTGTTGGGCATGGGGACGTTGAAGCAGGAGAAGCTGGAGCGGCGGGAGAAGCCGAAGCCGCTGGTGAGGACAGAGAAGCCGGAGTTGGTGATGAGGCTGGAGATGCGGGATCGCTCCCGCCAGGGGAAGCCGAGGGTGCAGATGTCGCTGGAGGATCACCGTTATCCCCTCCATCAGTTGACGGTGAGGGTGCCGGACCATTGCCAGGATCCTGGGCGCCTGATGATGCAGCGTTTGGCGGGCATGAAGAGGTGGCACTCGGATCAGTTGATGCTAGTGTCAGCCGGGATGGAAGAGATGAGGCGCCATCAGCATCACCGCCATCGCCGTTGTCGCCGTTGTCGCCGTTGGTGTTCTCGCAGTCGCCCTCGTCACTTCCGTCGCCGCCATTGCTGTTATTGCCGTTGTCATTGTCACCGTTGGCATTGTCGCCGTTGCCGTTGTCACCACTGCCATTGTCACTTTCACCATTGCCGTTGGGACAGTCTCCGTCGCCGCCATCGTTGTCGCCACTACCATTGTCACCATCACCGTTGTTGTTTCCGTCATCGCCATTGTCACCTTGGCCATCGCCCTCACCCTCACCAGGGTCTGGGTTGGGGGCTGGAGACGGCGGAAGAGGAGGAGAAGCAGTCGACGAAGGTGGAGCGGGCGGAGGCAGAGACACGGTGACAAGGCCGTCAGACCCGGAGTTGCATTTCAAATCAACCGAGATGTCAAAGGACAAGGTCAGCTTGTCAGAATCTTGTGAGGATGGATCGCTCGGTGTGGTATAGGCAGCGGGCATCGACGGGGCGAACAGATCCTGAACCTTCTCCACGTTGGCGTGCCGGACCTCGACAGGATACAGTGGTCCAATAGCAATGCCCAGGTCGGAGCATGCCAGGATGACATGGGCAACTGCCGGACTGTAGGCATCATGAAGACATGAAGTGATGAGACACTGGAAGAGAGACTGTGGAAGCACAAAGTGTCAGTCCAAGTCTGAACAGCCCAATGAGAATTGAGGGCGACTGACATTTGTCATGAGCTTGTCTGCGCAAATGACCTTGAGATCGAGTGCTCCTTTGTCGTTTCTGATGTTGGATGCACAGTCGACAGCGCATCCTGTTGGCTTTGATCAGTATCATGAATGTGAGAAGAAAAGGAGAAGGGTAGATTTCTCGCAGTGACACTCACGAGGTGCCGGGTCGTTGGCATTGCAAAGTCCGAGAGGTATGCAAGCCGCCAAGAGAGCAACTGAACGAGGACGCATGTTGGGCTTGCAAGCGAGCAAAAGCAGGGGAGGGCTTGAGGGCAGGAAGATATGGATTGTCGCAATTAACGATAGTCACCAAGAAGGGGATCCAAAAAAGAGCGTGAAGAATGAGTTCCAAAAAGAGCGCGTTGGTGCGAAATGATGGGAAGATGGAGGAAGAAGAAGAGAGAGAAGAAGAGGTGGGAAATAAATAGGAGAATGAAATCAGTGATTCGCTTAGTGAGAGGAGGAAGTGGAAGGAAAGAATCAGTCTGGACAACGCAAAGAGAAGGAGGTTGGCGGAAGGCACGCAGATCAGGAGCAGAAGGGAAGGCGCCGACGGTCACTGAAGGTTCACGAACAGAAAGAGCAATTGTCTGTTGATTTATGATTAATGAGGAGAAGGCATGACTCTATCGCAACTGTGAGACAGAAAACGGAAAGAAAAGAAAGGGGGAATGGCAGAAGAAAGAGCAAAGATGGTGATGCAGTATGGATACGGGCTAAGCTGTGCGAGTCGGCAAGTTCCAATACTGCCTCATCCGTCAATAGAAAAGCAACGCCAGCGGCTTCTTCTCATCGGCATATCGATCCTTGAATTCCTTCCTCGCAAGGAATTTTGCAAGCGGCATCATGGTGTCCTTCATGTCCATGATGCCTCTCTTCTTCTGGTCGATGTGGGAGGCATCAACAACCAGGCGCTGCAGCTTGTCCAGGGACAATGAACCTGCCATTCATCAGTCAGAGTTGAGTTGCCATGAGGGATGGAGGTGTGGATGACTCAAGGTAGTAGCTTACCGTTGTCAATGAGCTCCATCAGACGTGCTGGCGTGCCGACACCGATGCCAATCTTCTTGTTCTGCAGTAGCTTAACTTGTTCTTCGACTTTCATGTGTTTCGCAAACTGGGGAGACACAGGTTTTGTGAGCAACGAAAGACCGTAGGAGAGGGACAGAGCCTGCTTGCAACTCACCAGCTTGGCGACCAGATTGTCTTTTCCTGAGAATTTCCGTACAGCTCTTCAGTTGCAGATGCCGTGTCAGCGATAGTTCGTTCATCGGAACAGGTTAACGAAAGCAGAATATCGTACCTTGTCAGATCTGCAGCTCTCAAACCAGCGCCGGCAACAATAATGGTATGAGGCATGCCGTTCTTCTTCTGCGGCCGTGACAAGCTCTCGGGGTGCTCTGAGAACTTCTCAAGGAAGTCAGGCAGCTTTTCCAGCGACCTGGTTTCCTGCCAGGAAGTGGTGTCTGTTATGGAAGATGCTGCAACATCAAGAAATCCTGATATCAGCATTGAACCATTCCAGTAGCTGAAGCGAGTTGAAGTATGTACACACCTGACAAGGCCAGATCTGAAAGCTCTACGGGGCTCAGATCCGTGCCGAATCTCGCGAGTTTCTGTGCGTGATAGTCCGCCAGCAGCTGGCCGTCCATCTTAGAAAACAGAGTGTTGACGCCGAGCTCAGTATCGAGGCTGTCGTCGTCGACGGCGTGCTTTGCCTTTCTCTTCTTGGCTTTTTTCACTGGTGCCGCCTCTTCGGCGGCTCGTTTCTTTGAGTTTGACATTTTCTAGTTCTTTCTCTCAGCGATTGAGTTGTACCGATGCTCTTGGTCGTGTTGACGGCCAAATAATGATTTTTTTCCTGAAGACGATAGTGGAACTTGGCCAAGGTGAGAATTTTGCGGGAAGCGTAGCACAGTGTTTGGTGCTGGGCAAATACGGACGCCTCCGGAGGGCGCCCCCACCAAGAACCACAGTGCGACACTGTATCTCACCGAAAGTCACCTACACGTCCAATATCGATGTATAAGGATTTTTGCTCGCTCTTGCAAAATCCGATCACGAGAAGGCCGTCCTAGATATACATGTTACCTCTCAAAGGCTCAATCGAGTCGCGAAATTGGTCAGTTTGATGGTTCAATTGCCAGGGCATTTACGGAAGGCCAGACCTATTCCTCCAAGGAGCTTATATATTCATATTTATCTTTTGGATTTCAGTTTCAACCGTCGAAGAGCAAAGGATCTAACTAGATAGGTAGAAGCATGTTGATATTATCTCCCAGTAGTCATGAATTTCGAATTTAATGATCAGTCCATCTTGATAGCCTCAACTCCCATTCCAAAAACGCCGTACCGCAAATGTGCCAGATGTGATGAAAAATAGTCGATGAAACGACAGGGGATTACGGCCCAAAGAGAAAAAGATCAAAGCTAAAAAGTTGCATCTCGCCGCTTAGAAGATGCTGTTGACGATGTTGCTACCAATCGAGGCACCCGCACCGAAAATGGCGGCGTTACCAAGCTTCTTACCAAACTTCTTTCCATACTCGCCAACCTTGCCATTGCCCGCACCGCCTGGCTGATTCGGCTGGCCGCCCTCTGCTATCGCCATAGGAGGAACGCTGGCATTGTACGGGTTCTGCTGGGCCGGCGTTCCCTGAGACTGGGCGGGATAACCGTACGTCGGCTGCTGGGGATAAGCCACAGGGGCGGGAGCGGGAGCAGGAGCCTTCTCCTGCTGTTCGACGAAGACGTAGTTTTGGGGGAAGATGCCCTCCAGGCCGGTGCGGTGGTTGCGGCCCATCCACCAGTCCTGGTTCATGTACTCGTACACGTCGACCTTGTCGTCCTTTTCCAGGCTCAGGTCGCGACCATCGCTGGCCTCGTAGCGGTACAAGGCCCGGGCATGGGCCAGGACAGGCCTTCCAGCGGGCGTACGCGTGGGCAGGATGGGGGCAGGAGTGTCTTCGTACGAGGGCGGCGCAGGGGAGGCAGCGTTGACGTTGAGGTTCTGGAAGGCCTGGACAGGAGGCGTCGCAGCCGCGGCCGTTTGAGCGGGGGTCTGGGTGGCAGAACGAGCCGCGCTGCCGGGCGCAGCTCCGCGAAGGGGCGTTTCGGCGGGAAGAGCGGCGTGGATCGTGTCGAAGGCAGCTTCATCGATGACGCCCTTTTCGAGGAGGCTCTCAAGCTCCTGCTCTCATGGTCAGTAGTTCATTCGGTTTTAGACTTATAGAGCATAGGTATCAAGAGCAAGGCAGCATCAGATTTTCTCAGGGCGGGCCAGCTCACATTCTTAATGGTTCGAAGAGACCGGTTGGTCTCCATGATCGTCTGGCGGTCCATGGCGATGCTGGTGGGCGTTCCTGCTGCAAAAACCGAGGGATTGCGCGTAATAAAGCTGGCAGCGCAACAGTCGCTTGGGCGTGTTCTGGCCTTCAGAAGTAAAATAAACCAGGGCCTTTGATTGTTCGAAGGCTTATACTGGAAAAAACGAAGGAGTGAGAACCGGCAAGGAAAGAGTCGTACTGTCTCGAGCGCTGGTTCACAGCAAGGGAGCGGTAGATGCAGGATGCAGGATGTAGGATTCCGAGGAGTGGAGAGATGCAACGAATGTTAGAAGGCTGAGCAGGCGGGATCAGAGAGAGAGAGCAGTTCCAGGTCCACTGGTGCTACTATGGCGGACCTCTAGGCAGTGAAACCGACAAGGGGGGGTTTACAGTGGGCTGTGCTGCTGCTAAGCAACGAATCATTACCCAGAGCGGATTTCACTTGGTTGGGGAGAGTCCGGATTTGGCACTTCGGGGTCTGGAGAGTGGCCGAAAGGACGAGCCACAGCACCAGGAATGACGACAGAAGAGGGAGAGATGGGCGAGGGGAATACCTAAGCGACAATGATGCTGAGGAACGAATCCAAATTCGAATGATACGAATTAAAATGAGCCATTGGAAGATTGAAAGGCGAATCATACAGGTTGTCATGTACAGGCGAGGGAGTAGCGTGACGAATGTAGGACGAATTCCGGACTCGCCACCTGTTCGGAGGCAGCCCAGTATCAGTCGATACTGGTCGCCAGACTCCGTGCTCTGCATACTACACAATAGAGAGTACCTCGCTCAGATGGATCCTGAAAGTTTGGAATCATGATTTTTTTCGTCCTGTCACTTACTCCGGAGCGTTGGATGGGACGATGCTTCAGTCATGGTCATGTCTTTATTTATTTTTATCATTATTTTACCATCTTTTGGGCCCAACCGGCCATCAAAAGCAAATCATCATAAGCTAGGTATATAAGGACTTCCGTCTCTTTAATTTTATCTTTGTGCAACCCCCATCTAAACGACAAATTTGCTCTCCTTGACGGCATACTTGTCAACGTACTCGTCGACAGTCATGGACTCCAGCTTCTTGGTGTCCTGGCTGAGCTCGACAAGTTCCTTGACAGTGGCCTCGGGGAAGTGAGGGGCGAGATGGCGCTTGTACTTGGCCAGGATGACGGGCTTGGCCTCCTCACGACGGAGACGGTGGCCCAGAGGAGCCTCAACAACCACCTCGGGGAGGACGGTGCCGTCGTTGAGCTCGACGGTCAAGGCGTTGGAAATGGTTCGCAGGGCAGGGTCGTGGTAGTCCTTGGTGAACTGAGGGTCCTCGACGCACGTAATCTTCTTGCGGAGAGACTCGACGAGCTCAGAGGTGGCAGCCTCGGAGCCGTCAACGTAGTCGGTGGCCTCGAGGCGGCCGAAGACGAGCATGACGGCGGACATGTACTGGATGCAGTGGTCGCGGTCGGCGAAGTTGTCCATGGGCTTAAACTGCTTGTCGATGATGCGGATGCAGGCCTCGTGGGTTCGGCAGGTGACGGCCTTGATGTCGGCGGCGGACTTGCCCATGGCCTTGAGCTGGTGGTGGATCTTCTCCGAGGCCTCGACGGCAGTCTGGGAGTGGAACTCGGCTATGAAACGCTTGTCAGTAACCCTGATCTGTATGGGAGGCCAGTTTTCTTAGACCTTGGGAAAAGGGGGGGGAGGGACAGGGGGAGGAATTGCGGAGGAGAACTCACCAGGATAAGACACCTTGAAGAGAACGTTCTCCATCACGTAGCTGCCGTAGGGGCGCTGGAACTCGAACTTCTTGCCCTTGAACAGAACGTCGTAGAAGCCCCAGGTGGGAGCAGACAGAACGGTGGGAACACCCTGCTCGCCCTTCATCACCTTGAGCGCCAGGTTAACAGCGCGCTGGCAGGCATCACCGGCAGCCCAGGACTTGCGGGACATGGTGTTGGGGCTGTGGCGGTAGGTGCGCAGGCTCTGGCCGTCAACCCAGGCCTGGGTCACGGCATCGGCAATCTGCTTCTCGCTGAGGCCCAGCATCTTGGACACGACGGCGGTGGAGGCGACCTTGACCAGCACGACGTGGTCCAGACCGACCTTGTTGAACGAGTTGAGCAGAGCCAGGCAGCCCTGGATCTCGTGGGCCTTGATCATGGCCTCGAGCACGTCTCGGATCGTGAAGATCTTGCCGCCGGCCAGGTTGCCGCCAGCCTTGTTGGTGCGGTTGACCCAGTCGGCAACAGCCAGGATGGCTCCCAGGTTGTCGGAGGGGTGGCCCCATTCAGCGGCCAGCCAGCAGTCGTTGAAGTCGAGCCAGCGGATCATGGCTCCGATGTTGAAGGCGCCGTTGACCGGGTCCAGCACAAAGGGAGTGCCGGGCACCTTGGTGCCGTTGGGCACGACGGTGCCGGGGACGACCGGGCCCAGCAGCTTTGCGCACTCCTTGAAGCGGAGGCCCTCAAGACCGCAGCCGAGGGTGTCGAGGAGGATCCATCGAGCGGTGTCGAACTGTTGGAGATGGCCTATTAGAAACTGAACATTGCGTCTCCTCTCTGGCTGGCAGTCTATTCATCTCTTGATCCCCTTCTCTCTTTACTCTCTCCTTCTTCATCTCCCCTTCTCTTTCTCTTCAATTCTTCTGCTGCAATAGCGATAGAAACCAATTGATGGCGGGGTCGAAGTGTTTTGCCTTGTTCAAAAATGAGGGGCATCCCAACAACCCCGGCAACATCTGGGAAGAAACCAGCGGAAACTTACAGCTAGCTCAGAGTCAATCGTCTTGTTGGCGACATAGTCGGCAATGTCCTTGATCTCAGGATCGTACTCGCGCGCAGAGGAAGCCATGGCGGGCGCCCCAGAAAGCTTGGAGAAGGAAGTCGAAAAGTTGCTGCGCGAGGCGGGGACTGAGGCCACAGCAAAGCCGGACGAGGCAAAGCGAGCGGCGCCGACGGAGGCCGAGCAGAGACCACTTGCGGCTCGCAATTGGACTCGCAGCTTGGTTGCTGACCTGAGGCTGCGGGAGATGGCAGACATTGTGAAGCCCAAGAAATGGGGGAGGAAGAGAGGAGAGGGTGTTTCTGGGTGCCTTTATGAGGAGACACTCTGGCTTTTTAAAACACACGATTCGAGGAAGGGGGGAGGAGAGAGAAAAATAAGCTTCCAGCTCCTCGGACCGCTTTGTGAAGGCGTTTGGGTATCTCTGCCAAAGCCGAGCAACTCGCAACCCCCTGTCCGGGGACTCCGCCATTTGGTGAAATTTGTTCCCTCTCCCTCAGCCGTCAAATGCCGCGCCGCTCCATCCTCGGCTAAACCAGGCCGATCTAGCAGCTGTTGATTGCCAGCATATGAATCGTGTTCCGGGAGATCCTGGGGTTTCCTCCCCTCTCTCTTTGGGCGCTCTTTTTGTGGGAGCCCCGGATCCGGAGCGTCGGCGGCAATCTGCACCTCGGTCATGGCCAGCCAAGACTCCGGGAGACGGAGCATGGAGTAGCTCGGCTGACCACGTCGTACCGGATTCGGAGGTGCTGCGACCCTGCCATCCGGAAGCTGGTGGCCGGCATAAGTGGTGCTATGCAGGTAATACTTGGAGTGATCGTGTACGACTATTGATGATTGCGATCTGTAACCTGTCTGTTCGTTGTGCTGTGCCCCCGGGATGTTCGGGAGTTGCTGATTCATCCTACTGAGTTGTGATATCACGCGCGTGCTTCACCAGGACATCACCTCAAGTCGAGGAGATGACTAGCAAGCGCAGCCCTACACTTCCGCGCTTCAGTGTTTGTACAAACCTCCATTTTCATGCATCTCCCTAGACGTTTCCTGTCGATCTAGATGCTTTCAATACGTGCGAAACGCGATCCTGGAATCATCTCTGCGCGTGGAGTCGGATTGAGTGATGCCGGGTAGGCGATTAACACACACTGACACCCGACGCATAACGCCAAATTCTCGGGCTTCAATGGACAAACGTACAGGCTCATATTATTAATCTCACATAAACAATCAAGAAGACGACAAGATCCAGCCCAAATGGTATCCCTCTCCAGAAAATCAAGCCTCACGCCCCGTAGCTATTTTGCAGTAGCAAATCCCATTCCCTAGCAGTGAACGCAGAAGCCTTCATATTATCGTTCTTCGTTCCGTCTCTCATAGTGGACATTGTCAAGATATGCAGCGCTCTGCCTAAAATGTTTGCGTATCAGTCAGTAAAGTGCTGATACGGCCTTTTGTAAAGGCGGCTTGCCTCTTTCTCACTTCGCATCCTTGGCCCAAATCAGCTTGACGTAGACGATGTCGACAACATGACGAGGTGTGAATGGGAATCATGTACGTCGGACAAACGCTGCATTGGCCCCGTTTTCGTAGCTTTGGCATGATTGTCGGCGAAAGGTTGAGCTTTGGGTTTGGACAGACGGGATCCCGCATGTTCTGACTTATGCATCTCTGGAATACTACGCACTTGACCCGATGTGGAGGATCAGGAAGGCAGTTTTCGTAGACGACCGACGCGACAGTATATAAGCACATGATGGCTTTATTATTGTTAGGTATGATTATGATAATGATCAAATTCCGGCACAGGGTGAGGATGTCGCACAGCTCGAAATTGGAGCACAGACTATCGTGAAGATCAGAGAGCAAACGGGGACCCAGCAATAGCGATCTTCATCCGGACTCTTATACAAGAATCGAGCAATGTGAACCTCAAATCGGCTGAACCTTAAGACATCCTATATAGCAGGAATCGAACCAACTCCCTACTCCCGGGGAGGCTTTCCCATCGCCGCCTAGCATCTCAACTATGCATGTTGTTTCTTTTCTTCTGATTCTCATTATCAATATGCAACTGTCTCTTGGAAATTGCCTACCGCACAGAATTGAGCGAGGCTGATCCTGGAAAACGATACGTCGCCTGTGTGTGTCTGTGACATCCCGCCCAAGGACAGCGCTATCAGTCACTTTCTCCCCCCTTCGCACAGTGACTTGGATCCGGTCATGTGTACAAGGTGAGCAACTTGAGGTGAGAATAGAGGGTACCGAACCCTTGTTTCTTCTTTCACAGATGGATTGGAGTGAAGCTCTCATGTCAGTCACTCTCTCGTCAACGCCATCCCCTCGTCATGGCTCAAGCCAAAGCTTTGAGCATGGATGGAGATTGCCTGTACGTCAAATCGGGAGCGGCCGAGCTATCAGACGTTAATCTAGCAGATGCTAGTGATGACATACAGGAAGCAGACATACCCTTGTGGCTGCTGTATGTTGCTGCTCGTACAAGCATGCCAAAATCCTGCCTGTATCAAGTTTCAAGTTTTGGGAGATGCGGAGAAGGGGGGTGTGCATGACTGGTTGCCGACCTAGACTGATGAAAAGCAATGGTACATGGCCCCGAGCCTTGAGTTGTCTTGGATTGATTTGGATGGACCAGCATCCTCATACAAGTGGTCTGTGTGGCCTTCATGCCTTGGGCCACCCTGAAGGCTGTCTGTGGAGTTCGCGGAAGCTTTCGAGTTGGATGTGTGGACCAGAGAGAGCTCCACTTCCTGCGGGACAGTGACAAATTGTCTTCAGTCGCTTCGTTGTTGCTGTTATTGTACTCTGTACTCTACAATAGTGAGACAGGCTTGCTGGGCTTGACAAAAGCTCAGAAGCAAAAGCAGGTCTCAAACGGTTTGGTGGCTAAGAGTAAGAGAAGCGCGTGACGGCAGAAGGTGGAAGAAAACTTATCTCAGAATCAAGGCCCTTCCACTATTCGTACGAAGGAGAATTACTCCATGCCTGTGGGGGCAGAATTAGCCAGTCTCGGTTGTATATCATCATGATGAGTTGTCATTCACTTGGTAGGTAGGGAGATGCCGTTGCAGTATCGTGTATGCATCCGCCAGTTTGCCTTTGATGAAGCTAGTGCACATGCCCTGGCTAGAGGTGTGTTAAAGTTTGCACAAGCTGGAGACAGCCATTGGCATGTTCTGGTCAGAGCAATTCGGCAGTGGTGTTTCGTTCCCCTTCTCACCGAAATGTGAGACTTACCCGGACTGTCTCGATACTCTCTTTCGTTATTAAGTACTGACAGGCATCTCATGCGTACCTGCTCTGTACAGCCAGTGTACGAGCATGGGGGATAACATCTTGCGGCGAATCATGAGGCGGCCAGTCAACTGGCCAAGTGGTAGCGGGAAAACGCAATGGAGCGTAGCCAGGGGTGAGCTGGTAATGATGGCTAGCGACTATTAAGTCGCAAATACCCAGGCAGAGATCTCTCTCGTATAGTGCCAGCTGGACAGGGACAGGGGATGCCAAAGGGCTCCTTCATGCTCTTGCTACTCCGTACACACCCCTGAAAATATGACAGTCTTGTCGTGGGGGGGTCCGCTTCGTCCAGATCCCATGATGGCTCGATGCTGGTACCACGAGGCGTCCAGTGACAGCCCTCGCAAAAGGCACTTTGACTGATCCTGGAAGCTTTCTCTTGGAGTGCTGTCCAGTATGGGGACAGTAGGGAGCTGTAGGAACTTGGTCTCGTCAACACAAGGGTTTTGGGTACACTGTCCTGTTCTAGCTGGTCTAGGAGATATTAGTAGTTGCAGCTACCCGTAGAGGACAGACCAGCTGCCTCGATGTTCAAGCCATTCTCTCTGCCGGAGCAAAGCAACCCCAGACAGCCAGTATCTCTCGTCTTGGCCCACTGAAGCCTTGGTGAGGAGGAGGCGTGGCGATTGGAAGACGGGTGGAGAAGCAGACCAGAGCTCTCTGGCGCCATTATTGGGCGATCGAGGCCGTCCTGGTGCGGAGGAGAGGAGCCAGCAGACTGATGCCTTGGCTTTTCTACCCCTGCACTGTTATGGCTTGGTAGAAGCGGTCGAGGTTGAGATGTCTCGTCGAGCGAGAACCGGATGCCGAACCATCTTTCAAGGTTCTCAGTAGGCACCTTATCGGATGGCGGTTCCCGTACATGGACTCAGTGAGAAAACAAGGCCTAACTCTATTAGATCGAAAATGAGGAGAATAATATTGGAGAGACACCACTGACTGTAGAAAGCACGACATCTTACCTTAGTCTAGGTAGTAGATGTACCTAAGGTAGTACCTTATGCAAACTGCGGCTGACAGATCTGAAGGAGGCGAGGCTCGCTTGGGCTTGTCCAGCTACCGCCCATCTCTTTTTGCCGTAATGTGCCAGGCTTTTGCCACAGCTGTATCTTTATCTTCTCCTAATGATTGTTACCTTAGTATATGTGCTGGCTGTTGATGCGTGAGGGGTTTTGATCTAACGCGTCCTGCTTGTGGTGATATTAAGTCATCGAGGATCCTTCTATATAGTAGTGAGAGCAGCAGAAGAGGGCATAAGATAAGGAAGTGTACCTTGAGGTAGATATACAAAACGAGGACAACTCACGAGAAATCAACTTGAAGCCCCTTAAAAACCACTACCTGATAACATGATACTAAGGCAGCAGATGATTCAAGCTACAGGTACAAGCGAGTTTGACATGATACATCGGCGGCAGAGTTTCAACCGCCTCTTCGGTGACGGCGAGGCGCATCTGTAGAAGTTGCCGGCGGTGTTTTTGGAAGGCGGGCGATTTGCACTTGCCGTGGGTAGAGCCGTGGGTAGACTGTGGTTGGAGAGGGCAGGTACGGTACGATTGAGGCACCTACGCCAAGGAAGCAACATTGGAGCCCACTGGGTACCAACGGACCTTAAGCGGTCAGTACCTTAGGTACCTTAGCTGTTAGGCAGTACCTACAGGTATTTTGGGCAAGAGATACTTCATCCACCCAAAGGAAGGTGCAATGAAGTGAATGCACTTCCGACACCTCACACCTGATAAGGTTAGAAGACGAAAGAGCCGAGTTGCAAGTGATACAATAGCTCAGTCACTCCTTCCCTCTCTTTTGTGCCCTGGTCGCACTTGACTTTTTACAGGCTGCGTTAGGAGCGGCAAGTGGGCGGCTAAACTTAGATACACACTATTACTGCCGCTAGCAGATCCAGCTAGGTGGGCTGGCGGAACCTCCCGCACAATAAACCCGGTACTTTATTGATAGCGCTGTTGGGGGTGGGAGCAGAGGTATCTCTTTTCGGAGCGTCAGGGACCGCAAGGCATGATGGAGAACATTGTTACCGAGGGAAGGCAAGAAAACAAGAGCTTGTGCGGCTGGTAATTTCAAACGAAATAAGCCATTTTCTTCTCATCTCCAGGTGCTATCACGAGTACAAGCTTCAATGTCTGCCGCCTGAGACATCGCTCGGCCCCTCCCACTCCCATATGCTGGACTCACCACCAATTGGCGTTTCTCGATCCAGATTTCTCTCCGGGGGCTTCGAGGATCGTAGCAAGGTTCGAGTCCCAGAACGTACCTTATCTACTTCATCTTCTTTTCTCTTTTCGTTGGCTTTACTGTCCCCTTCCAGCTTCGTGTGCAGGCCCCGTCACCGTGGGACACACCACTGATGAGAGGCCTCAGCCCGGAATCGCCGTCTCGGCCTCTTATTCGCCTTGAGCAGCCTCCACAGTCTTTTGCCACTTACTACTGTACGGCAACAACAAACAACGCCAAACAGAATGGAAGTGCAAGGGGGACTTAGGGAAACCAAATGGATTCTCGCAGGCAGAGAAAAACCTCATCTCGAGCCGAATGACTGCGCCCCTTCTGGTCTCATCACTCATCACAAACCTCCTCCACCCATCCTTCCGCAAATGTACCTATGCACAAGTGTCCATCTGGATGCCCAAGGTGCGTATATATACACTTTTTGCCTTACTAGGGGTAGATGCTAGGGCCTAACAAGGACTGCCAGTGCCATTTACGAGTCAGACATGGAGAAAGACATGCGCGCCCCTCCACACATTCAGTCTTGTCTTTCCCATCATGCTTGGACACCCAAAGACGCGGACATTTACTTCGTGGTCCCCTGCTCTGCCAATCTGCTTTGGACTTCTTGAGCCCCCGCCCAAGCACAACTACCGCTGAAACACGACCCCCCGCTAAGCCTGGTCATCGGTCTCAGTAGCATCATGACATGGTCTAGCCCGTCCGCTGTCCATTTGCCAACCTCAACGATCGAAGGGCGTGATTGTATAACTGCATGTAGCCGGCAGAGAGGAGCGTACATCCCCGGAGCAGCGACTAGTCCGTACAAGGATTCGTAGCCAAAAGGAAACATATAGGTGGAAGACCAAGAACGTCTCGCTCACTTGGCTACCGTTTCAGCTAGGGCAGCAGTAGGTACCAAGACCTCCCAGCTTCGCTGCTCCGTACTCGGTATATGGATCCTTAGGTGTAGAGGTAACGCCTTGAGTGTTCAGTAGCATCACTGGATACACAACAGCATATACCCTGCTAGTTGCTGAGTAGGAATTATCACCACGTTCTTCTCTCCTGATATTCCTCTTGGCTCAATATAGCAAACATGCTCGAGTGCCTCACGGTCTTGAGGCTCCGAAATGCTTGGGGAAAACCATAAAAGAGACTCTTGTGGTTGTCGTTATCTCTCATTCTATTCCCATTCAAGCCACATTGTACTGCTCTGAGCTTGATCGCCGATGGTTGGGGTCAACCTGTCAGGCATCGAAGACGCCATTATTTCGCCTTTTTTACTCCCATCTCAACAAGTACCCGCATATGGTACAGTTTAAGAATCATTCACCATCTGGTTAGTCGTCTCCTTAGCTGCCTTGTTCGCCGCTGTCAACTTCCCCGCAAGATGTGCTCCGTTTCCCGTCTTGTGGTCTGCCTACATAAAAAAGCTCAAGGAGCGTCTGCTGGTCCAGGCTTGCATTGATCCTCCAAATAGATGGCCCTTGCAGCATCATCTCCTCGTATAGCCTACCGCGGCAGCTCATCCCGAGATCTTCGCAGAACACCACCAGCCAACAAGCGCTTCCCGGCTTTCATACACCCTCTTCGCCAGCATCTGTGGACTCCTTGTCTCCTTGCCAAGGACTCGCGGCCATGTCTGGCGGCCGCATTGTCGTGTACCTCTTGAGGCGAGACCTCCGAACTGCTGACAACCCCCTCTTCCATTATCTGTCCAGAACTGGCGGCAAACATGGCTATACCCACCTGTTGCCTGTGTATGTCCTGCCTCCTGACCAAATGGAACTTTCTGGCTTGGTCAAAGATGGGGAGACATTCCCCTATTCTTATTCGCTGTCCGAGGTCTCGAGAATTTGGAAATGTAGCCCTCACCGTGCCAGGTTCCTGGCCGAGTCGGTCTGGGATCTGAAATCCAAGCTGGAAGCCCTCGGATCCGGCTTGATTATTCCGGCCGGCAGCTTCCCAGATGTCTTGGAGAGCATCGTCCAGCATTACGCCGACCACAATGATGGCCCTCAAGTCGCGGCTGTGTGGCTCACCGAGGGCTTTCTTCCGGAGGAAGTCATTGAACAGCAAGCGATGGCTTCTTTCTGTGAGAAAGTCGGAGTTCGGTTCACTCCGTTTCGCGACCACAGGTGGTTTATCGATAAGTATGTTGACCCAGCTGCGCCATTGTAAATCTTGCGTTGGAGGATGGCCTTTTCTAATGCAGAAACCTTGTGATAATAGTTCTGCATCTTCTACGTGGTCAATCATTGGCTTGCCCAATAAATTTTCAGAATTTCAGACGCGGATGGACCATGTGGAGGACCGGCCACGCTGTGCTCTTCCTACCCCTATCCCGTTCTCGTTGCCCCCTTTCCCAGATCATGCATCTCTCCCTGCCCAGCAGCACCCATTCGAGATTCCGGATACACTCTCAGAACTGGTTGGAAAATTGGGCACGCAGATAAGAGTTCACGCTGCTTTCTTCAAGGGCGTTGGCATCGATTTCGGGAGCCTGGCAGCGGTACGCGCCCCCAGTGGTGGGGAGAGGCTGGCTCTCCAACGGCTGCGCTACGCCATCAAGGAAGGGATCGTATCGCAGTATCACACCACTATTGACAACTTAGAGGAGCACGATGGAGGCTTCAATCTGTCAGCTTATTCGTCTCTTGGCTGTATCACCGCTCGGCAGGTCTACGAAGAGCTGTTACGGCTTGAGCAGGGGACTGAGCCCGGCTGGTCTGAAACCCCGGGCTTTGGGGCGAGAACATGGGAACAAAGGCACTTTAAGCCGAGATGCTTTATCTCGACTTCATCCGGCTGGATAACAGAAAGTACGGCCAGAGTGTCTACAGCCTCGAGGGCTCCGGTCGGGGCAGAAATCCGCACATCCAGTACAAGACGCCCAATCGTAACAAGGCACGTCCCGATCAAGTGCCTTGCCCCCTTAGCATAGAGGGCATCCTCGTACAGTTCAAGTAGGAGCCACCGGCTTCGGTCTCCTAGATGCCATCATGAGGCAGCTTCTCTCCACTGAGCACATGAGCGTCCGCTCCCAGATGCTTGCTGCCAACGTCTTGGGCAAGCTTGTAGGCGTAGACTGGCACTATGGTGTCGGATGGGTGGCGTCTCTTTCCATACATCACGACACATCTCTTCACTGGTATCACTGGCAGCACTATGTTGGGGTTGGCCCTGATCCCAGCGGCGGTGAAGTAACCGTCTCTCCTGCCCACGCCGCCTTCGAATTCGATCCAGATGGATGCTTTATACGGAAGTGGATGCCGGAGTTACGGGGCCTTACGGCACTGCCAAACCTATTCCAAGTAGCTACGACTCCCCCAGAGCTTCTACAGCTGCTCGGGCTGTCGACAAGTGTCATGGTAACGACACCGGTGCTGTCTGGTGCTGGCAACTGTCAACGCTCTAACCACAGGGGGTGCAGGGGCCTGCATCCTCAGCTGTTTAATCTCAAACTACCTCACGGACTCGAGATCCTGAGTCCCTAACCCAGATCTCTCCCAGTCGCCCGTTTAAGGTGTAATATCCCCATCCAGTCCCCGAGTCTCTCTTTTTATCCACCACCGCCTCCAGGGCTTCCGCGTCCTCCCTTTGAATTCTTATATTTACCTCGCCCAGGGTCTCGTGGCCCCAGTCAGGAGTATTTTCTCGCACCGCATCCGCTGCTTTTCAGATTTTTTCGACAGAGACACTCTCGGGCACACTACGCTCGTGCCTTGAGGTTTCATTTCCACCAAGAAAACAATGCGTACCATAGCTGAGAGGACTCCTATGGAAGACGTTGAGGCTTCCAGTCGTTTTGGCCCGAATAGGGACCTTCTTCTGCCCATTTGTGGCTCTCCTACAGCCCCAAACAATGCACCCAGCGGCCCTACGACAGTAGCCTCTGCTTCCAGAATTCCTCATGGCGCAACTGGAGGCCCTTCGGCCGTGACAACGGCTTCTCGAGGCCCGACGATTGTGGTCTCTGACCCCAGGGCTGTTGCAGCTGCCGCAGCCCTTCGCGAAGCACACAGCAGGCCTGCAACTTTGGCTCCTCCACCAAAGGGCCCTCGAGCTGAACGGGCTTCTGGAGCGACTCAAGCCGTACCTCGCATGCGTCACGTCGCGCAAATCCTTCAACACCCTAGAACGGTTCAGCGTCCTTCTGGCGTCGCTCAGGGGCCGCATGGCTCTTCTCAGGCACCGCCGAATGCTCCTCGCGGCCCCCGTGCGGATTCTCGGCCATCGAACGCTCAGTCAAATGCTCCACCAAATGCCCCAAGGGCTCCTCGTGCAGACTACCGGCCCTCCCAGCCTCCCCGAAACGCACCCCAGGCGCCTCGTGGACAACATTGGCAGTATCAGATTCCCCAAGACGATCCTCAGGCACACCGTGCGCAGAACTGGCAATATCAGGCTCATCGGAATGTCGTCCATGGAGACGCTTCGACGTCCCAAACTCCTCAGAACGTGTTCAACGCTCCCCAGGCGGCTCCCAGGGCTCCTCGAGCCATGCAGCAGACCCCTCCTACCACTCCCCATTGGACTCCCCAAATCACAGAGCCCTTTGTTGGAGCAACACATCCTACCACCTATCCATACAGCCTCTATACCAGCCCACCTTGCCCGACATACTATGGGCCATACGCCTTCAGTCGCCCTGCGACCTATCAATATATGGAGGAAATGCCCTACTATCAAGTGCTACAGGACTATTATCAGTGGCACGCCTCGGGCCCCAGTGGTGGTGGTCCATGGAATGTCGCTCCTCCCGACAACGACGAAGTGATGAGACACGGCATGATTCTTCGCTTCCTCGACAGCCTTCCTCCGCCTCCTACCAACCCCGAGTTTCCTCCCGACCCCCCTCAACTCTATCACAGTACTCGCCGCCGCCGTAGGAACCGGACTCAGTCCTCTAGGGAAAGCGGTGCCACCGGCCAGACTGGCTCTACCGAAGGGACAACTGCTATTACGCGCACTATTGCGCCTACAGCTTCCGCAGATGTCACGTCTCCCCAAGTCGCGCAAAGAAAGCCGTACAGACGTGGCGAGCGCGGTGAATCTGGCAAGCACCGTCGCGCAGCCGAAAACAACACAGATGGATCTGAGCGATCGGGCGAGCGTGGAGCAGCTGTTGAGGCTGTTGAGTTTGATGGCGCTGCGGAAGCTGTTGAGAGCGCGAATCTGGGCGACATTGTCGAGACTTCTGCGAACGGCCAGGACGACAGAAAGGGCGAAGAGCGCGATGATGGCGAGGACGGTGAGATTGACGATGAGATTGAAGACGACCGAGCCAGTTCCGCTACCTGCATGTGGTAAATGTTTGCGGATCACAAAGGCATTTGCAGTGGCGGAAAGGGGGGCCCATGGAAGTGCGGAGCGGAAATGGTGTGGGAAGTATCCTGGCTTACATTGCTTTGCACAAACGAGTAGTATTAGTTGATAACTGTTATGAGTATTGTCCTAGATAGCAGCCGAATCCCTACCGTTCACTCTGTCTCTTCTCCTATCTGGGTATTCAACCGCGAATCGTAATCCTCCATCATCTCATGCGCTGTCTAATCTTGGTCTCATCCCTTCATCCCTCACCCTCTTCCTCCTCTCTTCTCCTCTATCCTATGCAGGAGCAGCAGCGTTCTCCTCCGCACTTTGTCTTTGTCTTTCCCGTTCAGCTGCATGCCTCTCGTGATTCTGAAAGACTGCAAGCATGCCCAAGTCGTAACTCGCCTTGAGACACCCGGCCGTCACGAAAGCGACCCAGAACAAGCCATGGTCGGCCAAGGTGCCAGTCAAAAAGGGACCGAGGCTGGCTCCGACGGTCTTGACCACGTTGATCACGCCCATGATGGCTGTCCGCTCGCTTGGTTTGATCACGGCCGCTAGGAAGGCTGCCCGGGGCGCAACATCCATGCTCTGGCTGGAGGCGCGGAGCCACAGAAAAAGCAGGGAGAGACGCACGTCAGGGAAGACAGGGATGAGGGAGAGGAAGATGGACGAGGGTAGATGCGTGAAGACCATGGTCTGTTTTGGAAGAATACACAAGTTAGTCCAATGATTTATACTGCATAGGAGGACGAGGAATCCAATAAAGCACATACCTTGATGTTACCAAATCGCTTGGCCAGGGAAGAGGCCACAAGCATGGAGAGAGCCGAAGTGATGCTCGTGACAAAGAAGATGGAGCCCAGCTTTCCCTCTGCAATGCCGTAGCGCCAGCGGAAGAAATATGTCACCCAGGACCTGCAGTACGCAACATGATTAGCCTATGAGGGGGGTTATTGAGGTAAGGGAGAGAGCCATCTTACATGGATGCCAGACCAGAGGCAAACGCATCCAAGGCGAAAAAGACGCTCAGGCTGGTCAGGATGGCATAGCCTTCTTGGCTAATGTCGGGAAGAAGAGACGCAATTCGGCCACGGCTCTCTTGCTGCTCCTCATTTGCTTGCGAGTTGCCAAGCCCATTCCCCAAAAGGGGAGACGTCTCGTTGTTGCTGGCTTCTGCGCTCGCTTTGACGGCTCTTTTCGTCACCTCTTCGTCGGCCTCGACCGCGCTGCTTAGGAGCAAGGCCAAAGCGAGCTTGACCAGGCCGAGGACTGCATATCCGAAAAAGATGAGGCGGTAGGCATCGATCAGCTGCCATTCGAGGCCAGTGGAAACATACTGAACAACCCATCCACCCGTCATCAGCCCGAACGCCGTTCCAGCTGTGCCGAGCAGGCTGTACCAGGCATAGACATCGCTTCTCGCCGCCGGCTCCGTGAGATGAGCAACGACGCTCTCTTCGATGGCTCGAAAGGGGCCAATTTCGTTACCACTGCATGATTTGAAGACCTGGTTAAATCATGATGTCTCTCACTTCCCAGAACCCTCTTTGTAAAGTACTGTAAGGCATTGGATGGGAACTTGATTCCTCACATACCTCGGACTAATGACGCCGAATATGGCCGCCGCAAGCAAGATCCAGTAATTCTCGCAAAAGGCAAAGGCAACGCCGCTTCCCGTCATCAAAAGGGCGCCCAGAGCTAGAATCGCCTTTCTGCCCAGTGCATCGGCCACGAGCGTGAGGCAGAAGCTGATGCAAACGTCGCCGACCAGCGTCAGCGTCATGAAGAGGCCGATCCGGGTCTTGGAGATGCCCAAGGCCTGGAGGTAGAGCACCAAGACCAGAGTCGATGCGCCATAGGCGAAGAGGCGGACGAACCGCTGCAGGCAGAGGAGCTTGACGTCTGGCCGGCTGTGATGGAGAGAAACGAGGCCCAGCTCGGAGAGGATCTTGACGAGGAGCCCAGAAGGTTCCTCCATTGCTGGAAATGCCTTTCTTTTCCCCTTGTATGCCTTCGCTAATTAACGTTTCTTTCTCAAAGACGTTATGTTCTTGTCTTCTCTCTTTCTTTGTCCTTGTTCAATCCCACCTTTCTATTACTTCCCTTCCTTTTTCATCATCTGTACTCCCCTATCTTCAACGGAGGGTCGGAGGCACTCTTTATAGCCCGTCCAAAAACAACGTCAGAGCAGATCCCGCCCCACTGCGTGAACAAATGACCCTCGAAGATTCGATTTCGTTCACGGATCTGCTAACCACGGTGCAGGTGGAGGTAGCTCGGTGATAAATCCCATAAGCCGAGATCGGTCTCCATACAAGCCTTGCCGTTGAGTATCACCCATTGCGGGCTATAATTAGGCAATGTCATGGTACACACCGCTGCTGCACGGGTTTCTACAGTTCATTTACTACCAAGACATTTACTTGAAAAGGAAGGTCTTGGATCAAAGGCTGAACCCTTTCGCGTTCACCACTCATCAATCGTGTCATAATAGAAACAATCAATATTCGCACCTCTTTCAGTGTAAATGCTCAGCGTCACAACAATGTTCAACAGATGAGAAAACAAGGATAAATTGCGAGCCAGGGCAAGGCTTCACTTAGAGTCACCTACTTAGGCGCTGCTTATACCTGCCCTAGTAGAACTGACCTATCGGCCAAAGACTATTTCATACTCTACCTGGATACGCCTCAGATTTGCAAAGTCGGTCAAGCAAGTAATGTAAAGCCTCCCGTGAGAAATAACGGTCCATATCTGCAGCCGAGCTGAATCCGAACGTTGAACCTACTTTACCCCATCATCATTGCTCCCATCCCGTGCGATCAGATGACCTTTCGCCCTTTCTCCCGAAACATTCGAACCTCGCTCGAGACATCCCATGAGTACCAAACGTGAATTCACCCCGCGACAATTCAAAAGTTGTTCAGCTTTCGAGCGAGGCAGCTCATCAAGTTGACGGCGCGAGACAATTCTCGACCAGATGCAGCCTCGAACTCCTTGCGAAGATTCTCACACTTGCCGACTCTCCGCAGTCCACCAACAGAGGAACTGTGGGTGTGGCTAGAGCTGTCGCACGTCTCTTCGTCGCTGCTGTCGTCAACGTCTTCCCCCTCGACTTCTTCAACCAGGAGGTCGCAGTCGCTGTCACACTCGTGATCGCTGCCGCAGTTGCGCTCTTCTTCGTTCAAGTCGACACCGGCGTCAGCGTTGCGAGACTGGGCCTGCTTAAGGCGACAGCGATAGGCAGAAGAGCGCTCGAAATCAACCAGCATGATTCTATCCAGCTGGGGGTTGTAGAGCATGTTCCGGAGCTTTGCGTCGCGGTGGATGATGCCTGCGTTGTGGAGCTCCGTATAAGCTCGATGAGTCGACGTGACAAAGCCTCGGTTGCTCGGCGATCCCCAATAATGCTTGACGGGCCGACCAGCCCAGCTGAGAAGCATGAAGTGCGTGTACTCCTTAGCATCGTGCTGGAAGGGCAAGTTCAGCTGCAGGATACCTAGGTAGACGGGGATACAGCCGCCCTGCAGTTCCTTGAGCCGAGTGTACATGTCGCCCTCGCGCAAGAGACGGGACACGTGCTGCTCCATGACGGCCTTGACGACGAATGTGTACCCGCGGGAGGCGAGAGTCACCTTGAACAGGACTCCCAGAGAGCCGGACAGGTGAAGGAAGACGCAGTTGCCACCCGTGCTTCTAGCCACGGTGAGCTGGTCCTGGACGAGCTTCAAGAACTCGATGTTATCGAGATGCTTTTCTCCGTGCATGTGGACGTTGGGGCAACCCTTGTCCAGCGGTGCACCGTTGGTCAAGCCCAAGAGGCACTCCTGGGTGCAATACTCCCGCCGCTTGATTTCACTGACAATGATGCGGTCGTCTTTGATCCACAGTATGTGCTTGCCGTCGTCTTCGACAGCGTCTTCGTTCTGCGTCTGAGGCCGCTCAGATTGTTCGGCCTGCTGTCCAACCTCATCTTCGGGCACCAAGAAGCCGTCGGGGCAGAGCTTGAGCCTGATGTCGATGGCCACATACGAATCCTCTTCAAGGTCCTCGTCGACATCGTCGACATCGTCGAGCACCTCACTGTCGTAGTCATCGTACTCAGTGTCGTCATCTACCATCTCTTCGTCGCCATCGCTGCCATCGCTAGTAGCAGGAGAGGAGCTTCTAGCACTCGCGGGGCGCAACGGCATGTTAAGCAGCACCTCGCTGTAGTCGCTCTTCCAAACATCGAGATTGGCAGCCTTGTTGTGCCATTCATTGGGGATGCGTCCCGCTTGCATCGCCCGAACCATGAACGCGAATATTTGTCCCACTGCTGAAAAGTACACTCCTGATTCCTCTTGGGCGGAGACGTCGTCATCGGGCACGCTGACGTAAAAGTGCACGGTGGATGGATCTTCCTGAATCTCGAGGAAGATGATGGCTCCTCCGGTGTAAACGTAGCCATAAGTGACCCCACATCTGATCATGCAGTCATACAGCTGCGTGATGGCAGCGGTCACGATCTGCTTCGAGGAAGAGTCGAAGGTGAAGGTCTCATCTTCCTTGCCAATGACATCGCTCTGAGGGATGATCTCCTCAGCCAGCGCTGTGGTGATCTCCTGAACCAAGGGCAGGTCAGATGGCCTGTACTCGATTGCAACGGCGGGAACAGGTCGATCACTGTTGATGTTGGAGTAGACGCAGAGGCTGCAATGCCGCTCGAATCCAGGTAGATCATATTCGAAACTGGATTTCTCAACGGCACTCAGAGCAGGATCGCCTTCGAGAGGGCCATACGTCAGTTCGCCCTTCAGTCCGACAGCTTGTCGGAGGACAGCGTCGTCCATAACTTGCTGTAGAAGAGTTATGACGCCAGTGGACATGCCCATTCGTTCGTAGACGTAGAGTGTCATGTGGCCGTTGATGGGCTCCAGGGCGAAATATTCATCGTGGACCTCCTCGATGGAGGGGAACAGTTTTTGCAAAAGGCTAGAGTCTTTGTGCGGGAGCAGCGCCTTCCAGACGCCCCTCTGCTTCTCCATGAAGTCGGGGGACGGGACGAGCCGTTGAGGATACACTTTGCCCTCAGGGGCAAGTGTGGTCTTTTCGGAGACGCAAGCGTCGTTGGTAAGGCATTGTGCAGCTTGGTTCATGCTGTGGCATGCTGAGAGATACTCCCGCAAGTTCTGGGGAGTCGGCACAGCATCGCAATCATGGCCTTGCTGCTGATCTTGGCCTTGCTGCTTTTGCTGATGGAGAGGCTCCTGCTGGCTGTTGCCGCTCGACTCTCCCTGCTCTGGCTCAAGCATGGCCAGGCGAGCCTTTTGTTGCTCGTCTTTGTGAGGCGAGGTATTGCTTCTGATGACAGATGAGGCCATGGCCGTTGGCATGTTGTCACTCATAATTTCGGTAATGCGAGGATATCGCTCCAGGAGCAAACGACAGACGACAATGGAAACGAGGTATCAATATATCAGAGGTATGGCTTTTGCGCTTGAAGAAGAATCTCATATGTTTGTGCTGTGAGAGGTAGATTACGAGCGTGTTGTTGATAGAATAGTCATTTGTTGGATAGTGATGGGGTAAGTGACGAAGAGGAGGCGAAGAAGGGGAGTCAAAGAAGAGGAGGTAAAGAGGGGGAAATGAAGAAGCGGAGGTGAAGAAATGGAGAGGGCAGGAGAGGAAGAAAGTGAGCAAGAAGAAGAAGAGAGAAAGAAGAAACAAGACCGGAGAAACAAGTGGTCTGCGAGGGGTGGGAGAGGTGCCAGCCTTCTGCCAGCTGCCGGACCTGAACCTGCTAGCCACATACGCGCACCTGGAGTACTACCTTAGATAGGTAGGCATTCTACAGCACACCTCAGTGAGTGGGTAGTTCACCCCCCCTACGAAGCACTGCATCGGATCATCTCACTGCCTTAACTTGTCACCCACAGAGTGCATCAAGACTCCGGGCCTGCTTGCACCGATGCTACCCAGAGGTAAGGTAGCCAGAGGTGCTGAGATGCCACATACTGTACAGCTACTTTCCTCCCTTACTTGCTACACTGCTTGGGAAGATGCAACCCATATTCCCTAGACATCGAGGCACATATCCTGGTGCGTGGCTCACGGGTCGAGCGCTTGGAGGAAAAAGAAAGCACTGCTCAGGCTGCTCTCCCTTGCATGCGTGGAGGAGGGGGATTCCAAAAAGCATCCTAGAAGAGGTCATTGCATTGAGCTCCAGTGACGCTACGACACAGCACGTTGATCCACGATGCCCAGCTTGTACTTGTAAGGGCACATTGTCTGCTTGCTCTTTGCTGCCTCGGTCACCCATTGGAGGGAGTTTGTCACACTGAAAAGCCATCAGCAAACACCAGCATCAGTTAAGAGTGCTACTGTATGTTCTGGACGTGTGCATGGTAGGTATGCTCAGGTACTTAGGTTGTTACCTACCAGGGTAGTTGGGTAGGTGTGAGACAAAGGCGGTCCCCATGTGATTGCTACAGCGGCTATGTTGTATCCGATGCAAGTGGCATGTATGAAGGAGTGATCATGATATTCTTGCAGAAGAGCAAACTTGGGGAGACGACAACGGGACCAGGGGGGGTGGGCGACTTTGAGCTTAATGAGACAGCATACACCCACTACATGAGGCACATATGCACTTGTATGCACCTGTACTGTAGCAGCAGTATGCAATGCATCATCATAGAATACAAAGAAAGACAGAAGCATGACAGGCTGGTTCAGCGGCTCCACGAAGCTGATGCTACTGCATTTCACCTTGTCTTCACCCCCTGATAGGCATGATTTAGCCCGCGGCAGCTAGTCGTGCTCTCCGCTTCCCGCGTAACAAAATGCGGTGCTTCCGGGGAACAAGATTGCGGATCTCAGTTCGAATCACGCCTCCAGAGAGAAATGGACCAAATAGGAATGGTGATGGTATCTCAATTATGGAGTTGCGTTTGCTCTCATAGGTGCAAGGCGGCAAGTGCCGTCCCATTTGGGCAATGTCAGAGCTGGAGAGTTATTGCGAGGGCTGGTGGCGGCTAATTCCGAGGTGTGACTCGGTGGTTCGGCAACTTGATCTCGATTCGGTTGCGGTGAAGTGCTCTTAAATCTCTTCAGTTTGGAAAAATATGAAGTACGGAGTAGTCAAATCCTAGCTGGAGAGGAGTTCTGGATGTCGGATCTCGCTTGGACAATAAGGCAGGGGGTAGAGACTATGATGCAGCCAACATCGAGAACAGAGGGACGACGGGCAATATCTCCCGCTGTAGCCCATCATGACCGTATATTCTGGGCACCACAGACATTCACTTCATCAACTTCTAGGTATCATGTTTGTTGTTGAAGCTACCTACATTGCATCTCTGGCTGCCAGTACATTTGCCTGCTTGATCCTATGCGAAGATATTGGACGACCCGAAGACAAGCAGGGGTCGCCCTACCGCACAATTGGCCACCCGAAGGCAACAGTTATTACGACTTCTTGGCCAGTGTCTGTTAAGCTGCACTTGGTGTCCTCCACCTGTTTTCTCCCCAAACCGAAACGCAGCAAAAACACCACTCTACCCAATGATGGTTCGTCCAACACGAATCTTGCATCTGCCTTAAGCGATTCGCCACTGCAGGCTGAGGGAGGAGTGGGATTTTATTATTTTCATCTTCCGAATATCTATTCTCCGGGAATGCATCCTTCGTCCAGGCCCATCAAAGTCGCTATTATCCTGGGGTGGCAAGCAGCTGAGCACCATCATCGGCAGTGATTCAAACAGAGCTGCTGCTACATTTTGTAACTACTATTAGCCTCCCATCTGCCAGAACTGCTCCAGACTCCTATCAAGCTCATTACATGATCTTGCCATAATGGAAACAAGAAACGAGAAAGATGAGAATAACAGACGACAAGGATTAACCCCCTCCAGCCGAATTTGCCAAAGGCTCTTCTTCCCATCGCAAGCCTGCATGAATGCCTTACAGGCGAGTCGATCGAGTCGTGCCACGCATGTGCCAACGCGTCACACGAGCGGGGGCGAAAGCCGCCTCAAGCCTTCTATTTGCTGCAGAATACACCCATACCGGGGAGCGGAATGATTGGAGACAGGCAAGCCGATGCTGCCTGGACCTGCGCCTCCTTTTGGTGATTTGAAATGGTAGTTACACCGAAAACAGAGCCCTGGTTGCCGTTGATCATCTCGCCAGTGCCATCTCGACGTCCGAGCTATTCTTTGGTAACATGTAAACCGAGAGCCATTGTTGCTCCCACCTGTGTAAAGACGCGGGCTTCTACTCAAAAGGCCACCGCCAGATACTTTACACAACTTGCTGTCCACCATGGTTCGAGTGCAGAACCTCACGGCTGAGGTCCTACTGAGGGACCCGAGGCGTGGTCCGGCCGTTCCAAATAGAAGCGGGACGCATGCTCTCTATACAACTTCGACACATGTTCTCGGCGGCAAGACAAGACAGGACTTCCGCATCCTCGACATCGAAACTGGGAAATCGACGCTACTTTCGAGCGATCCCCGTGTCCACGATGCTCTCTGGATTCCCTCTGCGAAGCTCGATATCATCTATCTGCAGTCCGGGGAAAATGGTCGAACCCAGGTGCTGATAGCATCAGCAGCAGATGCATCTGCCGAGCACTATCTGGCAGCAGAAATCGATGCCCCAGTGTCGAACCTGAAGCTGAGAGCGTTGGACAATGGCAGCGTCGCATTCGTAGTCACTGCTCTTGTTGGCGAGTCCGGCTTGTACAACCAAGAGGCCGCCCAGAAAGGATCAACAGCGAGAGTCTACGATGCCGAAATCCCTATCGTTGAGTCACCTCTTGACGTTCTCGGACATGCTACGTATGCTAACCGGTGCATACAGTGGAATGCCTCATGTAGGCCCAACAGATGCAGCCTCTGGTATAACGAGCTCGCCCTTCGCAACGGCCGCTGGGAGCTTCAAGGAGAGATCTTCAACTTGGTTGACGACATAGATCTGGAAGCTCCATCTCGCACCTATACCGACGCGCCTTGCAACGACTTTGACATCTGCCGGAATGGAATTGCCTTTGTCTCGCGGAATTTGAGGGAGCGTGGGCCAGATGGAAGCCCGGCCATGTCCGTCTACTTCGTACGCCTGGATTCCTTTTCTATGCCACCAGATGGCATGCCCAGACAGATATTCATACCCACTTCCTCCGAGCCCGCCTCCATCACGAATGTGCGATTCACGCCGGATTCTTCGAGCATTGGCTTCCTCTACACAGCCCATGACGACCCCTACAACACTCGGCTATTTCTGGCTTCCGTTCACTCGCTCGACGCCTTTGACGTCTTCAGCCTCGTGACCAGTGTCGATGACGAAGAGGACAACCCGCCAAGGGCCTTCGAGTTTGCCGGTAGCTCTGATTCGGTGATTCTACAAAGCCACCAGCTGGGTCACCAGACCCTTTCCCGTCTCATGCTGTATGACGGGGCCAAGCCGCAGACGTTCTTCACGGGCAGCAGCTGTAGTGCCTTCTATCCCTTGAGGGAGGGAGATTGGAGTGTTCTTCTGGCCACGTCGTCCAGTTTTGTCGACAGCAGCCTGTGGCAGATTGTGGATGTTTCGGAGGCCAATATCGTACGAACCATATCATCTGCGACCAAGAGCGGCGCCAAGTTTGACCTTTCATTCAATATGGTGACAGAGCTTTGGTACGAGGGCGCAAACGGCTACTTTGTTCATTGCTGGATGATACGACCGCGTGATTTCGACGAGAGCAAAAAGTATCCTTGGGTCTTGGTACCACACGGCAGCCCAGGCATGGCTTGGAACAACGAATGGTCGACAACGGCAAGTGTAAACGCATCACTGACGATGGTGATTCCCCCGCTGGTGTGTTTGTGCTAACTGTTGCTTTGTAGAACAACTTCGCCGCTTGGGCAGCACAGGGGTACGTCGTTGTACTACCTAATCTTTCGGGCAGCAGTGGATACGGACTGGAGTTCACAAGACGTACGTTTCATCTAATAGGGCGGCAATTACTTGTCTCTGACTCGGTATCTATAGGAATCCGCAGCCAGAGGGGAGACAAGCCTTTCCAGGACCTCCTCAGCTTGATTACGTACTTGGAGGGGGTGCCTTATCTCGACGAGTCCAAGGCTACTGTGTTGGGAAGCAGTAGTGCTGCATATCTGTTGAACAAGCTACTAGGACACGATGTCGCCAAAAAGGTGAGCTTACCAACTTCCAAAACATAACCAGAAGCATCAGAAGAGAAGAGAACATGGGGGAGAACAAAATCTTCGACTTCGGCTATGTGAGACTGTAGTCTTGACTGACTTGAGTCGCTGTTCCAGTTCTGCTGCGCAGTATATCAGAGCGGAACAATCGATCCTCCCGTGCCTCGTTCGCGCAAAGAGCCCGCCTTTGAGAGCTTCGACCAGCTCAACTCATCGTACCCGCATATGGACCTCGATTCATACGAGAATGACATGGCTCGATCGACCTTCTTTCACGGCTGGAACAACGCGCCACCAACCCTCATCATACACGGGGAGAAGGACAAACAATGCTCCATCACCGAGGCACTGACGGCGTTCAACTCGCTGCAGGCTCAGGGCACTCCTAGTCGGCTCTTGACGTTCCCTGATGAGGGTCACGTCACGACCAAGCCCGAGAACACGCTGATGTGGTACGATGTGGTATGGGAGTGGGTGAGGAAGTGCACCGATGGTGATATTGAGAGACAAGATATTTCTTGAATGCCATATAGTCTGATGCTTGATGACATGGTGTATGGGCTCAGTGTGAGTCTGTCAGTGTGAGCCTGTTGTATCAACTGCAAGCGTGAAAAGGAGGGTTGCTCTTCAAATGCGTATGGGTCGGACTGCCCTTTTTTACGACAACTTCAAACCGGAGAAATGATCGGAATCGCATTCTCTGGAGATTAGGTAGGTGTTGATCAATCTTTATTCTGCTATTTCCTCTTGGCTTCCAGGTCACAAACTCCAAATGCCATCAACGGGGCCGGACTGAATCATGCCCAGTGCTATAATACAACACAACGACAAGATTACACTCCGTAGTCCCTGTCCTTGTCTTTGATGGGGAAATCAGTCCCCGTTGTACCCTTGTACTGGCCTCGAATAAAGTCCGAGATGGCCTCGTCCTTTGCCTGCTCTGCCGCCGTCTCATTGCTCTGATCACCCTGGCCGAGAACCTTTTCCTGCACGAAGTCGACAGCTAGAGGGAAAAAAAGCCTCGAGTTAGCAGACGTGAAGCAAATATCACTGGATGGTCCTTTGGGGAAAACTTACCCTTGTCGAGCATGTCCTCGTTTTGCTCGCCTTTGGCTCCTCCTCCGGCCATGTTGTTCACCTTGTCCATGAAACCGCCGCCGCTTTGCTCTTGGTTGGCGCTGTTGCTGTTTCCTTGTGTGTTGTTCCCTGCCTCGTTTGAGGAGCCGGTGAACTTGTTGAGAAAGCTGGACATGGTTGCGACTGAGGGTATGTTGGATCTTTGAATGGATGAGTCCGGAGAGGATGCAGGTTCAAACAGTCGAGGTGAGGAGGTGTTTTGGTAGTCTTGTAGAGGAATCTTTCTGTGCGAGGAATTGCAAGGTGAGCAGTGCAAGCTGAGGAGAGTGCCGAAAATAAATAACTAATGAGGACGAAGCTGAAATCAAGGTTGAGGATAAAGTTGTGTGTAACCAGGGAAAACAAGCATCACGTCACAGACGTCATACATACACACGGATCGCCAGAGGATCGATTGCCACTGCCTAGAATCGTCGCTAGTTTGCAGATTCCCGATCACGCCTGGTGCACGTTGGACTGGATTTTGTGCAGAGATGCTTGCCAGGGAACCAACGACTGGTACTTCGTTTCTTGAAAGCCCGAATCATTGCAGTAAAAGCAGAAGGAAATCCCCGGATTCTTGGCGCCATGTGTGCGATGGTGATTTGCCTCTCGAGAAGATGAGCCACGATGGTCCTGAAACTTACCTACCTACGTACCCAACCTACCTTACCTTACCTTACCTTACCTTGCACTAGATGACACAGTACGGGCAGTTTCCGTATCTATAAGTAGTCACCCATTCATTCTTCAACATCCTTTATACTGGGCCATAGATAACGCGAGATTCTTAGGCTACACGGCAACCAACAATCTACGAGCTGGTTGTAGTACTGTAGACGATAATGCCCAGCCGAATCTCCAGCATTAGCCGAAAGGATCAGCTTCCATCACCACCATCAACAGCTGAAGTCATACTAGCACACACCTGGCAGGTAGGTAAGCATAAAGAGAGGGGCCAACGTCACCCTCCCTGCACACCTACCGATGCTGTAACCTAATCGCAGAGTCGTATTCTAGATCAATAGCTTAGCGGCTGGACCTTGTCATATTGTTTATTAGTCCTCCGAATCCCCTCCCTTTCCCAGACCCTTGTCTTCGTTCAAGGTAAGCTGCCATCGGGCGATCATCTCGGCTTGACAAGCGGTCACGTATCTGCTCTCCCTGGTCTACCATGTCTAATTCATCTGTCATTTCCGTCACTTTCTTACACTGTCATTCCTCCGATCTTCAAATTGAAGACTTACGCCCAATGGTTCCGAAGCAAATCAGCTGGAGCCCCATCAAGACCTTTTAATAATGTGCTAAGATGCTAGCAAACAATCCAACGACCATTGCAAACTCGCTCCCCCCACTGCGGTCTAGGCTCAAACCTGGGCGGGCTGACAGCCTCAAAACTGAGCTCGGGCTTGGAAGTTATTACCACTACTATCCATCATGGCTCCAACACAGCCCAGTGTCTGGGGACTGTTTATTAGCCGTCACGTTGGAAAACCCGGTCTGGTCCCTTTCTTCCAGAACGTGGATTCTACTGGTCCAGAAGGCGGCATTACGAGTGTTTCAGACATCAGATTGAAGTCGATGCTACGCCAATTTCAGCAAGATTTGCCTGCTGGTCTGGCCAGTCGGAGGCGTGCCTATCTCTGTCTCATCCCTCTCCTCTTCTCCTATCACTCTTCTCTTCGGCGAATCTCGTTGCCGTCTGTCAGGGCGGAGATAGTCCGACTGACTGACGACTATCCTAATCTTCGCCAAAGGGCCCTTTACGCCTAGCCCATACAAGGTCGCCGACCAAATATGTCCTGGTAAATGCCAATATTATGCGATTATGGCCGGATAATCTCGTACGAGGGGATATGTGGACTAATGGCAGCGCACTGCTTGCTAGTCCTGGACGACTACCGGGCCGCCTGTCTCTTCTACTTTCCTCTCCGCATCTCAAGCGGCTCAATGAATCGCGTCACCGACGGCTAACCCTGTCTTTCTTCCTTTTCTCCTCGGCATAGACTGACAAGTTTGTAGTATGCATGTACAAGCCTTAGAGAAGCGCAGATAGTGGATTCAGCGGAATGGGGCGCGGGCGGGCCGTTCTCATTAAGGGTTCATGGCTTAGCATTTTCTCTTAGAAGACGAGCCCACAAGCTTCGGAAGAAGCAGTCCTTGTACATGAAACCAGATGAAGAAGCATCTGAGGCAAAGAGCAGGTATAGAATTGTATATCACAGCGTTTGAGTGCATCGGGAGTCGTTCGCTTTGTTCGACCGCATCAGGCTCCCGATGACCGGTCCGACTCCCCAAACGTGGGTGGTCAGATTGCTGTGGGAGCTGCACAATGAAGGATCATGGAAGCATCAAAGGATTGAGGAGCACATTACTTAGGTAGACATCCTTGATCTTTGATGTACGTCAATCGCAAAGTCCAAAAAACATCTGTGTGCGCACGCTGTGCTATAGTACATTTCTCATAAAGGTCCCCAGAGGCATCGCTTCCACAGGCCCATCCCTTTCCGTTCCGTTCCGTTCCATCCCATGCCATCCCATATCTGAGCCGCCAAAGATGCGTTGTACATAAAGAGGTATCTTGTAACATTGGGAAAGAAAAGAAAAACAGAAAAACGACAATTGGCTTCATTAATGAGTTGATCTTCTCCGTCTTCCTTCATCCACCTTCTCTTGCTCTGTCCTCTCTTCTTCGTATCCGTCTCCCTCCCCCTTTACTAGATGGCTCTTGCGCTGGTGGCGTCCCTTTCCGTGCTGTTGACAGAGGGACTGGCGCTCGCAGCCGGGTCCGGAAATCGAATATCGCGTTCCTTGTCGTCCTCCACCTCAACCACAACCGTCGTCACCAGGTCCATCTGGATTCCGGGGCCTCGTAGCGACTCCTGGCTAGATCCCCGAGGTCGCCGCCGCTTCTCCTGCCTGGAGGTGTTCGGCTGTCCGGCCAAACGCTGCCACGACCACCATCCGCCTGTAGTCTTGGGCTCCATCTTTCGTCTGGAGCCCTCGCCGCCCTGGATCCAGATCATGTTGCCGTAGCGTCGAGCCTTTGGTGTCTGTAGAAAAGCGATTGTCTTCACACCCGTATCTGCCGCATCCAAGTCGTATTTAGAGGCAAAGATGATGGAGTGGCGGGTCGTGCCGAACAAGAGGCAGTCGAAGAAGCCGTTGAGGGAGATCAACGCTCCCGCAAAGCAGAACCAACCCAGCGGAATATCGGCACCGGACATGGAAGCCACACGCTCCGTCGCCAGTGGTAGCGTACATGTGACATAGATGACGGCATAGATGAGGAACGCCGGGTTGTGCTCCCCATAGCCGGGATCTGGAGCACCGTCCGGGTTGGCAGCTCGGCGAAGGCGCGTTTGCTTACGGAGAGAGTACCAGATCGCAATATAGAGCGCAGAGGTGACGGCGAGGGCAATGAAGATCCAAAGATAGTGGGTAAATAGACGCAGACGCTCATATTCGGCATTCATCCAGCACTAAGGGGTTGCAACATCACGTTAGCCACTCAACAGTCAAGAGTAATAGAAAGAGACAGGGGGGGGCCCAAATCGGCTTCAGACATACCCAGGCGCCGGCTCGAACAAAAAAGCCACCATGTTCCCGGCCGTTGTTTGTAATGGCAATCGGCAACGCCGAGATGAAATAGACAAACAGCCACACAAGACCAATGGATAGGTACAGCAATCTCTGGGATGGCCGATAGCCCTTGACCACAGAAAAGAAGGTATGTACGGCAACGAGCATAATGAACATGCTGGAGGACAAGTCGCCAGTCGAGACAAAGAAGCCCTGAGCCCAGCATGTCTTGGTGTCCACCAGGATGGCATTTCGGTTGATCCATGTCGAGTTGAGGGCAAAGGCAATCGATTGGTGTAAGTCGGCAATGAGGAGGTTGTAGATGAGAATCAGGAACTGGTTGGGCGATCCCTTCATCGGTCGGAGCGGAGGGCTGTTATCTTCCTGCGGAAACTGGCCATCGACCTTGACGGAGGCGTCTTTGGACACGCTTGGGCGCGACGCAAAGACGCCGTCGATGCCTAGAGTAAAATCAACAGCATGCTGAGAAGTTGAAGCCTCGTGGCCTGGTTGATGCTCGTGCAGATTCACTTCGCGCGGAGGCCCGCGCCCATCCTCGCCGTGGTGCCTGTGGCGGAAGCGCTTTTCGTTTTCCCGTCGAACAAAGAGCTGCCAGGCGACGATTTTATATGTCAGGTAGATGAAAAGAGTGGCCGCGGAAAAGAAGGAGATGCACGACAGGACCGTGATGGCAAGAAGGCCGCTGCGAAGAGTCGAGTCCAGAGGGACGAGTGATTGCCCCTCTGGTGGCAGCACTCCCAACGGCATGGCTGTGGCGAGAGATGAGACGAGACAAGACTTTGCCTTGGGGTTATTACTAGATAATAGAGTATAAGAGAAAGGATCAATGGAAAGTGTGCTTCGCCCTGAGTTGTTGATGTCGTCGTCGCATTATTGATCCCAGAGAAGAAGAAGAAGAAGAAGAGAATAGCCCCCAGGTCATATACCAGATCGGAAGGCAGCCGGCAGCCGAAGTCCAGGATAAGTGGGAACCAGTGTCAGACGGGAGGGAGGCTCAGACGGAAAGCAAGCCTGCCAGCACGAGAATCGAACAGGAACAGAAAAGAGAACACAAATGAGGAGTTGGCAAACGAAAGGAAACCAGGGGGGGGAGAGAGGGGATTCCAAGTTCTTCGCGAAGAGGAGCGAGAGAACTTGTCCCTCTGTCGACGTTGTGGCCGAGAAGAGCTGAGGAGTGTCTTAGATGGATAAGTAGAAGTAAGATCAGAACGTATGCCGAGGGAAGGGGGGTTGGTTAATAAGTCGACGTGCAGGGCATGTACCGGTCACTCGCCGTTCCCCACGGCGAGGCAGTACCTACACCTAGGATTAGGTAGTACCTTGGTAGGTCGAAAGGAAGGCAATGGCCTTATGGAGCGCTCTTACAACCCTGAATAGCGTGCGTGGGTTCTCGGAGAAAAAAAGAATAGGCAAGGTGCGTTTACTGCAGGTTTGAGTGCTGGCGGTGGCACTCCGCGCTACACTATTTTGCCTTCTAGTACCGTCTACTTACTGCTCGTACCTCGTACTCTTACGGGCAAATGGACAGTAATATCCGTTTGACAACTTGCAAGTTCCTCTAAAATCTTTCTCCAGTCTCCATGTTATTCCCATCATCCAATGTCGGCCCAGATGCGTGTACTACTGGCAACTTGTCGTCAGGACTAAGCCTTGTGAAGCTTGGTGGTGAGCAGAGGCTTGAATCATGAAGCCTGCAAAAGCTAATCTGGCGCCTTCGGCTTGAAACAAGCACGCATCCAGGGGTGCTGTGACCCGTTTACCGTGCATCCTGGTCGGCAACCCATCCTAGAGGTGGGCAAAGAAGGGATATAGGAACCAACTGGCCAATACAAGAAAGGATGTCTGGTCCGCAGCGAAAAGCCGTCGGCCGACCTGCAGCTCCCACGAGGACTCCGCAGTGTTAATATCAGGTACTGCATGCACCTGCAGTTTGGTAGGGTTACGTTGCACAGAGCATGTTGTGTGTCTGACGACTCAGGAGTCTGTGCTCGCCTTGTCGTTCTTGAACCAGCTGCCCAGGTAGCGAAAGAGATGCTTCTACAGTATGGCTGAGCTGCGAAATGTATCGTGAGAACGCGCATCCATTACGAGGCACATGGTTCATCTTCTCCACTGCTTCGCCGTTATACATACATATCGGACCTGCTATGTACTACTATCTACTACTACTACCAAGGCTCTGATTATTGAAAGCTGGGGTCACCTTGTGAGGATCCCAAATCCACGTTTCTGCCCCCCTCTCCCCCTCACTACCGAGCCAATTTGTCTAGATTTGACAAGCAACCGGCTGGCCGCCACCTCGTGGTTGCGAGGTGGCGTTATTGGCGGCCCCCCCTTATGAACACCATCTTGTTGCCTCTCAACCTCCCTCCGCTCACTGTCAACCAACATGATTGCAGAAGTTGTTTGCTAGGCGAGTTCCACTAACAAGGTACCTTTTCTTCAAGTGCTTTTCAATTTTCTCTCAGCGGAGGCAAACGCAACCGATCAGGTACAAATAATTCTGCGCCTCGGACAGCTTTATCAATAACCCTGGGCCTCGCCAGGCCCGTTTTGGAAGACTCTGCATGCCGAAAAGAGCCTGGGGTCCTGATGGGCGCTGCCTCCCGGGATCGTGATTGGCCTCTTGCGGGCAAGGATTGTTGAACGGTTATGCAAGAGACCGGCTGTACGGGGTGGGCAAATAAAAAGAAAAGAAATTCTGCAGCAACTTCACGTGGCAGTTGGATGGTGGCTGTCGCTCCGAGCCTGGCCGCAGAGGATTAGGAACGAAATGGTAATACTATCACCTGTATGGTAGGTGGTATGAATACCTGAGGAGTAGTAGATGCCTGCAAGGTATTTCTTGAGATGGTCCAAAGTAGTAGATGGATTGAAATGCTGCCTAGTTCCGATCAGCAGCTGAAGAGCCGGGCTTTCTCGCGGCGTCTTTTCACTCCAGGGCTATACGAAAGATTCCAAAAGGTGACTCAAGAGAGCCGAGGGCCACCGTCGTGCCGCTGTTGGCAGGTTGGCAGGGCCATGTACTCGTAGTTGGTTGTTCGTAGAAAGCGAAGCTCGGCCGCACCGCAGCAGCCCAAGTACAGGCCCGTAGCCGTTATTTCGTTGGACCGACGATCGAACATGGACCGGCCTGTCTGACGCCGCTTCTTCATCTCGTAGAACGAACTTCTTAGATAGTACACCGTGCTTGATGCTAGGCCCTTTGCCACTGTCATTCCTTGTACTGCCACTAGCAGCATAAGCCACACGGGTAAAACAGGCGTTTATCCGCCGTCTCAAGCTCGGCCAGTACATGAAGAATGGCAGTAGAAATCCTTCGCACCAGAACAGCGGAAACTGGTGGCGTAGATGGAACATCTGGGAAGCAACATGGTGGTGGGAGCTGGCGCGGAACAAGCAAGACCGACGCCTTTCCGAAGAATCCGTTAAGTGACAAGCGAACAGAAGCCAGGCCGGGGGTGGGTAAAAAGGCCGGGTAGGCAACCATGCACGTTCTGCAATATGTCCTGGGAGAAGCCAGACTCTGGCGAGAAGAAGGGGTACTACTAATACATTGTGGCAATGGGCGAAGGGGAACATCAGAGGCCAAAGCTTTTGGTGAAGAGCTTTCCGAACACAAAGCAATGACTGACAACGGAACGGGTGGGCTTCACTTCATCGCGTAATGCCAGCGGATCAACACTCGCCAGTTGACGTTCTGATACTTTTAGCCGTTCTCGCTCGCTCTAGAATCCGGACGACCCTTGGAAGGATTCACCGAGACGTCCAGACGCAACGGTGACAGACGGCTGAACCCCAGACGGCGCTTTGACTTCTGAGCGAAGCCTGGTCGATATTTCCTCACAGAAGTACCTACTTACTGGGATACCCAACCCCTGGCAAAGTCATTTCGTCCCAAGATTCCAGGTCACGGTTGTATGGTAGGAACAGGTTAAAGGGAGGCTCGTATATTCTGCCACCATATTGAACTCTTTATCCATCCTGCCTCAACCTTTCCTCTACAAAGTCTGGTTTCGTACTACTACTACCTTACCTTATAGCAAGGAGTCCATGGCGTCGATACCGCTTGGTCATTTCTTCAAGTACGAAATGTACATGCCTAGCACTGAATTACAATATCAGGGGATGATTCTGTCCTATTGACAATCGGGATCACTGAAGATCTTCTAGTCCGTGCGCAAATCGGCGCTGAAATTTGACAAATTGCCAAGAATGACGATGTTGGTCGGGGTTGGATAGCACCGCGCCAACTTCAGTGTGGCTTGCATTAAGGCAGTTGAGCTTGAAGATGACTTTTAGCAGTAGGTCACGGCAACAAGGGAGAGAGGAGAAATAACACCAGCTCCGTCTTCAGTCTTCTTCCGCTTCCCTTTCTTCTTATTCTTCTCTCTCCTCCCTCTGTCCGACCCAGTCGACCAGCTTCAGGAACGAAGGACCGAAATCCCCCAGCAATCCGTTTTGCGGCTGAGTGTGGATCAAGCAAACAACGGCGACGGAGCAATAAGCGGCTCTGCTGTCTTCACTTTGTCATCCTCTTTTTCTCCCCATTCGCTATCCCTGCTGGGCATGGAGTGGCCCTGCTGCGGCACTGCTCTCTGGTCTGGGTATCTCTGGGTTCCGATTTGTGTCGAGCCTTGTCCTGGGAATACGATGCCCCACGCCGATGGTGGGTGCCATCGGCCGTTACAGAAATCTCCCAGGTCTTCGCCATCTCCATACACCCTGCTTCGTGAGAGTGCATGCCTATAAAGACCCGTTCGCTGCCCCTTATCTCCTTTGGCAGAGACGTGCATTGATCAGCCGCAATGCAACGGTATAGGACAGGGGAAGTCATCCCCGCAACCCAGATCTAAGCTCTACCAGGCAAAGCCGACGTGCTTCGATGCAGCTGGCTGTGGAGCTTCTTGGATGGGCCAAAAAGGTCAGAGGTCGGGGCTCAAGCTTAAGAGGTTTTGGGGAGAGGAGAGCCGAAAGCCCTGCTGACCAGCATCCTGCTGAAAAACTATTTCACCCAGAGGCACCACCCACTCTTGGCATAGAGCAAGCTCCCAATCGAGCCCTGGCAGATAGGCTGGGACAGGGGCTCGGTGTCTCGCGGGCCTCGGTCAAGACAGAGCAATGGAGCAACGGAGCAATGGGATGAAGAGAACATGAGCCAAATGTCTGGTCACAGAACCTGCGTTGGGCGAGTATAGACGAAACATTGCAGACACGACATGACCTCTGGGACGAGGAAGAGTGGTATCAATAGGCCGTATGTCATGCTGTATGATATAGCGCAGCCGATTGCGTGCCTCATACTATAACTGATCCAAATGCATGCGATTTGCTTGGTACTAAGTAGGTAGGTGGTCGTGGACATTTAATAAATAGTCTGCAGCTTGGCTTTGTCCCCATCACCTCCAAACGCTCAACACAGCGCCGCTTCGTATGCATGTGCGGTCGTCTGCCAAGCCCGGGGACCAATGCATCCCGAATCAGCTTGGCGATACAGCTTCTATTACCATCCAGCTTCCATTACCATCCGGCTGCATTCCTGCAATTAGTAACAGAGTCCCCTCAGGCCCTCAAGTCTGGACTCTTGATGAGTTTGGGTTAATGAATTTGGGTTGCTCTTCTTGCTTTTTACGATGCAGCTAGCCTTCATGCAATCAGCCATGGCCGTTAGCCCCGATGACTGCGTATATGGACAATTTCGTACACTGTGCTTTTGAATCGTACATTGTAAGTCCGGCTACCGGTGCACCGTCTCCAACAAACGTTCTGAGCAATTGGTCCAGTCTAAGGTTGACAGCCGGGGAAGAGAGGAAGCGATGCCTTGTCTAACTCATGCTACAGCTTATCTATCTTGCCAGAATCCAAATCTGTCTTGTTCCTCAGAGGCCAACGACTCAGCGACGTATCTTGTCTAAGACGATTACAAATACCGATTCATTTCACGTCAGGCATATATAGCACAAGCCGGATGGTACGCGCCAACCCGCAGCTCCAACGCCCGTATCCGAGGTCGTTTGGCTTTTCGTGCCGTGACCCCTATTTCGTAGCCAACGAGGCGTAGCAGTATAAATGGGATGCAGAGGTTTAGAAGATATTTGTAACTTGACCAGACACCACGGATCGCTACCCTACAATACATCTCAGGATCTACGCAGGACAAGACGTCGATGTATGCGCGAAAAAAATTTGCCATCTAACATCTTCCACAATGTATTTCTGCATAGTTTCTGCATACACTTTGATCCCTCTTCGTTGGGTTGCCGCTATTAGTAAAGAGCTAATGGATAGACGCGATTTGTTTTGAGGTTGTTCCTCCGCCACAACAGGCTACACTCTGCACTATCAAAGGAGAGGATACCATATGAATACCTTGAATTTACGACTTGAAGACGTGTTCAAGCAGGATACAGTGGCTGGAGGAGCATTAGGCAACAAAAACAACCTGAGGAGTTGATCTTTGAACAACTCGAAGCTTTGAGGCTCTCAGAGGCTTGAACTCAACGGGCAATATGGAGTTCAAGCCTACCTAAGTAGGTATGACTCTAGTAGTGGGGTTGTCGCCGGTTGACTCAACATCATTCCAGCCTCGTCATGGAGGGGCACTCTTCAACTTTTCTATAACCGCATTTCCCTCCTGTTGCTTGGCATAAATAATCACACAGCTCTTTGCTGTTCGCGCGTCTTTGCTTGGTTTGACTGTTCAGAAACAAGACGGCGCCTTGCCTGACGTACGGTTCAACGGCACTCTATACCCGCAGCTTCCTCTCCGCGGCTTCGCATCATGGCTCAGAACCCGGCAGACGAGCTGCTGCGGCGCCCGCTATATGGTAAGTAGAAGCACTTCGTCGCATCACTGATCCAGTCTACCAATAGCCTGACTGGCCCAATCCGCCTCGAAGAAGTGCTGACAGCTTGTGCCAACTTGGGTATCAGTTTACGATCTTCCGCCCGAATGCCTCGCGGGCCTGACGCCGAAGCCAGATGCAGACACCATCGCCATCGACGAACCCGCGACGCCACCCAGTAAGACCTCGGACGCGTCTTCCGATACCTTTGTCGGCTCACAAGCCTGCTCTCTTTGCAAGCTGTCCTTCACAACCGTGATAGACCAGCGAAGTCACATCAAGTCCGATTTTCACAACTACAACCTCAAGCAGAAGCTGCGGGGCCAGAGCCCGGTCTCAGAGGCCGAATTCGAGAAGCTGATAGAGACTCTGGACGAATCGCTCTCGGGCTCTGACTCGGAAGAATCGGAAGACGATGAGGACGAAGGGCGTCAAGAGTCTACGCTCACGGCGCTGCTTAGGAAGCAAGCAAAGCTGACAGAGAGACGCAATGCTGCCAAAGAGAACAACAAGGAAGGCGACAACGATGACGACGAACCCTCAGGGCGGCCGGGCAAGGGAAAGCCGACACTTATATGGTTCGGTTCACCGTTGCTTCCAGAGAATACATATTTCGGCATATACCGAGCGATATTCACAGACGAAGAGCAACGCCAGCCCGACCTGGTCGAGGTCATCCGGAAGAAGCAGCTCGAGCCCATAGCCATGCCAAAGCCTGCAAAGGACGGGACGTTGCCGCCAATCGCGTACACCGGGCCGCACTTCTTCCTCTGCATGATTGGAGGCGGCCATTTCGCCGCCATGGTCGTCTCTCTCGCGCCGAGATCCGCCAAATCGGGCAGCACAACCATGAACCGAGAGGCCACCGTCCTCGCTCACAAAACCTTTCACAGATACACGACGCGTCGGAAACAGGGCGGTTCTCAGTCGGCCAACGACAACGCCAAGGGCAAAGCGCACTCTGTCGGCTCGTCCCTGCGTCGGTACAATGAGACTGCCCTGGTCGAGGATGTGCGCGCTCTTCTCCAGGACTGGAAGGGGCTCCTGGATTCTTCGGAACTGCTTTTCATCAGAGCGACAGGAACCACAAATCGGAGAACCTTGTTTGGTCCCTATGAAGGACAAGTTCTTCAAGCCAACGATGCCCGTATCCGAGGCTTTCCATTTAGTACCAGGAGAGCTACTCAGAACGAGCTGATGCGGTCCTTCATCGAACTGACTCGGCTTAAAGTCAAGGAGATTGTCCCGAGCAGGGCAGAGCCAAACAAGGCAAGCACAACGCAAAGCAAGCCTACGACGCCCTCCAAGCCTGCAAAGCCGACCCTCTCAGAAGAGGAGGAAACGGCACTACTTCATACATCTCAGCTGCAAGCCTTTGTGCGGCGGTCCAAACTACCCGCACTTCTATCGTACCTCACAAAGAACAGCCTTGACCCGGACTATGAGTTCTACCCTCCGGAGCAGAACTACCATACTCCACGCCTTCTACACTACGCAGCTGCACAGAATTCTGCGCCTTTGGTGCTGGGGATCCTTACACGAGCCGGAGCGAACCCGCTTCTTAAGAATGCGGAGGGGAAGACCGCCTTTGAGCTTGCTGGAGATCGCTCTACGCGAGATGCCTTTAGAGTAGCACGCTCTGAACTGGGAGAGAGAAAATGGGATTGGGATGCGGCCAAGGTTCCTCCGGCCATGACCAAGGACGAGGCAGACCGCCGCGATGATCGGGAAAAGCAAGAGGCAGACAAGAAGGAAGCCGAGAGGAGAAAGGCGGAAGAAGAGAGGCTTCGTGCTGAGGGGCCAAAACTCCCTGAGCAAAAGACGAAAAAGGGGAACAGTATAGCTTCCATAATTGCAAAGACACCCCAGGAGCGCAGGGAGGAGGAAGCCAGGGGGCTGACACCCGAGATGAAGCTGAAACTGGAACGAGAAAGAAGAGCGCGAGCGGCAGAAGAGAGGATCAAGAGACTACAAGGCGGTAGCTGAATAGATGCGTCATGGGAGGTAGCCAATTTACATAGTAGCTGTATGTAGGTCTAACCGTCATACCTTGAAATCACTCCCAGCCACCGTGCAAGCCGATCACTCATACTTCCGAAGGCGAACTACCTCTACTAGCTGAAGAATAAAGCAGCCTGTATCTACTGAGGATTTTGCTGCCGTACCATACCTGGTGGAATGCTGAGCACGCATCCTCGGTTGGCATACAGCATAGGAAGACTCCTGAGGGGCGCGTAAATATTTCAAGCCCCGATCCGAGCTGAATCATAGAGCTGCCATAGAAGCCTTCAAGTGTCTCTTGACTGGGCATGAACGTCATCAACGCCATCAATACCATCAAGATCATGCACAGCTCCCTGAGCCGCCTTGAGCGGAGAGGCGAAAAGGGGGGGTAAGATGCTCAACATGCTCTTTCTCAAATCCAAAGCCATCCTCCAGATCATGGAAGCCTCAACCCACGCGCAGATGCATCAAACGTCTTCGCTTATGACGTTTTCTTAAACGAGTGGCAGTCACGACGGGCAGGTAGCCTGACGCCGAGGAATGGCAGCTGCAAGAGCACCTGAGCCACTGTCGAGGGCTCCCCCTCCCACAATATTTTCTGATAAAAACATTTTCTCCCACAAGCATCTTCTCCCACAAACATTCTCTCTTCCAAGAAACTCATCTTTCCTCCCATTTCTTCCACTTTATCAAAAGATTCACTGGTCTCGACTGGTATCGAGAGCGGATGATCCTTCGTCCATCACCCCCATGCTTCTGGCATTGACTCCCGTCAGCACCATAACCTTCGATCTCATCCTCTTCTCCCACTCTTCGTTTTATCCTATATATCGCATTGTCTGCATCCATCCCGGGTTTCAACCACCCCTTTCTCTCCACTTCTCCATCCGAACACACATACACTCGTTCCCTGTCCGCTGCACCAACTCCTCTCCTTCTGAATGTTCGCTTCCAACCTCATCGCCATCAGCGCAATCATGTTATTTATCAAATCAAGATAATCTTGGAATATCCTCACGTTAATGACGTCTTTCTCACTGGTCAAGCGTTGCTCATCCGCTCTCATCCTTCTCTCCCAATGCACATATCTGTTCTATTCCGCATCCATATTCCTTTCTCCCTTTCCGTATGCATTGGCAAACTATTGAGATCGTCTCACAAGATGCTATCATGTTCATCACTTATCTATTAACTGACCGTTGAAAGCCGGAACGCATCGACTGACGAGCTTCACTCTCCTGGCTCTTACCGGGTCAGACCCTCACACGTCCTCTTTCCATCTCCATGCCTCTACACCGATAATGCTCATACTTCATTTGCTTGCGTCATCACCATCATCGCCGTTGGCCTCTTCCAGCCCTACGACCGTTGGTTGCCAGTTGAGCATACACTAACACAATATAGTGCTCTACCCAGCCCTCACCAAAAATAAGAAGTGCGGCGAACGAATGCGAACCGAACCGAACCGATCGACCGGCCGACCGAGTGTATACATAATAATATTCTATAACAAATATATGCTTAGAAGCTTTTGGACAGGGTGGAGATGGGGCTTTGGAGAGGGTGATTGAATCGAGTCACAACACGCTGCATTTCTTCTTCCTTTACAAGCGAGCCAAAACCACCGAAGAATGATGCGTATCGAAAATTCGTTGACCTGTGCGACGATGAACCGAAATTGAACGGGAATTTAACGATCGAAGCGCGAACAAAGGAACGAACAGAAGAGGCCTCATCCGGAACCCGATTCGAAGCGTGAAAGAAGCCCCTCGTCGGACGATACACGAGTGAACCACGGTTCAACCATCGATCGTAAACGGCCGAGTCTGCAAGACACAATATAATTCAAATATACATATACATATACATACACATGTTGGGTGATGTGGGGATAAGTAGTTGGAAAGATATGGCGTTGCCTCGATCAAGGCCGGTTATCGACAACCATATTGCTTCTCCAACAAGCAGTCCCAAACGATTCAAGCTCCTACGCGCAGTCAAATCAGCGAGACCAAGTCTGGAGAAGAATCAAATGTACCTACGAACGAACGAGCGAGCGAGCGAACATACGAGCGGACAAAACGAGCGATCGATCGAACGGCCGAGTGTATAAGAAACAATATGATATAATGTTCACACAAATACACACACATGTATAAGGTATGATGGGTTGTGTGGGGTTCATGGGGCACAGGAGGGGATTGGAAGCAGGGGGGTTCGCAAATCACCCGCCGAGCGATTTCGAGCCTTCGCCTTCACAGGAGTGGGTCGATCGATCGATTCGAACAAGCAGATGATCGGTCGAGTGATGGAAAACTGCTACTGCCGGCTGTGCTGCTCCTCAACGCAAAGACTTTCCGCGATTGTTCCGATTGTATGAAGCAGACACGAAGAAGACCATCTTTCGTCTATCAGCCAACTGCTTGAAAACTCGAAGTGAGAGGGGCGACAGGACCACGGAACACCAAAGAGAAGGGAAGCATTCGAGCAGCCCGAGTGCAATCATCGACCACGACAAACGCGTCAAACGAGGTCGTTTTTATTCATCGAGTCTACGCCGAAAAAGCTTCTAGTATGTCACATTTCTATCACTTTACAGAATCTGGTATGGGACCAAGGCCATCTTATTTGGGAGACCAGGTTTACTCTAATCTATTAAGCAGTCAAGATTGTGCCCAAAGCCACATTCATGCAAACATCGACCAATAGTCTCTGAAGACCAATCCCAAGCCTGCTTGTTCTCTCGGCTATGCACTGCACAACACCTCTCGTCACTCCCCACAGCTTCCTTTCTGGCCAACAGTGGGCTCGCGACCGATATCATGATCGTTTTACAATGACAGGTGAGAATTACTATACAATTCTGCGAACCATAGTGGAAGCTGACACTCGCCTCGGATGTCAGAGATCACTCAACCGCATCGTTCTCGCTCAGCTTCCTCTCTCACAATATCAGCCCACAATGCTTATGAAGCAGTAAACCATAATGACGACCGGTGAGTATACGTCTCGTCTTAGTTTCAGAAGAGTCCATACTGACCTCTCGTCCAGCTATCCTGAAATTCTCGACCACAGGCGTAGGTGGCTCCGGGCAGGTCACCATTCAGCCACTCATTTACATTCGACGCATCGCTATCGATCTGACCACAGCAAACACCGTCTTGCTTGACCACTTTGGCTGATTGGTTGTAACCCCGCCAATGCGCTCTTTATCAGACACTCACGAGGTGGTATTCCTCTGGCTGGTCCCAGGTCATCGAGTCGGTGGAATATCCGCGGGAAGCTTCACTTCCACACTCCTTCTCCTCCGAACTCACTATAGAAGGCCAACCTCAAACGTTTCGCATTCCATACAACCTGAGTCGTGATGCCTTCCCGGTCATGCTATTCACCTGATACTCATTCGCTCCTCTACGCCATCGGGCCGATGGGCGAGGAACGATATCACCTCGGCAGCAGATGAATGGGTGCCGACTCTGCTTGAGAGGCCACGCGCTATCCATCCAGCATTGGATTGCGATGCCAACGAAGCAAACTCCAATCGGATCGGCAAGGGTACATTTCTCAGCTTGGGCTCAAGCCCTCATCTTTTAATCAAGCTTATTCGATGTCGACACCAATACAACCTCAGGACAATGCATATACACTACGCATGCTGCAACTGGTCCACCGCCCGAGAAATGGCCGTGTGCTTTTCTTCATCATGGGATCAACCGGACCGTCCTGATATGCACCCCGCAGAGCTAGAGCAGGTTTCCATCACGAGTTCTTTCCCATAAAGGTATGTGGTATTTTCTGTAGCGGCAATGAACATATATCCGTCGCCACAATTTGGCAGCCAAAATCGGCGAGGGACGACGCATAGAATACCAAGAGGGCTGACGGAAACTATAAGTAGCAGCAAGTTTGACGACTACAAGGACGGGAAACAGCTCCTCCAAGTCAACAGAACACGAGAAGGGGGGAAAACAGCGGAGCACGTATACAATTGACGCTGATCTGGACAGAAAACTCCAGACAACAATGTCGTCAAGGCTAGCTAATTTGTTGGCCGCCCTTGTGGTGGTTCTATCCAATGCACTGGGCTTCGTCGTCGCACAAGGCTCCAGGCCGGTGTTTGCTCATTTCATGGTATAGTTTCTCTTCAAGACAATTACCAAAGGAACCAAACTGACATCAGCCACTTAGGTAGGCATTGTCGAAAAGTTCACCGTTCAGGATTGGATAAACGAGATCCAACAAGCGCAAGCCATTGGTATTGATGGTTTTGCTTTGAACTGTGCTCCTCCTTGGGTCGATAGCTACACGCCAACGCAGCTCGACAATGCGTATACGGCCGCTCAGCAGCTCAACTTCAAGATGTTTATTTCTTTCGACTTCGCCTACTGGTCTAACGGCGACACGGGCAACATCACGAGCTTTGTGGGCAAATACGCCGCCCACCCGGCCCAGGCCGTTTTCAACGGAGGCGCTCTTGTTAGCACCTTTGTTGGTGATTCCTTCAACTGGAATGCCGTGAAGAGCGCCCTCGGCAGCCAAAAGTTGACAGTGATCCCGAATATGCAAGATCCTGCCTCACTCGGAAGCGTTAGCAGCCAGCTTGGCATCGACGGGGCCTTTTCGTGGTATGCTTGGCCTACAGACGGCGGGAACAGCGTCATCAAAGGGCCCATGACAACCGTGTGGGATGACAGATACATCCAGGGCCTCGGCGGTCGGCCCTACATGGCACGTAAGTCTTTCAAAAGGTGCTGCCTTGAGCTTGATGTTGAAGTATGATATTAACAGAGACAGCCGTTTCTCCGTGGTTCTCGACCCATTTCAACACCAAGAACTGGGTCTTCATATGTGAAGAGCAGCCGGTCCGCCGATGGCAGCAGATACTTGACATGAAGCCAGCCCTGGTTGAAATTATAACCTGGAACGGTGAGTCTACTTGGCCCTTCAGCCTCAGTTTCATGCCGTGAACGAAAAAGGAACGTCTTCTCTGGACAGGCTAACCAACAGATATCTGATCGCACAGACTTTGGTGAAAGCCACTATATCTCGTAAGCGAACTAGCCCCCTTGCCTCTCCTTTCTTTGTCTGCGTCCTGATTCCAGCTCGCGAAATTTCAACGGCCTTGCTAATGTTTCACGTCTGCATAGTGGCTCAGAGCCCAACCATAGCGACGACGGTTCCTCCCAATGGGCCAATGGCTTCCCCCACGACGGCTGGCGAGACATCTACAAGCCATATATTGCTGCCTACAAGGCTGGCGCATCGTCCCCTACCGTCCAGGCAGATGAAATCGTCTACTGGTACCGCCCGACTCCACATGGTGCCCAATGCAGCAACGATCCGTTGGGTATTCCTCGAGGAGCCGAACTGATGGACGACCTGGTCTTCGTCAGCACGTTGCTCACGCAGCCTGCGCAACTGACCGTGACCAGTGGAAACGCGGCACCTGTCACTGTCAATGCTGATGCTGGCGTTCATGTCTTCAACTTCACAATGGGCGTTGGAAAGCAATCGTTCTCGCTCTCTCGCGGCGGCAGGCAGATTCTGGGTGGCCAGAGCGCAAAGGACATCAGCAGCTCGTGCCAGACCTATAACTTCAACGCATACGTGGGCAAGTTTTAGGCCAAGCGGTTGCAACTGATGGTAGAGATGGCACCCAACCGCGACAGACAGCGATCATCAGTTTTGCCTTCATCGGCTTTATTGAATCATTGAAAATTCGCCCTCAACGTTGAGGTCAAGCAATGCTCGGCGGCCATCAAACTAGTGTGACAAGAAAGCGCCAGTGCTCACTCGCGAATATTCATGATGCCACGAAACAACGCGGGCGGCGTGTGCTAGTCAAGCCAGGCTTCAGCTAAACCAAGGGATAAGATATGTCGTCGCCGTGAGGTAGAAGAGGCCAACGCGTCGTTTCTTGTCTCGGCTCGAGTGGCTTGCTGTTGGGCGTCCAACCTCCTCAAAGAGGGGGAGGGGAATGATTTCTGATGAAAAGGACCGTCGTTTCGTATTTCACAGACCGCGTGGCTGCTCGTTACCGTCCAACAAGGCATCCGCCGTCTCTTTCCCGCCTCTTCTTCGTCACCCGTATTTTGCATGGTGCTGCGGCTGATACATGTCACATCTCACACCAATTGCAACTGTGAGATGGTTCTGGGACACTTGAGAGGTCCCTTGCAGGGGGGCCAATAAGCACATCATCTGGGAGGGTCTCGAGCGGAGGTGGCTCCGTCGTGGCCCGTCAGCCACTCGACTATGTTCATGGTCACTGTCAAGGGTAAAAGGCAAAAGGACAGAGGGACAAGACGCTGGATTTCTTTTGCTTGCCTATTCTAGGGCAGTTGAGACGGAATGTGGTGTTGTTGTGTCTGTGTTTTTTTTCCTCTCCTTTCTTTTTGCTTCTGCCCTTTCCCTTTTTCCGTCTCCGACGCTCCATATGAAGCATAAGTCGATCCCTCCTCCATTTTCTTCCTTCCACAAACATGCCCTTTGATACGGCGGACTCCATGTCCCGATACTTTAACACCAAACCTACGCTCGCCCCCGTTCGTGCCCGTGACGATGCAAGATAGGCCTTCGCCTCCGAGCAAAAAGCACCGTCGCCTGGCTTCAGAACATGCAGATTCCGCCCACCATGTACCATCTGTGGCCGACGAAAGGATCACGCCCATCCCGACATCCGCGCGTGCACCAACGTCCACCTCTTCATCGCCTGAATCGACCGAATCATCGTCGGAATCTACCGCGCCCGTTCCGGACACTGCAAAGCAGGCCGCAAGAAGACGGCCTGTGAGAAAGGCCGTCAATGTTGCCTGCGAGTCTTGCCGGAAGCGCAAAATAAAGGTATGGCCGACTCGAAACCCCACCCCTAGCGAAATCTGCTCGGCTCAAAGCTCATCACGCCAAACCGCTCAAAAAGTGCAATGGGAACCGGCCGAAATGTTCAGCATGCGAAAGTCGCCAGGTCGAGTGCCAATATGCCTCGGCGTATCGTGAGGAGACAATCTCGGCCGCGCTCAAGCGCAAGTACCAGGAGGAGAATAAGAAATCAAGTTCTTATGAGGAGTTCTTCACCGCTCTCCAAAATTGCTCGGAGGAGGATGCGAGGACCATGTTCAGCCTGGTGCGTCAAGGTGTCGATCCTGGGGCTCTTCTGAGGCGGATGAGGGAATGCGATCTTCTGCTACAGCTCTCTGTCGTGCCCGAGACTCGAAGACGCTATCAGTTCCCCTATCTCGCCGCCATGCCACTCCATCTCCAAACCCCGGACAACCCGTATCTCGACTCGGTCCTGTATGAGACAGCATTCCACGGAGTTGGCAACCAGGCCAGCCAGGGGTCCGCATTGCTTCAGCACGGACAAGCCGGCAGATATCAGAACATCTACCTTCAGCCGTATCATGCCGCCGAACTCCTGGATCCCCTGATTGACCACGTCAAGCCGTCTAAGTGGACTATGGTCACCACTGACGACCACTTGATGCGGACGCTCTTGCGATCTTACATTCTTCACGAATACCCAACCTTTCCCATATTTCACAAGGACATCTTCCTTCAGGCCATGATTGACGAGGACACGCAATATTGCTCCTCAATGCTCGTCAATGCCTTGTTGGCGGAAGCATGCGTAAGTGCTGTACATATGGACGGATCGAACCAAGCCCACCTCCAATATCTTGGGTCTCAGGTCGGTTTGGCCAAGTATTGAATGGACAAATAAGCTGACCAAGTTGCTTCCCAGCACTGCTTCATTGGCATACCCAATCGGCACCAGTTCTGGGTTCCTCAGAGCCTCAGATACCGTTTCCTCGCCGAGGCAAAGCGCTTGTGGGAGCTTGAAAGCGAAAGGATAGACCTGGTTACCGTGCAGGCCGCCACGCTCCTGAATCTCATCTATAGCCACAATGGAATGGATAAGGTTGGCCAACCGTATCTGATGCACGCACTCCAAGTTGCCCAACGGCTGGAGCTGTTTGGCGACCATGCACACGTGAAGAGCCAGAGAATGATTCACGCTCGCGTCTTTACTGCCTGGGCTCTCTTCAACTGGCAGTGGTGTGTATCCCCCACGCTTTTGTCATCGTTCAACCCCCAATTTTGCGCTTATTGTCTCGTTGCACGTCCGCTGACATGTCGACCCGACTCCTGGCAGCATACAATCGTACTATTACTACCGGGCTCCTTTGATTCCTGATCCGCCAGCCACGCCGCTACCCGACCCAGATGAGCATCCGTTTTGGTATGGGGACTTCAAGCTGAGATACCCGCTGAATCCGACCCTGGTGCCGGCACATTATGGACATTATTTCAAAGCGATCTCCGGTCTGCGTTCAATCATCCATGATATGGCCGCTATCAGTTACAGCCAAAAGGAAGAGCACACAGTATCGCCCCGTCTGATCTGGTCCGTATTTTCGAGGCTGGAGAAGTGGTTCCTGGGGCTGCCCGCCGTCCTTTCACCCCGAAATATTGTCTTCCCATGGCAGCTCAAGATACAGTACGTTTTCTCTTGCCCCTCCATCCCCTTCAGCGACTTGTCTAAGCCCGTCCTTGTGAATGAACGCTGACAAGAATATTTTGGAACAGCATGGAGCTTTATCTGGCCACCATATTGTTTTCCACAAAGCAGGCGGGTGTTTCGGAGGCTTCGACGCTCATGAAAGAAACAGCTCAGAAAACAGTTGCCCATGCAGCTGCTCGCCTCGAGACCGTTGCGCGCCTCTACTATATCCGTCACAGCTTTGAATACTGCGACCCCTTCTTGACGATTCATCTCTCCTTCATAGCAGGCGGGGCTATGGACAGCCTCAAATTGACTCCGGCTCACGACGTAGAGACCATCAAGTCCTTAAAGTCCACAATCATCCTAAGCCTCAAGGGGCTATACGACCAAGGCCAGCACATTCACCTGACCTCGGTCATCTACCGACTGCTACGGGATCGGCTGAGTCCAGAAGATCTAGACCTTCTCCAAAATTTTGTGGTCTGGGATCCTCTCACCCCCGAAGAGCCGCTCTTGGTACAGTATGCCCAGTCCCATTATCCTCTGACCATGGGCAGCAAACACCAAGACCCGACCTCCACGCGGCTCGAGAATCTGGTCAAACAATATGAGCAACTATCGACCGATGAGACAACATGATTATCAGTCGCCAACTTTGCATATGATCCTCATGGACTCGGCTCGGTAAACCAATGCAATAAGGGGGGAGCAGCTTCTTTCTCCTGCGCGCGAGCCACAAGTTGTCCAAGTTTTCTGCGCAATTGCCAGAATCTTTTGCGACTGGGAGGGACGTCGAGATCAGAGCACGTGGGCTTAAACACCGCCTCACGAGACGCATCCAGTGTTGCTTCATGTATTCAACCAGACGCATCTCCACCATCAGCGCGACCGACAACGGGCTAGGTGGTACTATTATTAGTCAAGCCATGGAAAGGGGCATGCGGGAAGCTCAGCTCATAGGCATACAACGAGACCGCTAGTGCAAGTTTCAAACTGGATATCCCTCACGATATCGCGTCCGCATGGGTGCTTCACGGCTGACGGTTGTGTGGGGGATTCGATATCTACTTGTTGCATGTGGCGGTACTTCGTATCTTGCAAAAATATGAAAACAGCGAGCTAGAAATGGACACTCAACGCCGCTGCGATGCAACGAAGACCCGTACTTCACCAAACGCTGCGAGACACTGGAGCCTTGGATAGTTTGCTCCTTTCTTCAAGACAGCACAGAGAATGTATGATTCGTAGAATGCTGAGGTCCTGGCCATAGATGCTCGACTTCCCGGGTAGGTCCGTAAGTCTCAGCGTATATGGTGTGCATCACCGACAGCTTCACGCTGAAATTTACCCTTCGATATCCGGCTCTCTTTTTCTTTTCTTTTTCTTCCCGCTTTTTTGCTTTTCTGCCCCTTCTCAATCTCGTATTGTCCTGGCAGTATGATGTTTCATCTTTTTGTTTCTCCCTCACCTTTTGCATCCCCCCTCGTCAGTTCAATTGGCGCAGAAAAACATTGAAATCGACGGTAACCTCTTTCTCACAGCGCAATGGTGCTTGAACATGAGAATGTGTACCTAAGTAGAGCGTACGACCTGTTGAAGTAGATGATATTTGGAGCCGGCCGGCCATGGGCTCATGCGGCTGTGAGCACACACATGAGCTGGTTGTAAGCCCCTCACGGTGTAGCAGGCAGTAGAAGAATTACAAGAGGCTTCGAGTGCTCGTACGAGTAAGTAGGTGCTGACAGATCCTGGCAATGGTTCGCTTCGGACCCTGGACTGGCCGTGCCGTCAAAGCAATACTATTGCGAAGCGATCTGAGGGATGCAGACGCCACGCTAGCCAGGATGCAAGTGAAGTTGCGCTCTGTGATACTGCCAGTCGGCTTATTCTCCGCATGTAGCATTAGTACGCCGTACTTCGCATAGCCTCAATGCGGGTACGGAATATCACTCGCAGCGCCAGACGAAAAACGTCTTTCTCACAAGATGAGGCACCCCAAGCAGACAATTGCCGCGATTAGAGCTCAACTCGCATGCAAGGCAAGCAATGCCTGTGGGGGACCAGCTTGCCAGCGTAGCAGCGCATGGATGGAGGTTCGAGCTTCGCCACCTCCGTTGGATCGGATGGCCGCTTCAGTTCATGCTCGTGGTGAAACAACAGGGTCGTCTGCGGGATTAGCCTGCCTCTTGGGCGGCAAGCTGCAGATTTACCCGATACCGACCACCCGTGTGCCGCCTAGCAGTGGATGCATAGGTAGGTAGGTAGTAGTAGTAGTAGTAGTAGTAGTAGTAGTAGCTGTATACGCGGAGCGGTACCTCTATATCACACCGTTCGACTGGATCTTGATCTGAGCGCACGGCTTGTTAGCTCTACCTGTGGGCTCTTTGTACAAGCATACGGGTATTTGCGGCAAGCAGCTGCCTCGTTCGCCAAACGTCATCAAACACGAACAGAGGATCTTATGGTGAACGAGCATGGGCTGGCAATCGGGTTGCCCCCATCATGAAGATAGGTGAGAGGCTTCGAAGTTGATGGGACGACCTCCGCTGAGCATCGGTCCAAGTGCGGAAGCTTGCCGTTGCCTTGCTGATATGCGCTCGAGTGCGGACTCCTGGACATTCCCAACTCGGTATCTCGTACAGAGGACCGACCGGTGAAGACAGATGCAATTTCAGGTGAACGGCTTGTGCGCAGGGAAGAGGCTTGATAACAAGAAAGTCTGATGGGAAGATTCAACATGGCATCCTAGTCCACGTTGGTAGATGTTCGTATGTACTCCGTACTTGGAGCACAATGAAGCCGGTAGTAGTAAGGCAGAGTGAATAATAGGCGTTTAGTCTTTCGTACCTAGCGTAAGGTACGGAGCACCCTCGCAAATCACTTCCCCGCCGTCAATCGATAGCCAGATAATGGCGAGTTGGCCGACTCTCAAACGGCTTAGTAGTACTAAGGATAAAGTACAGTTCAGGTGAGAGAGACAGAGGCTTCATAGCTTGGATGGCAACCAGGATTCCGTGGTGTTCAAAGGCCGTGGAGCTATCTGTATTTTGTCATGAGAAGCTGTTGGCATTTCGTACTCGCAGGCATTCATACAAGTACGACACTCTGCACTCGCTTCTGCCATGGGTGCGGGCCTCTGCGGTGGATTCACAAGCGACGATCTCGGAGACAGCCGACAGTGTGCAACTGTCGATCCGGGCCATAATTCCATGACGCTGTCAAAGAGAAAAGTTATCAACCATGAGTAGGAGAGTGCCTTTACAACAACTAGCTGCAGTTGAGGCAATGGTCTCTCCGGCAACTTGAAAGCCCAGATAGATGGCCGTCATCTGAAAGATTTCTCCTGAGAAGGGCGCGGGATGTGATTGAGAGGCACCTCGGCGGTGTTGGTTCGATCAACTCCGTATTCCGTGGCGAACATGTGCTGCGCCATCGAACGGACGGGGACACATTCTTGGCATTGCCGATGCCGAGCAGACGGAGATTATGGAACAATGACATGATGTTGGACAACCTTTTGCTCTGCGTTCCTATTTCTCTTGCCTTTGTCAAGCGCACCTGGAAAGCGACGGCGGCACGACAGTGGCCAGATGGTAGGTCCCTGTAAACCCGTAGTCCGTAGTCCGTGGCACTAGGCGCAACAGGGGGGGCTGACAGACCAAATATCCGGGCCTTATTAGATCAACGACTATCGGGCGGAAGCTGGCACTGACTCGAGCATCTCCGAACGTGCCCAGGCAGTGCTGTATTCGCTGGTTGAGCCGAACAGGCTGCAGTAATGGAAACAATTCTTCACATCAGCTGGAATCCGGCAAGATAGTGTAGGGGGAAGAGCGAAATTGTCCCACTGGCTTGGCGGTAAGAGAGGCAAACAACTCTGAAGTGGAATGGATAGGACACTACAACTCCTATTCAATTTCCTCTTTCGGAGGGGTTAGGTGATTGCTCTGTATGGTGGTGTTGGCATGCAAGCCACGCATGATGTACTATCATCTGTCAACTCGTGTTAGTAGGGAGAGCGGAGATTGTACGTACGGATACAGCAAACCCTCCAGCCGAACAGGCGGTAGAGAAGAGCTGATGCCGGATTTGATATGGCGGAACGAGTATGGGGTGATGACACTTACGAGTGAGAAGCTGTAGATGCTCGGTGCCAAATGCCCCGTGTTGCAAACTTGAGTACGTCTAGGTTAAATTGGCCATACGGAGCAGGATTCCCTACTGTTGCTGGTGTTGCTGGTGTTGTTGTTGTACGGGTGGCAAGGTGTGCAAGTACTCGTACCACCGTGTTGGCCGCCGTAGATTCTTCCCAGATAACGGTATGTGACCAGTGTGGGAGAATTGAGCTGTCAAAGGTCGGTTTTGCGTCGCTTGGAGATGTTCGTCCGCCAAGGGGTGGACAGGGATTGCTTCGCTTTTCTCACCTGATTGAGCCGGTGGTAGGGATCAGTGGCGCAGGCAGTGGACATAGTTGTAGTTGTAGATGGGGAGAAGAACCCGGTTGGCAGTGACAGGGCGTGGGCAGAGGCATGGGCGAGGCATGGCGATGCATGGATTGGCTGGCATGGGGTGATACCTAGGCGACCGGCTTCTGGTCGAAATGGGGACGAGGTCGAGGCGAGGCGAGGCGGGGCGAGACGACTGGACGAGGAAGGGTAGCGTCGACTTGCAGCTCATCCATCAAAGGCACTCGCATCAGCCAGTCATGGCCGAGGGAGTCAAGCGAGAGGCTCCATGTCCAGAACCCGTACCTGAGCTAGCACCGCCTTAGCTTGCGGACTGCTGCAGAGGCGCCACCGAATATTGAATGCAATACAAACAAAGCAGGCCGCATGACGAAGCAGAGAGAGCATGTTTGTATCCGTACGTACGATTCCAGCTGGAAATGGGTTGTCGGTGTCTGTGCGGCGGATCTCGCCTGGTGCAGATTGGTCTGTGTCCAAGGGTCAAGGTCAAGGCGCGGGATGACAATTAGAGATGGACGGCGGTACTAGAAGGAAGAACCAGAAACCGGCCGGTCAGTCTGTGAGGAGAGCGGAAGCGCAAGGGTTTCATGGAGAGCAGACAGGGATGTTATGGCAAGGATTAATGGGAAGAAAAAAAAAAACGGAAAAAAAGGAAAGCAAGTGGGAAAAACACAGGGGCATCAAGCGGTAACGTGATATCGATCGAGGATCAAGCGTGGGAGGAAAGAGCCGGCGAACCTGAAGCAGGAGACACCCATGGAAGGTGGAAGAGGAAGGAGGAAGGGAAGGACAGGGACGGATCATGCAGTTGTACCTGCATCAAGTAGCAGGTACTTATTGTCTTCCGGTGTACTCGTCTATAACTAAAGTACTGTGTACCGGCAGGAGGCTTAGCCTGGTTTGGCATTAGGCTCGCGGGTTAAACTTGTCGGCAAGCTTAGGCGCTAAAAGGCCAATCAAAAGCAGTTGGCCGGCTGCAGGTGAGGCTTGCGAGAAGCGTGCGAGAAGCGTGCACGCATGAATATTGGCTATTTGGACGAGATTGGATGCAGACCTCGATTGGGCTCTTCTCCTGAGTGAGCAATCAAAGGTAGAGAGGCAATAGCTGGCATTGGGCTTAGTATTGCCATGCTACAACTGCAAGATATGTACTTACGGTAAGGTTGATGTTAAGGTGGTAAATAAGGTACTCGGTAAACCGTAAAAGCGGTCGTCTCCTTGGTGGCGTTCACAGATGATCATCCTTCGTATCAAAACACCAATCCAACCAAACACCTCAAACGTGCAAAGCGGCATCGAAAACCCTCCCAGACTACAGCCCGGGCCACGATTTCATTCGACAAAACAGTCACCTGTAACGCCCTCGACCTGAAGCGCCCGGCCGCCTCTGCCTCTCAGTCTCGACCAGTTATTTTAGGGGCATGGCCGTGAACTTGCCTCAGCGACCAGTCAATAGCGCCGTGTGCCTGCCAAGAAGGCCGTAGCGCGGCCCCTGGAACATGGAGCCGTTTCGGCAGCAAGCCATCCAGGCGCCCCTGGGGGTTCTTGGCACGCAGGCAGGGCGACAAAGGCCGTATGTAGTCAATGGGTATCTGCCGTGTCTTCCTCGGGAGGAACCGTCGCTGCTGCTGATGGCCTGAGTGACGCCTCGTCTACCTGCGCCCCAAGTCCCGCCTCGCCATGCTAAAACTCCACGACCCTTTGCGGCTGCCAGCATCCACGCTCGACGTCCTCTCGCCAGACGTCCATGTACTCGCCGGTATCAAGCCAGCCTCTCCAGGCACTCCGTCTTGCCCGGCTTCAAGGTCCCATCTGTTATCGTCTGCCGCGGTCTGCCCCCAGCAGCCGCTATGCTCCGATACTTGGACCCCCCAAGCTCGCCAGCCGCGTACCGGTACCTTGCAGCTCGATAGTGCCTCAACCCTGTTCCCGGCGCTTCAATCATGGGTCTCGTCTCGATTCGGTCTTTCCCACAGGCTGTGGGGAGACGCTGCGAAGCACCAGGGGTTGAGTCTTTGCGCCTGCTCAAGCGCCTCAGCAAGACAAACATGGACTCCAAGTGCGAGAGGAGTAGCATGAGTGTGAGCAACCTGAAGGTGTTAGTAGTACCTACCTACCTTGCTTGGTTGGGAGACGGAGTCAGGTAAATACTACTGGCCCCATCTCCGGCCGGAACCTCGTGCTGGCCTTGGGTATATAGATCTGCCTCTCTACTCCGTTCTCTTCCCTCTCTTGTTTCTGGAGCTTCAACCAGCCTTTGTTTGTTTTCTTTCTTCTCTTTTTCTCTTTCTCTTTTATCCCTAATCCAAACACCAGTCTCTCTTTTCTGGGTCAAAGTCATTCGTTTTCTTTGCATCCCTCACAACAACGACAAACCTACAACCCAAAGTCTTTCATATCGATATTCAATATTTCTCGATTCCTATATTTTTGCTGCTTCAATACGCTCACTACCGTTTTGAACTTGTTTCGACATGAAGTCCGTCACCTTTGCTCTCCTGGCTGCGGCCAGTGTTGAGCGGGCTGCTGCCACCGTAAGTCTTAGCCTCCCACTTACACCCTCCCCTCCTCCTCAGTTGTATTCCTCTGATATACACACGCATCCATCTGTCTTATACAAAGCTCGGTTGGCTAACCCCTTCATCCAGTTCAACCTTGGCAACTCCTGGACCAGCGCCAAACCCTACAGCTGCCCCAGCAACACCGACAACAACCAATGTACCGAGCAGCAGCACCACGGCTGGGACTGGAGCGACGTCCCCACTGGCCCTGTTGGCCACTACAGCGGTTGCGACTTCAAGGGCTGGAGCTGCGAGAACGACTTCAGCAAGCGTGATAGCCTCCTGAGTGCTCGTACCTTTGGCACTACCGGCCGCTCCATCTCCGGCCAGTGCACGGGTGACAAGACCACCACTCCTTGCATCTACGCCAGCGGCGACAAGGAGCACTTCTCCATCGACACCTTCTCCGTCTCCACCGAGTTCGACACTCGTCTCGAGTTCCACTACGACATGCCCGACGGCTCAACCTGCAAGCACTCTGCCGACTGCTCGTCCCATGGAACCACGGTTAAGAACAACCAGTGCGGTGGTGCCAAGTCGGTCTGCGTCGTCTACCCTGGCAGTGGAAACAACGGTGGAAGCAAGCCCAGCTCGCCCAGCAAGCCCAGCAAGCCTAGCAAGTCCACTTGCGGTGCCAAGGTTCACCACATCGGCTGGAACTGCAACAACAACTCTCCCCCTCCCTCCGGTGGCCAGCCTGGCAAGCCCGGTAAGCCCGGTAAGCCTGGCAAGCCTGGCAACACCCAGCCCGCCAACACCCAGCCCGCCAACACTCAGCCCGCCAGCACCCAGCCTGCCAACACATACACTGCTCCTGCTGAGACCTACACCCTCCCCGCTGGCGAGACCACCTACACTCTCCCCGGTTCGACTTTCACTGTCCCTGCTGGCGAGACTACCTACACCGTTCCAGCTGTCGAGACGACCTTGACTGCTCCTCCTGCCACCTACACCGTCCCTGCTGGAGAGACCACCTACACCGTTGACACCACCACCTACACCGTTCCTGCTGGAGAGACTACCTACACTCTCCCCGGCTCGACCTACACGGTTCCTGGTGAGGCCACGACTTACACTGTGCCCGCTGGCGCCACGACGTACACTGCTCCTGCTGCTACCTACACTGTCCCTGCTGGCGAGACCACCTACACGGTTCCCGGCGAGACCACGACCGTCCCCGCTGGCAGCACTGAGACTACCACTGGAACTGCGGCTGCTGCCACTACCACTGCTCCTGCTGGCGAGACAAACACTGAGGTTGTCGTGAGCACCTCCATCATCCCTGGAGGCGAGACCACCACTGCCCCCGCTGCTGGTGAGACTACCACTGCTCCCGCTGCCGGCGAGACCACCGTCCCTGCTGCTACCGAGACTGCCACTGCCCCCGCTGGTGAGACTACCACTGCTCCCGCTGCCGGCGAGACCACTGTCCCTGCTGCTACCGAGACTGCCACTGCCCCCGCTGGCGAGACCACTGCTGCTCCCTCCACCACCGGTGGCTCTGATGCTGCCACCACCGGCCCTGCCTCGGTCATCACCACCACGTACCAGACCACCTCCACCGTCTTCACCACCACGGTCCACACCATCACCAGCTGCGCTCCCGAGGTGACCAACTGCCCGGCCAGGCCTGACCAGCCCGTCCTGACCACCGTGACCGTTGCCGTCAGCACCACCATCTGCCCCGTCACTGCCACCATCACCCCTGCGCCCCCGGCTCCTACCGCTACCGGTTCCACTCCCGCCGGCCCCGGATCTTCCGCCCCCGGCTCTGAGCCCGATGCGCCTCTTCCTTGCCCCGAGGTCCTGCCCAGGTGTCTCAACACCTGGCTGACCCTGGTTCCCGACTGCAAGAGCAACACTGATGCTTCTTGCTACTGCCCCAGCAAGGACCTCGTCGAGAAGGTGTTCGAGTGTGTCTACTCCAACGGAGACAACGATGATGATGTTGCAGCTGCCATCACCTTCTTCCAGGGCATCTGCGCTGGCGATGCTGGCTCCAACCCTGCCATTGTCACTGGTGCCGAGACCATCACCTCCATCATCACCGTCACCAGCACTCCTGTTGTGGCCCCGACTGACTACACCACCATCGTCGTTGCCACCTCGGTCACCCAGCCTGTCGTCTCCGAGGGCACCACCATCCCCGGCAGCAGCACCACCTACTGGGTCTCGACGGCCGTCACCATCCCCCAGGTCGCCATCACTGCTGCTCCCGCTCCTCCCGCGCCCACCGGTGCTGCCCCGACTGCCCCTGCCGAGGCCCCTGCTCCCGCCCCGACTCTGGCCACTCCCCCTGCTGGTCCTATCGGAACCGCCACCGGCACCGGAGTCCTTCCCGGCGGCACTGGCATCCCCGTCATTGGCGCTGCTGGCCGCGTTGGCGCTGGCATGAGCCTTGGTCTCGCCATCATCGGCGCTGTCTTTGCCCTGTAAAGCAGCCCCTGAGTGGACGATGCCCTAGGGCCGCGCGCACTCTCTGTGCGCCGTTGCCTGTTTTCCTTTTTGGTTCATTCTTGGAGGCATTATTGCTTTTACTCAGTGCCTCTGGGAGCGCGCGCCGAATTGTTTGTTTGCATGGAAAGTGGGGGAAAGGGGGAATGTATGTGTATACGGACAAGACCTGATTAGCGGAAAAAGAACCCTCATACAGTAGGGCAAATATCATTCTTACGATCCTTACGAGCACATGGACAGGACAGTCGGGGTAGCCTCTCTTTGTTTGTTCCTTTGGCCCAGGGCTGATGGCCCTTGGCCGGAGAAGCAGAGATGGAGAGGAGGATCCTTGGATCCATGGATCACGCGCAACGCAACGCAATGCACGGAGAGACCACTTTTACCACCCGCTGGACTGGCTGATGTTCCTAACATTAATATTAATATCGATATGAGATTCATCTGCCGTTTGGCTGCTGCCAAGGCTATGGACGTTTTGGACAAAAAAGGTTGATTCTTTTCCTTTATTCTGTTTTATTGTTGATTATATCATCTTTTATGCGAGTGAAAGGCTCTCTTTTATATGTAGACGTATTGGTGCCGTTTGCATCTAGTGTTGAAAATAGAATTATCATTGCCAGTTATTCCAAGCTGCTCCTGTGTGAACCGACTGACACCGCTCATAATCTTCCGTCTGGCTGTCTGTCTGACTGTCTGTCTACCGTTGAACCCTCTATTCAACTGCCGCATCAAACAGGCTCTTAATGCAAGATACGCACAACAGGAACAAAGAGGCGCAACAATGCATAAAAGCACGGAATACGAAAAAAGATTGAACAAACCAGGGATGCCTTTCATGTCGCATTCAACGTCTACTACTTCCATCTCAAAGCTTCGCTCCCTTGGCCTGTCTGGCCTTCTTCTCCCTGTCTCTCAACAGGCGTCTCAGAATCTTACCGCTGGGGCTCTTGGGGATGGCGTCGATGAACTCGATGCCGCCGGCGAGCCACTTGTGCTTGGCCTTGTGATCCTGCACGTGCTTGTGGATGGCGGCCTCAATGTCCTTGTCGGCCTTGCCGGCGCAGTCCGCGGCGGACTTGGTGACAAAGGCCTTGGGCACCTCGCCGGCGTAAGAGTCGTGGACTGGGATGACGGCGCAGTCGGAGACGTACGGGTGGCTGAGGAGATGGGCTTCGAGTTCGGCGGGAGCGACTTGGTGACCCTGTGAGACACGTCTGGTAAGCACTGCTGCTCAAAATTGAATATTTAGAGGAACGAGGCGGTGGACGAGAAAGAATGAGACGGGAAGTTATTATGGCACATAGGGTTGATCAAATAAAGCTTTGCTTCGCTTTGCTCAGCTCATCTCATCTCAGCCGGCTTACCTTGGTCTTAATCAGCTCCTTGATGCGGTCCACTACAATGAGATGCTCGTGGCCCTGTGCCGACTTTCGGATGATGACCTCGTCACCCGTCCGCAGCCACCGGCCGTCGTCGTGGTGGACAAATGTGTCTGCATTGGCCTTTTCGTTGTTGAGGTATCCCAGCACCACGGCCGGGGATTGGATCAGCAGCTCGCCCGGGGTGTCGTGCTCCGTCACCTCGTTACCCTCCAGATCGATGAGTTTGGCCTTCTTCCCGGGCAGCAGAGACCCGGAAGAGCCAAAGAGCACGTCCAGCTCGTTGGTCGAGGAAATGGTGGGCGAGCATTCCGTCATGCCGTAGCCTTGCCCGATGCGCCATTTGGGATACATGTCGTTCAGCTCCTCAACGACCTCCGACCCTAGCGGAGCCGCTCCGGAGTAGACGTAGCGTACGCTGTCGAGGTTGTACTTGGCAGCCTTGTCGCGGTTGCCAATGATCTGTATCAGCATGGGCGGAACCACAAACAGCTGCTCAATCTTGAAGCGCTGAATGGCGTCGAGGAGCTCGTGAAAGTTGTATCTCGGCAGCACAATGTTTTCATCGCCGCGGTACTGGCTGAGGGTGGAAACGAGGACAAGCGCATATATATGCGAGAAAGGGAGGACGCCTAGAGAGACCTGAGTCTCGATGCCGAGCGCTTTTCGGGGGACACTGTCGAGAAGGAAGACCTGCAGGATGTTGGCGATGACATTGCGATGAGAGACCATGACGGCTTTCTAGCAAAGCTTTGTTAGCCATCCACACAATCAACAGGCACCGTCTGGCCCAACGTCATAGATGACATGAAAGGAACATCGCTTGAATATCTCCTCGGCAAGATGCTGGAATTTCAACTCAATGCCGCTCGTCACTTACCGGCATGCCAGAAGTGCCGCTAGAGTAACACAGGTAGGCTGTCTGCCTGGCTCCCTGTCCCTTGACCCAGTTCAAAGGCTTCAGCGGCGGCAGATCCTTGCCCTCGGCCACCAGATCGTCAATCGTCACATAGGAAGGGGGGTTGTCGAAGCCCGCGGTCCGCAGTATGAAGATGCGGTCCTTGGGAATGCCCACGGCGGCGGCCGCCTTGAGGGCATTGTCGAGGAGGGGAGCGCATGTGAAGACGGCCTTTGCTCCTGACGTGCGGAGCTGATGCTCGAGTTCCGGTACCGAATATGCGGCGCTCGCGGGCGTGACGATGCCGGAGAGGCGATGGATGGCGTGCGTAAACGGGAGATAGTCAATCTGCGGCACAGGAGAGAAGCCATAGCCTCGTTAGATCGTTGCCTTTGAGCAGAATCGGAGCGGGTTTCGGACAAGGCGTCTTCGGCGGGGTTTGGTTTTTCTAGGCTGGCTCTGGGGTCCGTACCGTGTTGACCGAGTATATCGCGACCACTCTCTCCCACTCTGACTCCTCTTGAGGGTTGAATCCTAGCCGCTTGCTAATTGCGCGAGCCATGTAGTCGGTCCGCTCCGCTACCTGAGCGGCACTGTATGTCGTGCCCGTGATACCACATGTGTAGGGGTTCCTGGCCTTGGCCAGCGGGTAGCGGCCATACTGCTCATTTCGAATGAACTCTTCGATGGTGATGGAATCCGGCAGTTCTATCTCGCCAAAGCCGCTTGTCAGTTTCGGGCGGGCAACAGCCATGTACGCATTTTCGCAGGGCAGTTGGTTGGAGACAAACCCGGCAGCTGGGGAAGATATGAGGGCGGCGTGAAGACCATGGCGAAGCGGCCCCCGAGACCTCTGAGATCAAGACAAGGCGGGAGAAGGAAAGGACGTGCAATCGACTATGAGACGTGCAAGAGGAGGTTTAAGCAGCAGGAGCCGAGGAGACGCATCGACGCGGGCTAGGGCAGGAAATATAGTAGCTGCATTGTCAATTCCGAACAACCTAACCGGCTTGGTACCCAGGCAATGGCTGATCGCCTACCCCAAGGTACAAGGTTGAGGAGATGCAAGTGGAGATGCAGATTGACAATGAACCTCGGGAGACGGTGTCGGCTAATGGGAGAGAGCCGCGATCTGCCAGTTGGGGTAGAAGCAGCAGTTGGCCCTTGCTTGCCCCAAGACAAATCAAGACCCCGGACTATCGTGTGTCAAGTCGCAGAGTCATAGGGACCGGGGCTGTCTTCCGAGGCAATGTCTACAACCAACCCCCCCTTGCAAGCAGTCTCTCGTATGCATATACTCGGGCTGTCTCTCAAGTTCTTAAACAAATCCAGACATTGTGAAATCGAATTCCATTTACGCCTTGGAGAGATGGGAGCAGTTCAATGACGCGATTCCCAGGTCTCTGCAGGGTAGTGGTCTAGATGGGAGCTAGACGGCAGCAGAGCTTCCCCAACTCCATTCCTTCGCTGGCTTTGACCAGTAGGCGGCGGGCTGATTGAACAGACCAAACCACTGCTCCCCGGCCTAATTCTTCCCCAGACGGCGCCGTTGGCTAAACTCCGAGTGCCGCAAGGTCATGCTGGGGTGGATTCATTGGCCTGTTAATGTATAAGCGAAGTCTCTGCAGGATTCAATCTGACTCGACAGAGTGAAGCGCAGTGCATGCAGCGATCTGAGACCTCGGCAATCCAAACTGTGGATTGAGTCAGGCCAACAGTACGACTTATCGTTACTCCGATCCACTATCTCCTCAAGCACCGGGGCACAAGTACGGAGAGTAGCAGTATGGCGATCGGCTGGTATGGTGTCCCCATTTCACAACGACACCTTTCTTCATGACGAGGTAGATAAAGAATATGCTTCGTACATCTATTCAAATGTCCTTCCTCATATACAAGGTGCTAAGGACGCATCATCTAATACCGACTCAGAGATATCCACAAATGGTGGCTGGTGGCTTATCCAGTTCGCCCGTATATACAAAAACAAATGGCAACATGTAAAGAAGAAGTTGTATCCAAGGAAATGGCCTCCCCCCAAGGGACTATACAATGTTGACAACCATTGCCAGAGCGCCCAGCGCAACGAGCACCCAGGTAAAAGGGAGAAGCTGCGCACCGGCATCTTCGTCTCCTCCGCCATCGCCATCACCGCTGCCGGAGCCACTGGGTGAGGCGGTGCTGGTAGGTTCGGCGGTGGCTTCGGCTGGCCGAACGGTCCGCGTCGTGACGACGCCGGTGCGGCAGTTGATGTCGAAGGCTGGACAGGACGTCACCGTAAACGTTGTCGTGAAGGCCGAGGTTGGTATTATGTTGGTGGCTCCCGAGTTTGATGCCGTGATCTGCAACGAGATATGTGATCAGTCGTCGTGTGGTTCTCCACGCGATTTGGACGAAAATGCTTACCGTTGGGCTTCCTGAGCCGGTAGGAGAGGCTTCGGCCTCGTTACAGTTGCCCTGTACGTTGGGGACAGCATCGGATCCCGAGCCGGCAACAACAATGTCACTGCTGCCACAATCCGCGGCCTGGGCAATGTGAACCTGCTGGTTATCCCAGTCAAAGACAAAGTAGCCGGCCCTCAACACCGTGTCGCCCAGAATCTGTTGGTCGGTGGTGATGACGATGCCAACGAAGCAAAAGTCCGAGTCATCGCCCGAGCCACCGCCCGAGCCACTCGAGTCTTGGCCCGTCAGAATAAAATCGGAAAAGGGGACGCGGACGGTCTTGTTGCCGAAGCCAAAATCGACACTGCCGCCGGCATTCCGGGTCGAGCACGGCACGTAGAAGTAGCCCTCGCCGGCGTCTTGGGCGCCCAGGGCCTCGAGGATGGGCAGAGCAGCAGCCTCATGCATCCGGCTGAGCGTCGTACCGGAGTCGAGCATCACGTTGGTGTCGGCAGCAGAGAGCCTGAAGCTCTGAGACCGGCTTTGGGTGAGGCCCAGCGTGGTGAGATTGACGGCCAGCCGAGTCTCGCCCTTGATGCCGCGCACAATGGGCCGGGCCTCGAGAGATCCGACGAACTTGCTGCGGTCGATGCCGCCGTAGATGATGGCGCCCGTCTGCGAGTCCGAATGCCGGAGATCGAGGGCAAAAACTCGGCTTGCAATGACGCCCTGCTCGGCCATGGTGTTGAGCAGCAAGCTGTACGGCTCATCCCCTGGAAATCCGCCCCGAACGTCCGGTGCGAGGCCCATGATGCCCTGTGCCTGGCCGTCGCTGGATGTGACCACGCCAAACGTCTGGTTCTTGACCTGGATGCTGCCAAAGCTCAGCGTGTCGGCATAATAGGTAATGTCGACCGACGTCTGCGTGGACTGGTCTGTAGGGTCGCCATAGTTGATTTCCTCACGCCCAAATGGACCGACGGGCGGTGTTCTTGACCTCCTTGGGTTGTACTGGCCCAGATCCTCGCACTGATCGGCCTGTTGCTGGGACGGTGCGGTCGAGCAGTCGGGGTTGACCCAGAGCTCGCTGGATCCCGTATCGACAAGGACGGTTACATTCTGAGGAGGGGTTCCCATGCCAACTATTGTCGAGAATTCGTCAGCATGTCTACTCCGGAGACCGTAGTAGATTGGGAAGTGAATGATAAGGAGCACAGGTTCAACAGAGGTTGCTAAAGGCATCTAGAGTTATTACCTTGGATGGCATAGAAAAAGTCCATATTGTCCAGCGTTGCGTCAATGGCGCTTCTCTTGCCGACCTTGTGCGGCCTCGGAACCGTTCCCACGGGAATCGCCAGATATCCATCCCCAGATTCCGCCCGCGGGAAGACGGGAGTAGCGACAGCTTCCGCATAATCCGCCGCGAGCAGCAGCGCGAGTGCTGCCGAGAACGAAGTTGGCGGCCTCATGATTCCTCTGAGCGCTTTGCCGACTCTCGGCTTCTTTCCCCTCTCTCTTCCTGGCTCTTCCTCTTCCACTCTTGTCTGTCTGCGAGTATATATATCAATCAAGGACCGGTACAGTCGAAGAAAGGAGAAGGAGTTACAGGAAGAAATAGAAGAAGAGAAAGAAGAAGTAAGCTGAGTCCGCACGACAACGAAAGCAAGGCTCAGCAAACCACCAGAGCAATTCAGCAAGATCTTGGCACGATCTTCCTACTAGCGGGTATGACGGCGACAAGGGTCGAGTGACGGGGACATGGAAGGCAAACGTCGCCAGCCCGCCCGGTTTCCTATTTGTAGTTAAGAAGAACGATTATGTTCTCTTCATGATCTCATCTTCCACTCATCTGGCCTCCTCCTCTTAGCCATTATCGGCCAAGCAACTTCCCTGGCCAGTGGCTGCGTCGCTCCATCCGAGAAGACGCCCACAGCCTTTCCGAGTCGAAGTCCTGCCGACAACCTTTACCTGGAAGGCAGCTTGTGCCGGAGCTGAGGTTGGAGCAACGCGGCGCAGCTCCTCTAGACACCCACTAGTGCTGGACTTTATTGCTCCGTCCGCCTGGATTTGAGCCGCCAAGCTCGACTTGCCGCCTTGTGGCGCCCGTTTCATCAGCTACGCGACGCTACTTGTAGGCGGATCAAGCGGGTGGCCAAAGACTCGAGTTGCTACAGAAGAGGACCCTTGGGAAAGCATTAGCATAACGAAGAGGCGATACGAAGCATTACACACTTTGGCCAAAAGCCTGTCACTTCTTCAGAATATGCGTAAAAGCTTGTTGCTGGTATGGATATTATGGATATTATGGAGCCAGCTGGACGTTAATGCCGGAGTCTGTGGGGAGTTTTCGGATCGCTGGGAAAAGGCCTCGACAGCCTCCGTCGTCATAGAGTTGCGGATCGACTCCCGCCTCCCAATTTCCAAATGCCGATGGGGCATCTTGAATAATTTCATGTTCAGAAATATTGGCTGTAAGAGATTCAAGCACTGGGTTGATCGAAGCAATCCCGAAGCTTTGGAATTCGGTAGGTATGTGTAAAATGTCCGTAATTCTGGTGTCACAGCCCAATTCTCACATCAGAGGATGGGTCCAAGGTCTGGTGTAAGAGGCAACCGAGATTTACAGTTGCTCCATATCTACGTGTTTCTTCAGAGATGAAGCCAAGCTGCCAGCATCGGTCACCAGCTCATCCTATCCCGCACCAATCGGCCATGCTTGTCATATCACTACCATTAAAATCTCAAGCTACGATGCTCTTGGCGCATTCAAGGGTCCTGAATGAGAAAGCCTCCTTATGCTCTACTTCGGGTGTAGACATTGTAGACATCGTCATCCCAGTGGCGGTGGCTTGGCTGCCTCATGGACGAATCTTCAAGCTGCACAACGTCCAGAATGCTACACGAGCGGCGAATCATTGTTGAGGACGCGCAAGCCGTGCTTGGCAGCCAAGAACTCCATCCCAGATAGGAAGCATCCTCACTTGGCTGTCATACGTAGACAGCACAAGCATGCACCTCAGTCGTTTGCATCGCCTAGACAGGGGAGGGATGACCAAGAGACTGTGTTTCTGGCATGCGATTGATGGCGATGAGCACCGGGTTACCTGATTGTATCCTGAATATCTTATTTTATATTTATAGGAGCGTGTATTTAAGACGGGCGTAATCTCATTCTCTCACAGAGTCGGGATTTAATGCAGGTTTACAGCTTCCACCTCGATTCAGTGAAGATGTTTAAAGCACATCTCATCACTACTCATCTCTCAATAATTGCTTTGAAAGTAAGATGAGAATAACGGCGTGACGTATAGGCGCACATTTAGAGTTGTGTCAGTTGAGATGTCATCCCCTTCATTTTCTCCGCTCGGCTCTCATCTACTTAGGTACTTAGAATGAAATTCATCTGGTACACGAGTTTGTTCGGATTAATAGTACCTTACCTAAGGTAGGGTGATTCATTCTGCATTTACTAGCCGAATCTCTTCATCTCGGCCTCTCATGGTACAAGTAGGCGAGGCGTTGCGATGATCAAGTTCACAGAAAGCTGTTCCTCCCCGAGAGATCAATCACCACTCACAACAATTCCTTGAACCACTGCTTCATCTCAATAGTTGCTTCGCCAATGCGTTCCAATACGCCTTCGGCCACAATAAGGTCGTGTCCCGCATTCGGATTGCTCCAGAGTGTCACTTCAACTCCCGTCTTCAAGGCCTCGAGATTCTTAGCCAGAGCCCTTCCCTGGTCTGCCAGGATCTCTCTCTCACCGATGGTGATGTGAACCCTCTTGACGGCGCTGTTCAGCTTGCTGAGCCAAGTTCCCCTACATTCCAGGGGCTTCGCCCAACTATCACCTTCATCCGAGACGATCTGGTCTTCATGATACCCAGCATCTGCCGCCAAGGATCGCATGATGGCTGTAGAGAGCATGTCATCTCCATCGTGCTCCAGGAACGAGGGGCTGGAGACCTCGCAGCTGAGCCACGGGGATGTGAGGGCAGCGGCGAACAGAGGCTCAGTCAGTGAGAGACGGCTGGCTTCGGGATGGGGCTCGATGATATGATGAAGAAGCTGCATTGTGAGGTTGCCGCCAGCAGAGTCACCGCCTACGACGATGTCCCTAGGGCTGAAGCCTGCTTTGAGAAGCTCGGAGAGCGCAGATGCGGCCTGACGGAGCTGCACAGGAGGCTTCTCATCCGGAGTAAGAGAATATTGCAGAAAGGCCACGGCCACCTCGGTGTCTGATTCCACCCCGGAGAGCACAAACGCGTTCCACACGGATTCAATATGCCCGGGCTGGCACGACATCATATATCCTCCACCATGGTGGTAGAGTACCACCTTTTGGGCTTTGTGACGGTTACCAACCCAGAGGATGCTCGAGTTCGCCTCGGGGAGAGGCTGTATATCACATTGAAGTCGCTCTTTCATGGCCGAGTCTTTGACAAGCTTCTGCTTTCGGCGGATCCATGCTCTGTATACCTCTTCGGTAGATGGAAGCAAGGTCTGGATCTCGCGAGCCGTAAAGTGGCCCATGAGAACTCTAGTCCCAGCATTCAGTAGATAAATCGGGACGTTCAAATTGTTTCGAAGGGCGTATAAGCTGAACCGCGCGCAAACAAATGCGAATATCCAGGGAGCTGGACCATCACTCTCATCAGTCGAAATGCCACCAGCGACGCGAATCATTCATTTCGAATCATCATTATGCCGACAAAGCACTTACCCACAAACAGCGAAAATGCGTACAACTTGACTTTCTCGCCCATGGACAGGCGAGGTTTGATGGAGTTGGCCTGTGGTGTGTCGACAGGATTCAACTGCCTGTCAGCTATGTGCAAAAAGGATACTCATATGACAAGGCGAAGTAAAAGAAGGTTATTATCTCTTACCATCGGAACTGGATGCTGTGTCTCTTTTTCTTTGAGACTCAACTTTACAAATGAGGACCCATTCAATACCACTTTACGGATGTATGCGCCATGTATGTGATGAACAGGACTGAAGAGAGAGAAAAGATCGAGCAACGGTGAGTTGTGCCATCTCAACTTATATTTTCACCTCCCTGCCTCCCTTCTCCTGATATACCTGGTTTGTCTTTATTGTTACACCCAGGCTTCATGCAGGGCATCTGACTCTTCTGTTTCAGCTTCTTCCACATTGAGTCGTTCGTTTTCATCATCCTGCAGCCAGCAGGCTTTCATTCGTAGGCCTGCAGGGTTACCTCGCATATTCAGTGCTGCCGCCACCAACCTCCACGATAATTTCGTACGTCAATACATCCCAGCCGCAATAATCTCAGCTTTCGAAGTTCGCAATGAAGGGTAACATCGTAAATCTACTAGAGGCGATTGAAGCAACACTCAGCTTGCCCTGTTCAGGTGGCGAGTGGGGATCCATGCATCCGGCTCGGCCATATCACACTGCCGAAGTGGATGCGAAGATCGTAGAGTAGTATCAGGGGCCAACGCTCCGTAGATGGATGGGCATAGGTGTAGTACCGCGGAGAGCGGGTAGCAACCTATTCTAAAATGGCCTATACCTAGGCCTTCGAAAGACTGGCAGACACGTACACCGACTATTAACGAAATGAAGCTACCCCTTGTATCACCATGGGTTTGTGGCCTCAAGATGCAGCATGATGTGGGCTTTTGCGTGATATAAAATCCATTGAGCCCCATCATGCCTTATGGTATAAAGCGGCGGCAATCCTCTATCCCCTGTCCTTGTTGGAAACGCAACAAGAGACAAAGCCTCCAAGAAGCCAAAGTGTATTAACAATTGCGTCCAAATAGGTCACCTTCACACACGCCAGTCACGCAGAAACGGAAACATGTTTATGTTTACCTCACGAGAGGGTGTAACTCTCGACTCGGTAGCTGCTCCCCTGCGGCGTTGGCTGTTCAATCCTGTCTCCTCAGTACCGGCAGCCCTTGTCTTATCCGGCCTAGGACTGAACAATCCCAGCACAAATACCGTTAAAGTGCTGACTCCGGTCTATCTGGTTACCTTGGCCGGCGTTCTTCTGTCTCTCAACGAGTACCTGGATAGACAATTCGCAAACAACTGGGTATCGGACAAGACGTACAACTGGGATGAGGAAATTGTTTTGGTCACAGGAGGAAGTACCGGCATTGGTGCCAGCATCTGCAAGCAGCTTCTGACGCGGAATCCGCGCACCCGAATTGTGGTTGTCGATTACGCTCCCCTGAGCTGGAAGGCCGAGCAGGAAGGTGTCCGTCTGTCATACTACCAGTGCGATTTGAGCAAAGCCGATGCCTTGCGGTCGACGTGTGAGCGCATCAGAGCCGAAGTTGGGCATCCAACGGTGATCTTCAACAATGCAGGCTTGGTTCGGGGTGCCAGCATCATGGAAGGGTCGTATGGTGACATCGAGGCGACGGTGAGGACAAATCTCATCGCTCCGATGCTGATTGCCAAGGAGTTTCTCCCGGAGATGGTCAAGAGGGACCACGGGCATATCGTGCACACGGGCAGCTTGAGCTATTTGACGCCGCCGGCCTTGATTACGGATTATGCGGCGACAAAGGCCGGATTGCTGGCACTGCATGAGGTGAGTTTGGATTGAGCTTCTTCTTGTCGTGTGATGGGAGCTTTGAGCATGAGTACATGTATACAGCATGCAGTGTATAGGGGCTTTGGGAATATGGGCAAGCCAACGTGAAACTGTAACTGACCTTGCTACATGTCAGGGCCTTCAACTCGAGCTCAAGCATGTCCACAAGGCACCACGTGTGCGCCTCTCCATAGGCATCTTCTGCTTCATCCGTACGCCACTCATCAGCGGCGACACAAACGTGCCCAATTTCCTTTTGCCGTTCCTACACGTTGATACCGTCGGCGAGGCCATGGTAGATGCGGTGTATAGCGGTTATGGATCGATCATCTATCTGCCTGTCCTCAACAGGGTAGCGGCAATGTTGGTGAGTCTCCTTCTCTATCTGTCTCTTGCTTGGTTGTTACGAGTCAGTCGGCTGACATGGTTCTCCTGTTTTTCTGCCATCATAGAAAGGAGGTCCCGAATGGTTCTTCCGAATCATACGAGAGAGCACGGTCAACTTCCGAATCAACTTCCACGGCCGGCAGGAAGTCGACAAGGAGACGGGTATATTGCAAAAGGCGTAAGTGGACAATACTGACGCTTGCTTCGGCATAACGATCCGAGATATATGAAGAACAAGTTTCCCACGTGGCAAGAAAGCTGGGAGGTGCTTTGAGTTGGCGGGGAACGGCTATAAGTAGATGCAGATGGTCTGTATCTGCAAGTCCATGTAACCTTGCTTCTTCCAGTGTAAATATCGGGTCCAGAGGGATCAAATAGGTGCATGCGATGTAGTATTCAATCTCAAAGAGGTGTGGTCAAGCATGAAGCTACATGTATGCACCTAAATATATGGATATATACCTTACTCCTTCGTATTCTTTCGAGTCCTTTCCTTCCATGTCACGGTGACTGAGAACCCAAATAGGTACTCAATTGTTCTGAACAGTACTGCTTGATGTTCGTTTATCGAGTACAAGCCAACGACAGGCAGCTCTTCGAGATGATCGATGTCACTCAAGATCATGATACTACCTTACTACCATAAGAAAAGCCTTATTACTGGCACGTGTTTGGCTCTATCTGGGGAAGTTTCTTGACAATTTGAGAAGGTGACAAGCTCTTTGCATAAGGTCCTGCCACTACTTTCGGTCGATCTGCCAAGATAAGTGCTTATCACCCCATTGACACTGTGCTCATGTTCCAACTTCACAGCCACTGTACAGTGTCTCATTGGCTTCTTCACACATCCCCTTGGAGATGCTTCGGCAATTATGAGCCGGCTTCTCTCCACCAAAAAGCATCACATGTGCCAGCAGCTTCTTGGTATTGGTTGTTGACGATTTGCCTTCTCTCCAAAACTTCTAAAAGAGACAAAAGTACTCGTTGGAACCGATCAAAACTAAGACAGATAGGACAAGTGAAGCTAAACCTGCTGCTATCTAGATCCCTTCGATGGCGACCAAAATGGAAGGCAATCAGTCCGAGGGCGCGGTAAGACATGGTGTATATATTCTCTGGGATCATCCAGACGCAACCTTTGAGCTGGGAGCCGACTTCCTGACAGTATAGGGACAAGTTCACGGGCTATTGCTCCTGTCAAGCGATCGATTTGACTCGCCATACAACGTCAGCTATCGGCCGGTAAATCTTGGATTGATTGATTGATTGATCCGACGTTGGGAACATGGCCGCCGAGACAAACCAGACGGAAAAGTCGCCTGTTGAGGTGGCGACTCGGGGAGACGGCGAGGATGCTGTTGTCGTCGTTGCGACAGACTCGGCCAGGAAGCGACAGTCTCTGTCGGACATCTTCACCATTGTGAGTTTCGGCTCCTATCACACGTATTTGAACATAAAGGGGGAGGCTTTGATCGCGTTGGGATCTCAAGGCGAGAATGCACTGCTGACAGCGGCTCTGGTGTTTCAACCTAGATTGCAGCCGGCGCCGCGCTCGTCTCGGATGGCTACCAGAACAACCTCATGACCATGTCCAACGTCCTCTTCAAGAAGGAATATCCTGCTCAGTACACGTCCACCGTCAGCACTCGCGTGTCGAACTCTCTGCTGGTGGGAGCCATCCTGGGCCAGGTCACAGTAGGCTTGACGTGCGACTATCTGGGACGCAAGACAGCTATCGTGATCACAACGCTCCTCATCGTCATCGGCGGCATTCTGGCCACTGCCGCCCATGGAGTCACGATTGACGGCATGTTTTGGATGCTGACGATTGCACGAGGCATTGTGGGATTCGGTGTTGGTAAGAAGCTCTATCTCTACCCTAGCTATGCGATGTAAATGTCGTGTCAGAAAGCAGACTAACAGAAGCTGTTTACGACGCAAAGGCGGCGAGTATCCCGCTGCAAGCACGTCGTCTTCCGAAGCAGCCAACGAGCGCGCCCTGGAGAGGAGAGGACCAATTTTCATCCTCGTAACGAACCTGCCTCTCTCCTTCGGTGGCCCTCTAGCCGTTTCCATCTTCCTCATTGTGCTGTCAGCCGCTGGCCAAGAGCATCTGTCGACGGTATGGAGAGTGTGCTTTGGCATCGGCATCCTTCTCCCGCTCTCGGTGTTCTACTTCCGCATCAAGATGCTCACCTCCAAGCTGTACCGCAAGAGCGCCATCCGGCGCAACGTGCCATACGGCCTGGCTCTGAGATACTACTGGAAGACCTTGATCGGCACTTGCGGCGCCTGGTTCCTGTACGATTTTGTCACTTTTCCTAACGGCGTCTTCTCCGGCACGATCCTCTCGTCGGTGGTTGATGCCGACGACACGCTCCGCAGCACTGCGGAGTGGCAGCTGTTGCTGGGGGCCATTGCCCTGCCCGGCGTCTTTCTGGGCGCGCTTCTGTGCGACCGACTTGGCAGACGCAACGTCATGATGATTGGCTTCTCCGGATATCTCGTCTTTGGCCTCATTATTGGGTGCGCTTACGACAAGATCACCAAGATAACGCCCCTCTTCGTCATCTTCTACGGCTTGATGCAAAGCTCCGGCAATTTTGGACCGGGAGACATGCTGGGCCTCTTGTCCTCGGAGAGCTACGCCACCAGCGTCAGGGGCACTTTCTACGGCCTCAGCGCGGCATTGGGCAAGACGGGAGCCGCTATGGGCACGCAAGCTTTCACGCCTATACAAAACAACCTGGGCAAGCGGTGGACGTTTATCATCGCCGCCATCTGCGGTGTTGTCGGAGTCTTGGTCACGTATTTCTTTGTGCCCAACGTGACGGGCGAGGACCTTGCCGTGCAAGACGACAAGTTCAAGGCTTACTTGCTGGAGCACGGATGGAGTGGTGAGATGGGGCTCAAAGACGATGAGGAGCCGACTGTGGAGGAGGACGAGGAAGTGGCCTCACCGGTTGTTGATGAGAAGAGCGTCCGGGTGTAATTGCGGAGGGCCCAGATTTCATGTTACGAGAAAATGTATGATGAGCAGCTCCCTCAGTAGTCAAAAGCAGTAGGATTGCCCGGAGTTGGCTGCTCACTTTGCTTCACTTTGAAAACGCTCATGAAACATATGACATCGCGATAAACCCTGCGGCGTTCTCAGCCGCCGATCAACAAGGGTACGAACACGAGACATCGTCATATAGAACGTAATATGCATTGTATCGCAAAGACGACAAAGTGTTACATCTGCAATGATGGCTTACAGATGGCAGGCCCGTGAGTCGCCACACACCTGGAGAACCACATACTAATGCTACAAGTACTGCTGCTGCGAAGCAAATGTAGACTTACTCAGAATATGAGCCTTGCTTGACCTCATGATAATATCACTAGTACATATGTACGACCATGGTTCAGTTGGGGCAGAGTCCAATTGCGCGTGGTCTTGGTGAGACAGCTGCCACGTACTCGTCCGCGCAAAGTACCTACCAGAGCTGATCTGAGCTGAGTTGCGAGAAGGCCTTTGCCAGTGCGCTATACTGGAACTGGCGAAGATTAGGTGTATCAATTTCCCTCCCTTGTTTGGGCGTTTGTTTGCTTTTTACAGAGAGTCTCGTCCCATGATCTCGTTTATGCGAAGCACTGCGCAGCTGAGGGGCATCCTGCCGTTCTGTTATCTCTTACCCGTATGTACATGCTTGTACTTTACATGAGTCCCCGGTTCACATCCTAACCCTTGAACACACACGCGGATAGTACCGCGGGATGGTGTGCTAGGAGACATCCAAGACACAAGTCTGCGTACCTGGTACAAGAGCCCGGCGGAGACCAAGGAGGAGGAACTGCAGTGTAATTCTGTCAAGGGGGGCGGAGATCCAAGGAAAACTTGCTTCCTGTTGCCGTGTCCCAGAGTCCTTGAAGTCCATGACGCTCTCATACAGGCTGTGGTGTCAAGTACTCCTACATTGGGTACAAAGCAACACCATCGTATATTTGCTTCCCCTGTGCTTGCTTCAAAGGAATAGACGCCGGCAGGATCATCATACAGTAGCTTAAATCTTTAGTCCGGTCAACATGATGCGCGCAAAATGGATCGATCGGACTCCGCCGCCAAGGGCCGTGCCGCCTGTTGCTGGTCACTGGCCAACCAGACACAGGTGGATGCAACTCCATGTCGAACCGAAGCCCTCGATTCGCTTAGCCGGAATCGACGGAATCGATGCCGCCAAAGCAACGCTGCTTGCTTCCTGCTCTCCTCCAGTCCGTAGCTCCGACTTCCACATGACCGATGAGCTGGGGCTGCGATATTGCGATACCCGCAAGCAAGGGAACTGCTAGCAGAGCATGAAGCAGCTCCGAGTCAACTGGGGCGAGACTGGGCTCCCGTTCTCAGCAGTATCAAATTATCGGCTGCAGTGGGCATGAAAGAGTGATGTTGCGTTGCTTTCGGGGCGGAGACTTCACAGTTGAAGAGACCAACGCAACCAACAAAAGCAGCCATCTCGACCTATCCAGCTTGTTTGATGCCCTTTGCTATACCAAAAACAGTGACTGATGGAAGGGTCGACGTGATGGGATATATTAACCATGGCCGGGCGCTTATATCCACGGCCGAGGTATCGCGGAAAAGAGGGGATCGAGGCGACATCAGTGCCTGTTTTTCTTGTCTTGTTGCTGCGCATCATGGAAACACAAGGCCGTGACTCTGGTTATCTTTGCTGTACGAGGTACATGCCTACGTAACGGGTGTGATTGAGGACGGAATCTGCATATATAATGTTGCAGAATCTCCCTTGAAGGTGCAGACCGGATATCAATAAAAGGCGTCGAATATTTCCTTCCATCAATAGACTACCTACACGTACCTTACCTACACCATCTTCCAAGCCGGCATATGCAGTCTGTGTGAGTATCGAATCAGATCCAAATTACCTACCGCCCACCTACTTGAGGGAGACCATCTTGAAGACGTGATGGCGAGCGACAAAACCACCTTCAGCCAGTTTGCCTGCATTGGCACTGGTTTTTCAGGCATAGCCCTGGGATGCACCCTCAAGCGGTGGTATGGCATCACCGATGTTCGCTTCTTTGAGAGGCACAGTGATCTAGGCGGCACCTGGTTCATCAACCAGTATCCAGGTACGAAGCTGCAGTTTTACTTCCTTCTCCCCTCTCCTTGGCTCTAACGACTCGCCAGGGTGTGCCTGCGATGTCCCGAGCCTTCTCTACAGCTTCTCCTTTGCCCCGAACCCCGAGTGGTCCAAAGTGCTGCCCTCCAACGATGAGATTTGGCGTTACCTCGACAAAGTCTGCCGCCAATATGGGCTCCGTGACAAGATGACCTTCAACTCCACCGTTGAAAGATGCGAATGGGTCGAACAAACGGCCCGTTGGCGCATCACTGTTCGGGACACAACATCCAACACCACCTTCACCCACGAATGCCGCTTCCTGTACAGCGGGGCAGGCATCCTAGTCCATCCCCGAAAGGCAGATCTACCAAATATCGAAAGCTTCAACGGCCCCGTCTTCCACGCCTCCCAGTGGCGCCACGATGTCGATCTGACGGACAAGAATGTCGTTGTTGTAGGCAACGGCTGTTCAGCTTCGCAGATCGTCCCGGCCATCAAGGATCAGGTGAAGCACGTCACGCAATTCGCTAGGTCCAAGCACTGGATCGTTCCAGACGTCAAAGTTCCCAACACGAAGCTGTTCCAGTGGCTGTTTATGCATATTCCGGGAGTTCTCGCCTTTGGCCGCTTTGCCGTCTTTTGCTTCATGGAGAATAGTATGAGGGCGTTCTATATGACGAGGGCTGCTACCACCTATCGCCGTAATGTAACAGCCCAGGCAGAGCGATACATCAAGGAGAACGCCCCTGAAAAGTATCATGATAAGCTGATTCCCGACTTTGAACTCGGCTGCAAGAGGCGCGTCTTCGACCCAGGGTATCTGGCGAGCCTGCACTCCGATAATGTCACGCTTCGGGACGATCCCATACAGGAGGTGACGCCCAACGGCATCCGCTCAAAGAATGGGTTCACTGAGGCGGACATTATTGTACTGGCCACTGGCTTTGAGACAAATACGTTCTGCACAGGCATCGACATTGTTGGCCGGGGAGGCGTGACGGCGGAGGAGCACTGGAAGTCTCTGGGCGGGCCTGGAGCATATAACTCGACTAATATTGCAGGCTTCCCCAATTTCTTCCTCTTGTTAGGTGAGGCACCTTTCATTCTTCGTTGCCTGGGCAATTCTCACGCATCATAGGCCCGAACACAGCCACGGGCCACACGTCGACCGTCATGGCCATCGAAAACGGCGTCAACTACTCCCTCCGGCTTATTGAGCCCATCCTGCAGGGCAAGGCTACGGCTGTCGACGTCAAGCTCGACGCGGAGAAGGCATATACGAGCCAGATCCAGACAGCTCTCAAGGATACGGTGTGGCTTTCCGGGTGCAACAACTGGTATAACCGGGTTCAGGATGGAGTAGTGCGCAACGCCATGGCCTATCCTTTTACGCAATCCTACTTTTGGTATCGGTGCCTGTTTCCCGTTTACGATGACTTCGAATACGACGTAAGTTGGTCCTTATCTCCCCTGTGTGTCTTATACTGCTCATTCGTGATGACTGATTCGCCAACACAACACTCTAGGTCGCGAAGAACCCGCCGCGCAGAGCGGCTTGGAGAAGAGCCCTCAAGTACCTCGTCTATGCTGCGGCATCTCTATCGAGTCTTAGTTGGATGATCGGCGGGACCAAGAATCAGTGGGATTTGACACGTGTGATGCCCTCGTTGAGAGACCAGGTAGGCGGGTCAGGGAATGCCTCATGGCCCCTGTAAAGGTGTAGAACATGTCGCAGGCAGCCATTAGACTGAATCAAAGTACTACTCTATATTACTCCGTACTACTACGAGAGCGACTTCTATGACTCTGTCATAAACGCCACAGTACTACCCCTCGGGAAGGGAGGACATGTGCCGCTCACACCATCCACCACGACCCATGTGTGTGACAGGGCTCATGTTCATTTCGCATAAGGCTGGCGGCTATCGCTCCATGTAAGTTTTACCTTGCCAATGCCCACCCACCCACACCTATATAGCTGAATCTCAAATACCACAAACTCTCAGACTACACGTGTATAACTTTGTGCTCGTGGAAGCAGACGGATGCTGTGACTGAGATTCACTTCACTGCGCGTATCAGCACGGAGAAAATCTTACTCCTATCCTTGCGTATGACAAGACCGATCAGATCGCACGTACAAAGCCGACCGCCCCCTGTGAGACACTCATCACAGGCAGCCTGGGCGAGAAATTGCCGGCTGAAGCCTTGTCGCGTTCCGAGATCGAATCGTGGGAGCAAGATCTCAATCACGCACAGGCTACCTGCGGCATCGGGAGTTTCTCATTTCTGGATTGATCATCTCTCTCTTTCTCTCTCTCTCTCTCTCCATCTTTGCTTTTTCTTCCTCTTCTTGTCCCGCTCCTCGGCCCAGGTGAAACCAGGCTTAAGTGCGAGGGCACAGCCAGATCGGAATCGAATTCCCCCACCCCCCTACTAGCCTTCCTGCTACACTACGCATGCATGTCTTATTATTATTGGGGTCGAGATTTGTTTGCCATTCTGGTTTGCGTCCGCCATAGTCTCATCTCCCAGACTATCCTCTTGCCTACTGTGCAGTACGAGCCCGCGTCATGATGTTTGATGTTCTCAGATACCTCCCAAAGGATGTCTTCCAGAGAATGCCTCCCAGAAAATGCCCTCCGTCACCGACAATCTTAGCTCCCAGCCTCTTCATTCAAGAGCGGCGTACAAGCAAGCAAATTGATGCCAATCAGATGGCCTGCAAGATACGGCCTGTGCCGGGGCCGCGGGCCAATCACAGAGGCACTTGGTTTCTTGTTTGCGTAACAATCGCGGCGAATGGCAAGCCGGCCTCGTCACAGTAAAGGGGGCCCTCTCGGCCGTGCTTGGGCGGAGGAAGATTTTCTGAGACCTGGCAGACCGGGAAGCTTGAAGGCCTTCCGGGCTGCTCCACTGCATGTGTGCCAAACTTTTGGCTGGGCTTGACCGGTCACAGCTTCTGGGCAAGCTAGAGGAGAATGTCCTTGGTCAAAGATGCGTCGAGGAGGAGGTACGTCCATGTACCTGCGTGCGTCCCTGTGTCTCTCCTTCGTACATCTCTCTTTCTCTCTCTCTACACTTACTATCCTCACTTACTCACGCATACTTCTTCTATCGATGTCTCTCATCTTCTCTCTCTGCGTCTCTCTGCCATAAATAAGGGGCTCGTGAACTGCTGCTTCTGTTCCACGAGCTTTCTCCTCTATCTACGCAGATTTCGCCCCAGCTCGCTTCTCTACGGTCAATTCGGCTTCTCCATCGTGCCAAAGCACCTAGCAAACTACCTAATAACGACGCTTGCGTGTAAGTCTACATCGGACTTGTTGCGTTACGATCGCACATACATACACGCACAAGCACACAGACATACAGCATACGCAAGGCAGACGGGCATTTGCAACCAAGGGCACCATGGTTTCACATGTCAAGAAGCCCGGGGTCGGACCCAGCCAGGATCCCAAAGCTCCCCGCAAGACATCCAAACCAAAACCCAATGCCAAACCCAGAACCAGAATCAGGTCCAGGACCAGCAAATGTATGCACTGCCGCCAGCGCCGAGTAATGTGCAACGGCTTCAAGCAAACATGCGTTCGTTGCGCCAAGGATGTCGTGCTCGAGCTCCAGCCCCAGTGTATGGACGTTGACAGTGGCTTTGGAAATGCCGAGTAAGTCTACAGGAGTCAACAGCCAACGGCTATGGCGATCAGGAATTGTACTGACTGATTGTCATGTAGGGGGAATCTTCCGGCACCTGTAGAGATATGGACAGCAGATCCCATGCAGATTGATTCCGGTAGCGGCAGCAACGACGTTGACCCAGTGCCTCACTCGGAGCCGAACGCACCGTCTACACTCGCCGTTGCCCCTGAGATGGGAGGGGAACAGCAGAGTGCGGGAGACGCCACGGCTCCGTCTCGCGAACACACGCTGCCCTTCAGCTTCCAGGGCCAGCCGTGGTCTGGAGCGCCAACACCGAGCTTCCTCAGCGGAATCACACCCTGGACGCCCATGGACTCATCGACATTCACTAGTCTTCAGCCATTCATGCTTCCACCAGAAAACACGAGCTACGAAGCGTCGATGGCTTCTGCAGTGGACACGAACCCTCCTGCGACCCCGAACCACGCAACGTCAATGCCATCTACAGCGAACATGGACTTTCCAACAGTTGCGGATTCTTCGAGAGAGAGGGGAACAAATGATCCAGCAGATATTGACGTTGCATCACCATCCTCAATATCTATCACGCCAATGGTTCCCTTAGCACCCAAGGAACCAGCATTCATGACTTTCTCAACAGAGACAACCGGCCAAGCACCTATGGTTTCTACTGAAGCTTCTCCAGAATCTTGGCCCTCTCTACCATTCACTGAGTCTGCAACCATGAGTTCTCTGTCAACCATAGAGCCTTCTGCAATTGTGAACTCTTCTGCGTCCATGTACTTTCTGCCAGAGACTATAGCACCCCATGAACTCATGATTCTGGATGAACCCAAAGCTTTCCAAGCAACCATGGGCTCCCAAGCCGTCGTCAACCAACAAGCAGTCGTTCACCCGCAAGTGATGGCAATGCCCCCAATATCCAGCAGTCTCTCAGCTGCTACACTCTCCCCGCCAGTCAACATTCATCCGGCGGCTAGAGAACCCACATCGTTCACGACCTCTCAGGCACATGCATCCGTTGAGCCGATATTGGGCGCCCACTCGGCCTCTCCCAATAAACCTGCACCCATGATCCCATTCACCTTCCAGCGGCCTGCGGCAACCAAACCCGGAAAGCCCCGTCCAAAGAAGGGGTTCTCAACCTCAGCGACCTCCCGGCCTCTTAGGGGTCCCCGAACAAGAAGTCAGGCTTCGACATCGTTGTCTGCTCAGCCAGGCTCAAACCCACGAGCGAGACTGATAAAGCCTTCAATATATAGACCTCCTCCGCCATCTCGAGGCCCTGCAGTTGTCACAATTCTTTTCGCTGACACGGGCTCCCCGGAGGGACGACAGCTTCCGATGATTGTGGTCTCATCGCCGCCCGAGAGTCTTGGCGCAGATTCGAATTGGGCTGTGGACATGGATTCTTCGACAGCAGGTTATGATGCGAGATATTTACATCCGCCGACAATCGTGACATTTCCTTCAAATGCAGCACTTCCCAAGCCCATGGGCTCGACGGCTATGGGCCCTTTTGCGGCTAAGATATCCTCAATCCTTCGGTTAGGGGCTGCTGCCAAACAGGGAAAGCCTCGGCCTGCAAACGCTGCGGATTACTTGTGCATTATCCAGAGCGACAGCTTCGGTGATGAAAAGAGGCCAAAGGGAGTCCCTAAAAAGCTGAACCAGAAGCTCAAAAGAGCATTGCTCAGGATGGAACAGCTGGCAGCGAATCCTCCCCCTTATTCTTCCTCCTCTTCTGCTGCTTCTTCACATTCCTCTTCTCCCTTTTTTCTGATTCCTCCTCGCAGCCTTTCCCTCGAGCTCCTCGCCATATACCGCCATGAAGTATACTTCATGTATCCCTTTTTCAACATGCACTTATTTGAGGAGGCCCTGCGAAGGCTCTTTACGGTTTCCCCAATTCCCGGCGTTGCACCTGCGGATCTCGGTCTCGGCTGCTCAAAAGAGGCGGATGGCACAACGCCCCTGTTTCAGTGTGCTCTCTTCATGATGCTATGTCACGCGGTTTACTTCTCGGATCTAGACCAAGAGGACAAGGCAGTTGTTTCCCGCACCTTCTGGAAATGCGCAAAACGCTTCATGACGCCGGACCTCCTCAAGAGAAGCAGCTTGGCAGCGGTGCAGACGTTTCTCACCATTGCTGTAGCCATCAACAGCTCCCTCCTTCCAGGTGTCCAGAGCAAGATACCTGCCTTGTTGGCATCCCGCATTGCACGAAGCTTGGGTATTGATAGCGAACACGATCAGACTCCAATGACGGCAGCCGGCCCTGTTCACGACATCAACAGGCAGGCCTGGTATGGATGTGTCATGATGAACCTGTAAGATATCCACTTTCCTTTCTTCTTTGCCTTTTCTCTTCTGCCTCTTCTTTTATTTCCTTCTATCAGCTCCTCGTTTGGACTCTTTCACTTACAGATATCTTCATCTTCAGGTTCTCTGAGACCATCAAGTCTAACGTGGCCTTGAACTCCAACATGTTCGAGACGCCTTTAGCCACTGTCCGATATGGGTCTTCGTCCGGCAGCGTCGAGCTCAGCTTTTTCATTGAATGCGTCCTTCACACGGAGCAGTTGGAGAAGGTACTGGCCGACATACGTCGGGCTCGCGAGCCCGTTTTGAAGAAAGGTCCAAGAGATGGCTACAATAGCTTCAACGACATCGTTCCCGAGTTGCGCAGGGATCTCGAGGAATTCATTGCAACACTACCTGAAGAGCCCCGATGGGGCACCTCGGGCTTACCCAGCGATTGTGTCCACCTTGTCGGCTTTGAGTCGCAAAAGACCTTTTCCAATGCTAGGTAAGTATATCACTACCTAGGGACTATCGTGATGGCCGCCTCATAGACTAACACATATATGATGTCCATCAAAGGTTTATGCACTTGCGCGCCATGCTGTTCCGTCCGATCCTCATGCAAATTGGCTTGAACGACCGCCTCCCGTCCGATATCGCGGCTGACAACGTCGACCCTCGCGTCAAGGATAAGACTCTCATGTGTGCGATCAACTGCGTCGACACTGCCGTCAACCTCATCCTTCATCTGTACCAAAAGTACCTGCTCGATGTGAAGAGCAACAGAGAATGGTGGTGGGATCCGTACCGTAAGCTGGCCTCTCCCAATTTGTCAGTATCTGCCTTGATGTATAGGAAGCTGACCAGACGTTCAACAACAGACACTAGCACTGCAGGGCTCATCCTCGTCATGTCTCAAACTTCAGAGTTACTATGGACAAGCATCCAAGTTAGTGAAGTCCGGAGAGCCTGGACAGCTTGCCAAGACATGCTCGGCTACGGCGCCACGACCAACCATTTCTACCGGGATGCCCTCACATATCTATGGGATCTGAATAGCAGTATCGCGGGATGCAGCGTGCTCGAGAATAACTACGATGCCCTGCCGCGCATCAAAGGCCAAGAGCCCGTGACCTGGAGCTTTCATCGGACCCCTTATAACCAGTTTTTGAATCCCTGCTCGCCATTTACGAACTCCAGCATGGTTCAACACCAGGGCAAACCGCAACCGCCTGGCAAAGCCTTCCCAGTGCCATTGAAGCCAAGCCCGAATACAGGTGGCTACGCAGCTCCTTTGGGTTCCGGTGCAGCTCCGCCTGCAAGGCCTGCTACGGATGTTTATGCCGAGCCTTTGAGACCGAGTGTCACCTCATTCACAACTTCATCAGACTCTGCTACAGCTGTCTATCCTGCCTTCACGAACATGAAGTCAAGTTCAACGCCATCTCCAAGATCTTGCGCAGTTCCCTATGCCGCCGCTGCCGCCGCAGCCGCCGCTGGAGCTACTACTTCTTCCCCTTCCCCAAGCCCGGGTACAACTCCGCTGACAGCGTCTCTGGGATTTCCTTCTCACGCTGTGGCGCCGGATCCTACCGGTTATTCCGCATCCACCAGTCCAGCAAGCGGTTCTTCTCACATGTCTTCAAGCCCAGGCCTCATTCCATATACTCCTTCGAGCACTGCTATGCTTCCCTATGTTGCTGCTTCAAATCTCAGTACTATTCCGTACCCACCTTCTTCAAAACCTGATATTATTTCCTATGACATTGCTTCGAGCCCGAACATGGCTCCCTACTCACCCGTTTCCGGGTTTCCTACGATTCCCTTTGTAGACCCCTTCATGGCATCCTTCGATCCCGATCCGAGCTTCTACGGGCCCTCTTTGGGTCCCAATGCAGCCCTTGGGACAGATTTTCCGGTTGCTAGTCCGGTGGCATTTAGCATGCCCTCTTCGTCTTCCGGTATGATGCCCAATCTGCCGCCTTGGGATCCCAATTTGGCCAACCCCGTCAGCTTGGGTGGTCTCATTGATCTTGACGCGATGCCGATGGACACACAGACTATGTACCAACACGACGCTTCCATGCGATGCTTTCCGGGCTATTCAAACCCTCATGACGAGCAACCAGGCATGGGCAACTGGCGGGGCTGACGGCGGCAACTTGAGCTCGAGAAGTGAGACCATATTGGAATCTTTTCCTCTTGATGCATGGACCGGCAATGTTAGACAAAGGGCAAGAGAATCCCCCTATGGTTTTTTGATTCATCATTCTGGCATGGTCAGTGGGAGGAGCCCCAAGTGGTGGCAAATGTAGAGAACCGCAGAGGGCCGGATAAAGTTTGGACTTTGTACATACGCATTTGGCATGTTGCTGTGTCTTGAGACCCGTTTCTATATATCTGTATATATTGTATTGCAGTCTATCGTTTGTTGTACAATTCCAGCGCGGTGCACTCTTGTATCTTCCATCCACCCATGCCCTTTGTCCGCTGCGCCGTGCCATATTATATGCATCTCGCTTCTCTTCGCTTTTCTAGACGCCCCCGCTTCATCTCAGTACCTCTGCTTTCCAGTACCTGATACGAGGAGAATCACACTGCCGAGCTGCCGCCTGACATCTTCCTGGTTCACATCATGCGTATCCTCCACCTCTCCCCACTGCTCAGCCTGCCAATCCACCTCCAAGCTCGTAGCCTTGGCGGCTTGCTCGACGCTGAATCGTCCAAGCGGCAGCACACGGCCAGTGCCCACGGCTCCTTCGCTCCACTCCGCGACAATCCTCGCAGCGGCGACAAAGCTCTTACCAGCAAGCACCGCTCTCTCCAGCCCGGCAATCTCCCAGGCATCGAGGCCCATGACCCATCCCTGGATGACCTCCCGGACGCCCTCGTCCTGTTCCCTCGGCATGATGGAGTGGCCATCGAGCACTGGCTGTATGTTGATTCCGGGCCACACATGGGTCGTCAGATAGCTGACCGTCTCCTCCGCGGCCTTCTTCTGGACGTCCCTCAAGCTCTCTCCGGCATCGTTCCTCCTATCATGGGGGCCCGCGGGGGGCACCCAGCACAGCAGGGAGTCTGTGTCCAGATACCGCAGGACGGTGTTGGTGATGGCTGTGCGAATTTTGGTGGCCTCGGGCCCGTTGGATGCGTCGTCTTCGATAATGTCGAGAGCACGGCAGACGAGGCTGGTGAGAGGGATGAGGTGCTGCTTGGTGGCCTGCTGAGCAGACGTCAAGATGTCCCATTCGAGGGCCAGGGCAGAGGCGAGGTTTGGCTTGGAGAGGGGTAGGCGAATGATGGCCTTGGTGTTGGGGTGTCTTAGGGGCCGAGCGTCGAGGTGGACTTGCAATGCGCCTGTATGGGAATTCAGGGTTAGGTCCCCAATCAATTTGAAGGACTGGGTGATGGAAAAGAGCCGCAAAATGGTTGTCTTGCTGGCGCTTGTAGAGTACTAACCGTCAACCTCTCGTACGGTAACCTCCTTCCAGAATCTCCTGGGCACAGTCTCCGATTTGTTTTTGCCATCCTGCGCACTTCGAATCTCCCTGGCCGTCTTGAGCAATTCTGCGTGCTTCTTTCGGCGCTCCAGACGCTCCTGGGCATTTCGGGCGGCTGGCGTGGGAGGATCGGGGGGAGGCCCGGCGCCGACTATCGGAGCGACATTGGCGGCTCTGGCGATGCTTTGGTGGAAGGGTCGGACGAATTGCGAGCGAGGCAAAGCCAACTGTAGGGGTATTCGCGTGGGAACCTTCATATCTGTGTCTAGATCCCTTTCTCTCGAATGAGGAATGAGAAAGCGGTAGAAATTGACTGGAAGGGGAGGAAGAGGAGGCAGAGGTGGGATAGTTGTGAGGGGTTTCGGTTGGTTGGTTGTTATGGAACAGAAGAGAAAATCCAGAGGAGGATCGAATGAGTTTTAGCTGCCAACGAAAAGTAGCGAATGATGTCAGCCCTTTTAGGGGTTAGCTGGGTGTACAATTGGGGAAAAGGCGGTCGGTGAGCCTCTTCACCGAGGGGCTGGTGGGGGCCTTGGACGGTACCTATTCGAGTAGTAAGAACCTTGAGAGGCACCACTGGCAACGCGAAAACGACTGAGTGGACAATGGGGAAATGAGAGCAATCGATGCAATTCATAGCCGGAGTGTGGTGCAGCATCATTGAGAAAGCCTCACAGCAGATTCTTGACGGTGGACGGCCATTCTCCTATCTACCTAGGTGAGGTACCTGTAGTTTAAGGGTCCATGCGGGCAAAAAGCGTTCAGGTTCCAGTTTCCGCATGTATCTACACCGTACAGCTCAACCCTCGGCCACTCAATTGCGCTTCCATCTCAGAGAGGAACTCGTGGGCAATCTCTTTCTCAAAACTAAATCCTCCTAATTCTCAACCAAGTTAAGCAGCGTCACGAAGTCACTGTACCTACTCACCGTGATATGTCTCACCCCTTCTGAGCGACAGCAGACGGACCATCTTCGGCTGGCCGTCTTCCATCACGTGACCCTGCACGACCGTCTCCCCATCCCTGAGCCTTAACGTGTCTACTAGTATCGCCTTACGTGGTGGTTGTGCTGGGACCTGAGCCAAAACCGCCAAACGAACTCCAATCACCGCCATCCTCTCCTCTCCTCCCCGACCAAACCGCCCAATATGAGTTACGGCAAGAAGGACGAGGATGCCGACCTGGGGTTGGTCAAGGTGGACCGCACACAAGTCTTCCAAGAAGGTACCAATTCGTCTGCACATGCGACTGCGTCTCCCCTCTCCCACCAGACCTCTTGTCCCTCTTGTCCCTCTCATCCCTCCAGCTCTTCCAGCTCCTTTCCCCGCCGTCTGTCTGCAAAAGTGGCCTCGCTCGAGTGCTAATCGAAAGGCGCACAGCTCGATTGTTCAACAGCTCTCCAATCCAGCCTCGACGATGCCGCATCCTCCTGACCAAGATCGCCCTCCTCCTCTACACGGGCGAGTCCTTCCCCAAGAATGAAGCCACCACCCTCTTCTTCGGCATCTCGAAGCTGTTCCAGAACAAGGATGCCAGCCTGCGGCAGATGGTCCTCCTCATCATCAAGGAGCTGGCCAACTCCGCCGAGGACATCATCATGGTGACCAGCACCGTCATGAAGGACACCGGCGGCAGCAGCGACGCAATTTACAGACCCAATGCCATCCGTGCTCTGTGCCGAATCATCGACGTAGGTGGAAACTGCTGCGTGCTTTGGCGGCGTCCCGCCTTGACAGCAACTTGCTAACGTGCGAGGCGACAAACAGGCTACAACCGTCCAGGCCATCGAGCGTGTCATGAAAACCGCCATTGTGGACAAGAACCCGTCCGTCTCCTCCGCCGCGCTCGTTTCGTCCTACCACCTGCTGCCGATTGCCAGAGATGTTGTGAGGCGGTGGCAGAGCGAGACTCAGGAGGCGGCCGCTTCCTCCAAGTCATCGGGCGGCTTCTCCCTGGGCTTCTCCACGTCTAGCGGCTCTCTGCCCATGAACAGCTCGACCATGGCCCAGTACCACGCCATTGGCCTCCTCTACCAGATGCGCTCGCACGACCGCATGGCGCTGGTCAAGATGGTGCAGCAGTTTGGCGCTGCCGGAGCCGTCAAGAGCCCCGCCGCCACGGTGATGCTGGTCCGGCTGGCCGCGCAGCTTGCCGAGGAGGACCCCTCGCTCCGGCGACCCATGATGCAGCTCCTCGACGGCTGGCTGCGACACAAGAGCGAGATGGTCAACTTCGAGGCCGCCAAGGCCATCTGCGACATGCGCGACGTAACCGATGCCGAGGTCAACCAGGCCGTCCACGTCCTGCAGCTGTTCCTCACCTCGCCCCGCGCCGTCACCAAGTTTGCCGCCCTGCGCATCCTCCACAGCTTCGCCTCCTTCAACCCCACCGCTGTCAGCGTTTGCAACACCGACATTGAGCTGCTCATCTCAAACTCCAACCGGTCCATTGCAACCTTTGCTATCACGACCCTGCTCAAGACGGGCAACGAGGCCAGCGTCGACAGGCTGATGAAGCAGATCTCGGGCTTCATGTCCGAAATCACCGACGAGTTCAAGATCACCATCGTCGAGGCCATCCGCACCTTGTGCTTGAAGTTCCCTAGCAAGCAGGCTGGCATGCTGACTTTCCTCAGCGGCATCCTGCGCGACGAGGGAGGTTACGAGTTCAAGCGCGCCGTCGTGGAGAGCATGTTTGACCTGATCAAGTTCGTCCCCGACTCCAAGGAGGACGCCCTCGCGCACCTGTGCGAGTTCATCGAGGACTGCGAGTTTACAAAGCTCGCCGTTCGTATCCTGCACCTCATCGGCCTCGAGGGCCCCAAGACGGCCCAGCCCACCAAGTACATCCGCTACATCTACAACCGCGTCGTCCTTGAGAATGCCATTGTCCGCGCCGCGGCTGTTACTGCCCTTGCCAAGTTTGGTGTCGGCCAGAAGGACCCAGACGTCAAGAGCAGCGTCAAGGTCCTGCTTACGCGCTGTCTGGACGACGTCGACGACGAGGTGCGAGATCGAGCCGCCCTGAACCTGAAGCTGATGGCCGAGGAGGATGACGAGTTGGCTCGTAACTTTGTCAAGAACGGTAAGTTTCGCTTTCTCCTTCCAGGACATCAACTCCCGCGTCTTGCTGACAAATTCAACGCTTCAAAGACAACATGTTCTCGCTCCCCTTCTTCGAGCACCAGCTCGTCATGTACGTCACGTCGGACGACAAGTCCACGTTTGAGGAGCCCTTCGACATTTCCAAGATCCCTGTGGTCACCCGAGAACAGGCAGACGCCGAAGACAGGACCAAGAAGCTTACTGCTACGACCCCTACGCTAAAGGCGCCGAAGGCCGGCCCGACCAAGACGCCAGCAAGCGGCGCGGAGGCTGCGGCGAGTGCCAGCGCCCAGGCTCAGCGATACGCCCAGGAGCTGATGCAGATCCCCGAGATGAAAGAGTTTGGCAGCGTCGTCAAGTCGTCGCCTGTTGTTGAGCTCACCGAGGCCGAGACGGAGTACGTCGTCAGCGTGGTAAAGCACATCTTCAACGAGCACATTGTCCTGCAATACGAGGTGAAGAACACACTCCCCGACACAGTCCTGGAGAACGTCTCAGTGGTGGCATCGCCTTCGGACGAGGAGGAGCTGGAGGAGGTGTTCATCATCCAGGCTGAGAAGCTGGCCACCAACGAGCCGGGCAAGGTCTACGTGGCATTTAAGAAGGTCAACGGACAGGCGTCACTGCCCGTTTCGACCTTCTCCAACGTGCTCAAGTTTACCAGCAAGGAGATTGACCCGTCAACGGGCGAACCCGAGGAGACGGGCTACGACGATGAGTATGAGGTGTCGGAGTTTGACCTCAGCGGCAGCGACTACGTCATCCCTACATATGCCAGCAACTTCAACCACCTCTGGGAGCAGTTTGGCGCCTCAGGGGAAGAGGCGGAGGAGACGCTGCAGCTGAGCAGCATGAAGAGCATAGCAGGTAAGCTCTATCCGAGCCTTTGTTTCTCACTTTCTCCCCCGCTCTATCAGCACCCCTTTAGTTCTATATCACTTTGCATCGTTTCAGTTTTGCATGTCAGTTTCGCTAATACGGGAGGCAAACAGAGGCAACGGAGCAGCTGGCCAAGATCCTATCCCTGCAGCCCCTCGAAGGAACAGATGTCCCCGTCAACCAGACCACGCACACGCTCAAGCTGCTGGGCAAGACAGTCAACGGCGGCAGAGTGGTGGCGAACATTCGCATGGCATTCTCGTCAAAATCTGGCGTGACGACGAAGATTACGGTCCGTGCCGAGGAGGAAGGCGTGGCGGCTCTTGTGATTGCATCTGTGGCATAAATGTAGGGAAGCAGGCGTTGAGGGTCATAATGTATCGGTGGTTAGACAAACGTCTCTGTCAAGTTTTATTTTCACCCCTTTTATTTTCTCTGTTCTTTTCTCGTTCATTTTCCTCGGTCTGGAGTGGCAGACGGCAAGCAAAAACATCTTGTTATATTGATATACATTGAAGGAAAAAGGAGTGGTGAAGATGATGACAATGATGATGACAATGACTGCCTACTGATGTGGTCAACTACATGCATGGGCTTGTTCCGATGTCGGGTTCGCATGGCCAATCGAGTAATATCCAACTGTTTTTGATCATCATGGGCTATTCGGGATCAGACGGCGGCAAGCTGACTACCAGTATCAGTACATAGCTCGACAGATGAGCTTCTCCGTGGGAATGACGGTTGCTTCGAGATAGTCATGTCCTTTTAGCACCTTGGTGTGGTGGCAACAAGCCACGAGGGTTGAATCTGACTACTGTAAGCTGTCGAGAACAGCTATAGCTCCTGGCATGTAATAGCTCACTCAGCCTTACATACAGCTCTGCGCCCATCACGGCATCCTGAGCCGAAAGTTCTGTGGAGCTATCCACTGCCCGTCGATGGTAAATGATGATCGATCCCGAATGAAGATTGATGACGCTCCAACTCGAGTAATACAGAACACAGTATCACTTCTCCTTCATTCTTTTTGTTGGGACAGCCCAAAGGAGCATGATTACGTCACCTGACAGCATTCTTAATAATGTGCCTCTGCTGCTCGCTTTGAGCTATTATATAAGTACCTAGGTAGTAATAATGTTAGTTGTTTGTGAGAGCCGGCGATGAATCACATGGAATGTGTAGGGTAAGTGGTACTGAGCGCATGACCTCGACTGAGAAGTTGTGGATGGCGTCTATGTAAGTGAGCTGGCGAATAGTCTAAGCGCCATTTGATGAGATGGGGATGAGGTGTAACTGCCAGAGAGCACCGCTTGTATGTAGTCAGCAGATTAGCGATCCATGATGGAAGTTTGAGCTCTGAGAGGGGGGGCTTGGGGGCCAATCCACGAGCGTGGACAGCGCTAACACCGCTAAAGGATGACTGCTATGCTTGGATGCCCAGCACCAGGACGCTAAATCCCAGCCCGCCATCGATGTCTCAGCCAAAACATGTGCCAGATCGCGCGAGTGGGGGGGAAGCCCTGGGTGACGAAAACAGCATGACAGAACTGAATCAAGTGCTCTTTTCAGGGACGATGTCGATGGTGGGAAAGGAAGGAAAGACGAGCACAGCGACTTGTGCGCAATTCACCTGCATATCACGGCCAATGCCTCACAAGGCCGAACAAAGGGCATGAGCGCCTATCCAGATCCTATCATAGAGCAGGAGTACGCGTAATGTGTCTGCTGCATGGGGGACTTTCACGTGCTGGCGCTTTTAAATTGCCCACCTACAGTATCTACCTACACCTCCAGTTGAGTTCAATGTTATCCACAAAACGAACGAGATGAAGTGGTCAAGCCCAGGGTTCAGGTCCCGTCCGGCAGGCGAGAGCTGTTGCATTGCACCCGCATCTTCCAGACGCGGAGCTACACTATCAATACATGCAGATCCAGCGGTAGCAGGCGCTGGGCTGTGACTTCAGGTTGACGAGATTTGGGAGGTGTGCCCAGTAAACCGGGGTGCGTCAGGTACATGTGCATTGAAGCAGCATGCACAGCGGGCTGGACGGGGCTGAATCCGGCCATGCGTACCCCATACGCCGCAGTACTTGTGGCGACGCGCCACCCAGGTACACTGCAGCGCTCCGCTAGCAGGCCCCCGGCACAGACGGAAGCCCCCAGCGTTAGCACGACGTGGCGCTGGAGAATCAGGACCCCAGCTGTGCGTCGAGCTCGAGTAGCGGTACAGTGAGCACGGAGCGCGGCTAGGCGGCCAAGGCCCAGGCCAATCTCCCTGGGCATGCATTTCCTCCTATCGTGTCTTTTCTGCTCGGCCTCTCTGCAGCACCTAATAAACCAACAAACCACCAACAAGGCACGCAAGAGAGAGAGAGGGAAGAAAAGAAGGCCACCTCGCACGGGGCTCCCTTTCAAAATCTCCCTTTCATCTCGCCTCGCTCCTCGTCGAGCAGAGTGAAGACACAAGAACGAAAGTGACGGCTCTTCCACTGGCGCGATGAACGCCATACAGCAGAAATGCCGCCCGAAGCATCAGGTCCTGGTGCTCAAGTGCTATCCGCGCACGACCAAGGGAGCAGTCGACGTCAAGCCCAACAGCAGCGAGCTGAGCTATCTGCTCTACTACGCGACCAGCCGCCGGTCCAAGATCCAGAAGATTGGCGCCTTCTTGGAGAAGAAGACGGCCAGCGATGTCTGGCGAATGCGCATTGGGTACGTGCCTCTATCCCGGACCTTGCCGGGGCATCCGCCTGCAACCCCCTCGGTGGCGATGGTGATGGGCTGGACATCGACCATGGTGTTGAGCTTGTCCAGAGTGTTCAAGGCTGACCGCGGCGGCATTGCCCGCGCTTCTCGTGCAGTAACGTACAGGTGACGCTCGGCATCCTCGCCGCCCTCGTCGAAAAGTCGCCCAAGGATGCCGTCCTCATCGCGCCCTGCATCCTCAAGATCCTCGAGCTCATCCTCCGCTCCAACGACATCACCATGATCGAGTCGTCGCTCCCGACCTGGGAGGCCTTCTGCGAGCATCACGATGCCTCCTCCCTCTTTGCCGACCAGGTGTACCTCAACCAGTACGTGTCCGTCGTCAGATCCTACGCGCAGCTCGCGTCGACTCGAAACTCGCCGAACCGAGCCGCCTCGAGCCGGCCGGTCCAGATGCGCTGGAGGAACGCCGGGCTGGGCGCCATCAGGTGCATTTCGACCTCGGACGCCCTGTCTTCGGTCAGCGGACGCCAGATCGACGTCATTGTGCCCATGATCTTGGAGAACCTGTGGGCAGACGACGAGTCACTGCTGGATGTGCTGCTGGAGCGCGTCGAGGCCGAGGAAAAGGTGGACACGGAGAAGCTTCTGCGGCGAAGGACGAGCGTTGCGACGGTGCAGACGGGCGAGGGCAGCGGTGATGCGAACCCGCTGGCCATCTCGGGAACCGCTATGGACGTAGACAAGATGGCCGAGGAGGACACCGGCGTCCTGGCCTTGCAGTGCCTTAAGAGCATCTTTGTCGTGCCGTCCCGCTCGCAGATCCACTCGGCGACGGCAGCCCTGCTTAAGTTCATCCTGGAGCGCGTCAAGCAGGGAGAAAAGGTCACGGCCGGCGACACCGCCGAGAACGGCAACGACCGGGGTTGGGCCATCAGCATCTTCAGCATCGTTGCCCGCTGGGCCCCCGTGCAGGATCGCTATGTCATCTTGGTCATGGCACTTGACACTCTGACACATACCCTCATGACGGACGACACTCTGGACCAGCACATAGCCCTGACCGCCATGATCGAGTCCCTGCTGAGGTCCGACGTCAACCTCATTGGCCTCAGCGTCATGGACGTCCTCTTGGGCCTCATCAAGCAGATCAGGAAGCTCTTTACCCTCGCAAACATTGGGAGCCGAGCCGAGACGCCCAGCGACAAGGTGGCGTCGGACAGCGAGATGGAGCAGAACTTGCACCAGCCGCAGCGCAAGGAGCTCCTGGCACGGCTCGAGCGGTGCATCGGCGACCTCGCCAGCCACATCTACTACGCCGACCAGGTCTCGGACATGATCGCCGCCATTGTCGGCCGGCTCAAGCCCAGCCGGTCGTCGAGCGCCCCGTCCACGCCGCAGGGCGAGAAGACGGAGGGCACCGAGCAGAGCAACCCCTCGCCTCCCTCGGCCACGACCACGGCTGATCTCGCCGAGGGCCAGGCCAACAGCCTGGTCGACGTCTACTTTTCCTACACGCTGGGCCGCATATCGGCGCTCCGCATTGTCAACATCATCCTCCACGTCGCCAATCCCAAGGCCAAGGTCAAGAGCAACGCCGACCTGGGCCGGAACCGAGTGCCGACGCAGGTCTGGGAAGGCACCCATTGGCTTCTGCGCGATCCCTCAGGCCAGGTGCGGAGGGCCTACATCGACGCCCTACTCACGTGGCTGGACCTGGAGACGACCCCCATGGATCTGGTGGCCAGGGACGAGGCGCTGGAGCCGCACAAGTCGACTGCGGCCGGCATCCTCGCCGCCGCCAAGAATGCCAATGCTCGCGACCTGCCCAATGGCCGCCGCGTCGTTTCCAGCGCCTCGAACAAGGACCGCCAGCCGAGGACTCGGCGCTCGCAGTTCCTGCCGCAGCTTCACCTGGCCATCTACGACAACGCGCTGCACTTTGTCGAGTTCGAGAACGACCTCGCCGCGCTGCACACGCTGCTGGCCAGGCTCGTGTCCCGGCTCGGTGTCAACGCCGTTCGCTACGGCGTGCCCATGATCTATCGCCTCCAGGAGGAAATCTTGGCTCTAGACCAGCCCATCCACAAGGTGCGGATCGCGGCCCTGTGCCACGGCTACTTCTGGGCTCTGACCGACAGGTTCGAGTTTGAGGGCTCTGCAGTGGGCAGGGCGATTGGAAACGAGATTGCCCGGCGAAAGAGCAAAGGCTTCTGGGTGCCGGGCATACAGGTCCCGGCGCTGCCCCTCGACAAGATCGGGCCGCTAGGCCAAGCGTCTCCGCCGCCCTCGTGGGACCTCAGCGCTCTCGAGACGGAGGAGCTGTTGCCGTTCGACGACCGGGTCGCTCTGATCCAGTGCATTGCCGTGGGCTACGAGGAGAGCACCTCGTTCCCGCCAAACAGCCCGTCTGCCTCGCCGGGCCGGACGCTCTCCGGCCCCATCCTCAACACCCCCATGAGCCCCGGGTCCTCTTCCGCGGCGGTGGCCCCAGACAGGGTGTTGGAGCTTCCGGACGCCTACCGCGAGGAGATGTTGACCGAGTGGTCCAGAGAGCAGGTGGCCGCCGCCCTGGCTGCCGAGGGCAAGACCGAGTCTCTCAACGGCTCACGAACGGGCACCGTGGCTACCGGCCTCAGGAATCTGACCATCGCCACCGGCACCGGCAGCGGCCTTGGCGGCATCAACGGCAACAATGGCTACCTGCCGTACTCGCCCTACGGCAGCCAGCATAACCTGCGGCCGCGCTCGTCTCAGACGCACATGATGGACCAGAATCAGCTCCTCGGAGCCCTTGGACCTTCGCCTAGGTTCCGGCAGGGCAGCATCCGAAGCGGCATCTCGCAGACGATATCGTCGTCGAGTAAGGCCGGCGTTGCTTCCGTGGAGCAGCTCAAGCGTGTGCTCTCCGGTAACGTGTCCCCCAACGCCTTTGGCTCCGAAGACGACAGCGCCGAGAGCATGGTGAGTTACGAGGAAGACCCCTCGGAAAAGAGCTTCAGCCCGACCGGTACAGATTCAGACCGGCCCACCACTTCGGCCGACGGCTTCAGCAGGAGGTCGAGATCCGGCAGCTCTGGCGCCCCGCTTAGCTCGGGCTCGAACCGCGACAGCTTGCCGAGGCTCCATCTGGATGGTGATCGGGAAGAAGGAGGCGGGCTGGGTATGAGCATCCCTCCCGTGCCCCCTCTCCCCAGCCTCAGCGTCCTTTCGGAAAAGGGAGGACCACTGAATGGAGGAGGCATCGCCGTTCAGGATTATGGGGCAAAGGCTTCGTCCAAGCGTACCAACAGCCGAGGAGGCGACAGCATTGCAGCTCGGTCACTCTTTGGTAACCACGACGATGGCGGTAGGACGATGGACCTGCAAGAGCTCCTCAGAGGCATTGATAGTCATCCCAACGAGGGTAGCTTGGGCAACTTGACCAGGCCTCCCTACTGATGGGATTCGACTATAAGACGTCTCTTTCTGCTTCCAGGTGCTTCAAACACACATACACATCATAACAATGGTGTTGGCAAAGGGAAGTCGGACCGGGAGATGACCATCATAGTTGGTGATAAGGAACAGCCTGGCCAGGCTTTTTCTCACCGCACTCTCACAGGCTTTTACTCCTCCCACGTTACTTACCGCAACCCTTACGCACACATATACACACAAATCCAGAAATGCATTCCCCTCCTCTTCGCATATCTGGACCTCTCACTCACACACCCAGGCATATATATCTATATATATATACATCTGTCACGCATCAATCAAAGGGGCAGTAATCGCCCGAGCCTTTGGAATTCTCTTTTGTATCAGTAATGGCGATAATGACACTTGTTGGGCAGATGAACAAGTGCAACGATGGGGCATGTGGAAGATGGCTGCATGAGAAGCTCGACTCCCACTACATCATGTTACATCGTCAGAGGACACACAGAGAGACACAGATTCACCCGCCACCAGCGGCAAACGTGCATCCCGGAATGAAGAGGTGGAGGCTTACGAATCCTTTTGCTATGGCTCTTGTCATCACTCTTTTCCCCCAATTTCTTTGTTTGTGGCATCTTCTTTTTATCTTAACCCTCTCCTGACCGGCAGCGGGTTTACGTTTTGAAAAATTTTCCCCTTTTTTTTGTTACTTGTTCCTCTTGTGTGTTTGTCTTTTTGTCTCTTAATATCGCAATGTACTTCATCTACTAGAAAGGCGGATAAGCCGGTGTTTTAATTTAGAATGAACGGGGTTGAGCCTGGAAACGATGAAAAACGAAAAAGTAACCAAGCTTTTGCCACGTTTGCATATGCGTACCTTGTTCTGATATCCTTCGTCTTGTCTGTTTTACTTATTTGGAGGTTGTTGCCAGATGTTCTTGATGGACTCAAGTTGAGGGATTGACTCGGCATTGTAAAGTAACGTATAGGTATGAGCGGCATTCAAGGCTCTAGGAACTTTATAGTAGTCGAATGGCATTAATTTGGGGCGTCATGTTCATTCTGAGTGCCAGGAGCTGTGCGAAGAAGGCTTGTGGTATGAGATGATGAGCCTATAAGATCGACTTCTCATGAGCCCAGTACGGGCTTTGATCCAAGTCGTCGACGAGCAGATTCCACAGGCAAATATACCATCATCTCACTGGACATCGACTCAATCTCGATGCAAGAAGTATAACTATCATCGCCCTGCTCATCAAATATATTGTAATTTTTTTCTTCTCTCACTCACCATTCATTCGAGTCCCGTAAGGTATACTTCAGCCAAGTACCGAGGCAAGTACGCCGCGACTCCGTCGTTCTTGCTTCCAAACATTAGTGGTACTTGTACCTCTGTACTCCTTGATTCAACCTCACTTCAACTTCAACCTTCGAACCATCGATGTTTCATTCCAAAGCCAGGCAAGGGCAAGAACCTCGCTCATTTCGTCTCGCCTCTTCGCACAGCCTCCTCCTCTCGCTGCTGCATATTACTGAGGTTAACGTGCCTCTCAGCAGCTAAAAGCAGTACACGTATACAGGCATTTTGGCGCAGTTTCACTCGCAGCGTTGGGCGCAGTCTGCCAGCTAATAATCTCCGCGACAGGGACCTGGAGTAGGCAGCAGGCTGTCCACCATCACTGACTCCCGGACCCCTGGCTCGATCCAATCATACCGTTTTCGACATCATGATTCCCTCGTGCGAGGCACCTTTCTTGCAAGCTTGCACTTCTTGGTCAAGGCGCGCGAGCGGAAAAGAACTATTGCTATTTCTTGCCTGGAGCCAAGGCAAACCCCGGGAGCCCGGATTACTTAGCTGCTGGAGCGGAGCGGGAAGCGGCCCTATCAAGAATTGTCTACCAACGTCAATCACGGATACTTCGTACTTCCTCCCTCGTGGTGACACAGACGGGATATTCCAAAAGAATCGATGCGGCACGTGGAGGCAAGCAGCTAATCTTATGGTGACCTTGGCACAAACATTTTGGGCATTTGGACATATTAATCTCTGGGTCATCTCGTCTGGGGGGCGCACGGCCGTGATTTTCGCTACGGGCAGCAATCCTACAGAGCCCTCGTAGGTGAGGCAGCGGCCGACGAGCTGTGGTTGGACAATGTGTTGATCTTGGCAGTTCTGATACTGATGCGCACTGCATCGGCTCTCCTTCCGGGGAATTCAACACACATACACACTCTTCACACGTTCTCCCGACGCTGCTGGCATTGATACTCGCATTGCTTCACGGCTCCAGAACACACCCACATGAGCGTCACTAGACCCACGCCGCGTCGATCCGCTACGCCCCCGAGCACAGCCTCACTCTTGAGCATTCTGGAACAAGGACAGCTCTTTCAGCAGCCCGCTCTTTTCTTTCCTTTTTTACCACTCCTCATATCCCCGGACAAAACATCTCTCTCACGTTTTGGCCCCGTAGGGCATCCATCCCCTCCCGCGAAAGACGATTGCCCGCAGCAACTCGGTTTCTCCATTCGTTTCCCCGTCTATTCCAGCTCTTTACATACGCCGACATTCATTTACGTCACTGGCTACTGCGACATGCAGGCATAGGGAAGCCGTCGCGAGCTTATCGAACCACCCCTGAGCAACCTGCCACTCGTTACTTTGTACGACACATACCTACCATCATATACGTTCTCTCTCAGGATTGATATTCCGTCCTTGCTCCCCACACCGAGATTGCAGACGCTCTGCTTCGGACTGCCAACTCTTCTGCGGTATTAACTGTCACCTCTTACTGCTCGAGCTACACGTTCTCGCCTTCGTGACCCCTTGCCGCCAATATCTATTGCTGAACAAAAGGCCTGCATCGCTGGTGGAGACTCCCAAGGCTCACTCGTTCGCTCTCACTGCTATCTCGCATCCTGCTTGCATCTCGGGCCCTTCCCACGCTTGCTCGGCTGAATCGAACCCCCTTTATCTCGACCGGCTTACGCTCTACAACGGCTCGGCCCGGGCCATGGACTCATACGATGACGACATCCAACGGCAGCAATACCATCCCTCCCACTCGATCCCCGACGCTGCCTATCCGGACGACTCACCATTCCGGCAGCAGCAGCAGCAGCAGCAGCTCCAGTTCCAGGCGTCTTACGGTGCTGGCGGGTTCGGCACGAGTCCTGTGCACCCCCCAGCTGCGGTGACGCCTCTTTCCTCACACACAGGAAATGAACCCGGATACCAGCCCCAGCACCAACGCCAGACTCAGAATCAGGAAGCTTGGCAGCCCTACGACATCCCCAGCAGCCCTCCTCCTCCATATGATCCGAGTCAGGCCCCAGCCGCTTACCAATACCCGCCTATCCATGCGCCAGCCGTCGCCATTCCCGCAGCTACGCATCCAAACACGCATGCCGATGGGCATGTCCAGGCGGTGGGCATCGAACTGATGCCCTTGCCAGTCGCGACGACGGCCGTGCCTCCTCAACAGACGGCACCTCTAGCACCGGCAGTCTCGACCTCCGTCGAGGACGCCTATAAGCTCGATGCTGCGTCTGTGGAACGTCGGCGCAGGCAAAGGCGCATCAAGATTTGCCTCATTGTCTTGACTGTGGTGTTCATATTTATTGGCGCGTTGATTTTGGGAGTGGCCTGGGGTGTACTTAAGAAGTCAATCAACAAACACCCTGACGACCATGACGATACATTCTGATGTCTGAGAGAGATTCTGTCCTGCTCTGTGGTACGCACACGAAGGCCACGCCGTGGTCCTTGAAGTCTCAACGGCTTCGTTTCGTTTTATTTGAGATACTATTCTTTCTCCGTCTTTATTTATCCCTTCTCATTTTCTTCTTATTTTTGTCATCAATTTTAGGCCGCGATTGGAACCATGGCTGTGGGATTTTGCCGTACGAGAATCGGAAGGGACAGCGGTGGGCATGAAGCATATAAGCGTACTTCACGCGCGGACGAGGTGTCCTAGGGTCTATCTTTGTTTCATTTGTCGATCCGGGATCTTTCATCCTTCTTTTCCCCCTTATTTCATTTTCATTTTCATGAATAGTTAGGCGTTGAGGTTATCGCTCACACAGAGGGTTGGAGTTGAGAGCTGCCGCAGGGTTTCTTTTCTTCTTAGTGGTATACATACATATGGTTGGGCAGATAGAGGTCAGCCCCAGGACAATTTGCGGTTGGCAATACAGAGGAGGCGGCGAACATTACAGACACAGCCTGCGAGGCATTGACTGTTGGCTTACACATGTCGGAGAGCCACTGGAAAGGAAGAAGGATGACGATGGCTACCAGTATGCATAGGTAGCATGAGTCGAAAGAACGGCATGCAAAACAATCATAGGTCTCCTTGGTCTTGTGGCTTGTATGTTGATAAGCTATGTGTCGTCCTTAGCTGCTGAATGGTTCACATCATGACGTCTGAGCAACAAGCACGCTTGCCGGATGTGCCCAATAACAAGCATAGTAATGATTGATATATGCCCATTGGCAAACAAATTGCTTATCAACTGACCAAAAACTTACTTTGATGTCCACTAGGTAACTATTGGTAGATCTATCATCGAAGTTCCACCCCGAACGGCATACGTTCGTACATTCTAAAGCGGCATTCAAGAGACATGAAACTGCCGAATCTGGCAATATCCCCTTGTTTACCGACACCAGTCGTCTGGTAGTGATTCGTATTATTACTCGACGAGACAAGCCACGTTCGTCGTCTATTCTCATGACTACCTAGGTATGCTTACGGAGAGAAACTTGCCGAGACTTGGCTTTCTCCCCCACGGGCTCCGCTTAGCATTAAGTGGTTACTGCTAGTAACATGAGCCCGGACGGATGGAGTACCTACTTCGTATGCTAACGTTGACGGATATCATCTCCAAACGGGCCGCTGGTGGATCGGCGGAATCGCCGTCAAGGTTTCGGCGGCAGCGGGAGGGCTAAGAATAAACCGGGCTGGGATTCGATTTAAGAATATGACGGGCCGAGCTCTACACCACCCAGTCTTTACCCATAAGGGATGCTGCTGGGAAGCATGGAGGAGCAGCCGTTGAATATTACATGTCCCTAGCAGAAGCACAGGCGTTTATTGCTGATGGCTTCGTTCTCGACACCGGGACCATCTGACGCTGCAATTTGACGCTGCTTCCCAGAATGGCGACCAGAGCGATTGGGACATGGATTCTGCAAAAGTGCTTGCTTTCTGCTCCTGGTGTGATGGTGTTCTCTCGGCGTCGTGTCGGGAACGGGCTATACCGAGGCTCTTCATGCTTTCTGCAGCTCGGAGTAAGGTGTTGCAAAGAGGATAGCTCTGTTATTAGTATGTCAGTACTGGGGTAGCTTCAGCCCTCCCTCAGGCGCGTGGGAAAAGGGCACAAGAGGTTTTGCAGGCGGAGAAGCCTACAGTGGCCCTGCACATGGGATTGGGCACATGCAGCGGTATGCATGCCTGAATGCCTCATCTGCAAGAAATATTTCGCCCAAGGGGTCGAGACTGAATCTGGTTGTAAGCAGAAAAGCAGAATTTATCTGCCGGCCGGGGCACCCATAGACACGACAGGATAATGAAGAAGTTCCTGTTCTGCGGCGGTCGAATTAGGAATCCGGCCCGGGGGTCTCCTGAAGACCGGGAATCTGGACCCGCGAGTGGGTGGGTGTAGGTTGTAGCACTACTACGAGGTCGTAGCATCAGGTAGTAGTAGTAGAACTGTTCAGATCCTCTGCTGTCATCCTGCCCACTCGTCAACAATGGCGGAGCATGCCATAACAGGCGAATTTTCCGTCGATGAAGCCGAGATCTGGGCCTGGCCTGGGCGAAGCTGATTGTCCGGTTTGGGATGCTGCCCACGCTCGAGAACTGAACTCCCTGCGGCGTCGTGCTCTCACGCTCGCTTCTCCCCTTTTCTCTGACTCTGCCTCTCCCCCGACGGTAATGCCTCGTGTGGATATGGTTTTCAGCCACTAATCCGCTCATGTATGGTGACCGATGGTTCGATTGACGACCTCGTGACTGTTTGTTAAATTGCGGAGTTGCTACCCAGGCATATTGTGGACTCAATCTCGGTATCCGCATCTGCGCACTCCGAGACAAAACCTAGGATCTTTGAGCTGCTGCCACCACTAGCACTTAGATGTAGTCGATGAGGTTTTTGGCCCTCCGGGGCTCGAACTACCATGTAGTTGGTGTCCAAGTGGTAATCTATACGATGTAACTTGGCATGACTACTGTAGCAAACGACGAGTGGACTGAGAATAAGGGAGGGACGCAAGGGCGGCAAATGACGTCCTTGGAAGAAATCCGAAATAATCATGAGATGTCTGGACGTGTAAGGCGTCAATGTGAACCTTTGCTTGGCGATTTTGGCATGTGATGATCGTCTTGGCCCAAAACTGGAGACCGTCCTGTAGGAGAGTGAGTAACCGAGTAAAAGAGGAGAATGCAACGGAGAGCCCGTTACGAGCTGAATGCAAAGCGGAAAGGAAGTTCCCGGGGTGCCGTACTGAATAAGAGGAAATAGAAAGGAGGTTCTGAGGTTTGAATCAGGCAGGAGAGCTCCATGAGCACTGATCTTTGAGTTACCTACCTAGGAAGTCTGGCAAGTATCACTCCGTTAGATCGTACGTATCAGGTAAGGGACAGACGCACTCGGTCTGGGCTGGCATGGCATGTATCTTACTCCGTCTTATTGCTTTGGAAGGTGATTCTGAGAGGCAGGTGCAAAGAAGGCGGCCGGGATGTAAGCGAGATAGTAGAAATCGAGGCAATTCCTTCTTTATGCCTCCCGCCATATCAAATTCTGGCAATCTCTGCATGTCAGGTCCCTCCAGGTATTACTTGTATGAGTAACTGCAGTAATAACATCGCCTTGACACTTTGTCCTTTGCATTTCTCATTCTTTGCTCCCTTGACGTTGCAGATCTGCTCCTCTCCGACCATTCGTCACTCCACGCCGTGTTGTTGCTCTTCTTCTTCTCTCCCTTTCTTCTCGGCGCCAGAATCACCCACCAGTCGATCATTCATGTGATATCACTGGCCATGCAAGTAAGACAACCGATACCAGCTGACAGGTGCCTTACTCGTGCCGATGGTACGATGTAGTACTAGGTAGTGTGATAGTGCTAGCATATCCAAGTCGCGAATAACGAGCTGACAGGTACATACGAGCACGGACAGGGCCCTGGAGAGAGCTGATCGCAGGCTAGCTAGGTCGCCACGCGCAAGAGGCGATGGCTCGGGAACGGACCGGCCTCGTTTTGACAGCTTCCCGGTAGGAAACTTGGCTGGGGACGAAATGCTATGCTACGGTCCTCTGTACTCGTACGAGACCGAGGAGGGACCCTGGCTCAGCTGCTTCGACTAAATCAGCCCCGGCACAAGTCTCTTATCGCTGTCCCGAGCCACTAAAACATACGGACTCAAAACGAGCAAGTTGAAGTTATAGTTGATGCATAGGATGCAGATACAAGAACTAATGGCGGCATACATACTTACGGAGTACTTCGTACGAGTCGTTGCGTACATATACTCTTGTCACGGCATGCCGTCTATACCCCATGTTTTGCGGCTACCTGCTTCTTCTCCTTTGCGGGTGATGGCCATGCTGCCAACTGACAAGTTTACGCGAGTAACCTCCCCCATGAACTCGAACTCATGTGGTACAACCTGAGCTCTTTTGGCCCAAAGCTGGAGCTGGACCCGGAACTAGCACCGCTTTGTCTCGTGAGTGTAAACACTTCGTACATGAAGCTGAGCTGTGCAACGCCATGATGTAAGTTGCATGCCTCCAGCTTGCCTTTTTCCTTCTGTCTTTCATTGAGCAAGTCACACTTCACTCCCTGCGCACTACCAATCCCAACTCTTACGCACCAATTTTGAGACATCATCTGCCTTCATATTGGCTCTTCTTGTATCTAGCTTACACCGTCACCAACATGCTCTGCGAAGTCGTATCTATCGGAGGCGGTCGGCAAGACCGGTACTGTACGAATATCACCACGGTGGATGATATCAACATGAAGCATGCTCCGGGGCAGTTGTACGCGTCTGAGCCCTTCCCATACCGTGGGCGTCGTTCCTCTTCAACGATGCTCTCTCTCTCTCTCTCTCTCTCTTTCTCTGGGTCCTGCTGGGATCGAATTTTCAAGGCGTGACTGGGAACCCCTGCCCCCCCTTTAGGCGTTCCAAATCCCTGGAGGGCCTACCCGACGGAGACGATTCAATTTTTCGAAAGGGGATCCTCATTTTGCGCACCCCTGCCCTGCCCGGTCTGAGAACGCAGCTGTCCAGCAAGACCAGGTCGACATTGGAGGAATGGGAAAACAAAAGGAAGAGGCGTTGGGAGAGCGATTTGTACCCAATGCTACTCTGTCCGGTGACTTGGCTCTTTTGGTCTTTTGTCGTTCTCTCTTCCTTTTTCTTCCTCCATTCTCCGCCGCGGCGCTCTTTCTTTGTCTGTCGGCTGAGCGATATGTTATTCGCGTCTTTCTCTTCACGTTCTCCCTTGCGAAGCCATCCTGTTTGGGGCCATGGTTTGCTGCATGTACGAGTGCTATTTCCCCTTCCTCCTCCCTGCCTTGCCCATCCCCATCGACTAACAGCATGACCCATGCTACCCAGCCCGTCCGCCGCCGCCGCCGCCCTTGTTGCTGGCTCTGGCGAAGTACGAGTACAGGTACACCCCGAGCTCTTCCGTCATCAATGGACGATGCTGTTGCATTGGCTGCAAGGCCCCTCCCCGGCCCAGTCCGCTCGGTACTCGGTCGTACTAAGACGAACCCCAGGGACCGGAGTCCAACATCCTCCAGAACTAGTGCTCCGACCGCTCTCTAGGCATTATCCTGCGCTGCTGCTGCTGCTGCTGCTGCCTGTACGAGGGCACAAACGAGCCGGCATAGGCGCCGTGCTTTTTCTGCTATCGATGCTGAATTGCTGATCCAAGGAAAAGCTCTTGGATGAGTGTCGTGCAGATTGAGTGAGGCAGACAAACAGCAGCAGTAGGAGTATGTCGCAGAGGAGATGACACCCATCCATGCCTCACCTTGCCCTGCCTCTAATTAATCTCAACTCAGTATCAACACCCCCATGCATACAAAGCAGCAGTATTGCTTTTGCAGGACCTCTGAGCATATGCAGCTACGACAGATGTGAAGAAGGCATTGATCGGCTGTTATTATCATTGCTGCTCGTATCACCATCGTCCACCATCTCGGAGTTGATGAGCACTGCAAGGGACGAGCACATCCGACCGCTTCTGTTACATGCTGCCCTCAGATCACACGCATCTCGTATATACTGACAGCCATGGATGCTATCGATACAAACGGTTATACTCTCTCTTAATGTCTGCCTTGAACTACCTCCCTTGGCATCTATACCCGGATCACCACTCCGAGCGGGCAGACAAGAATAGATACACGTAGAGAATACGATTCGATACGACTCGAAGCGGCACGGCACGATTCGCACTCGATCCCCAAGATACGATACAATTAGGCACCCCGCACTGTTGTATATCTCTCTACCTTCCGAGGTAGCAATCACTTACTTTCATTGTCGCGCAGCTCTCCCTTCATCACTGCCTGTCAGCGCTCTTCCTTTTCCTCCCTTCCGATTTGTTCGACTGGTCGCCCTGCTGCAACTCTGTCTCATCTCCAGACTATTAGTGCTGCTTCCCTGGGGGTCGTTTCCGAGCGTCGTCCTGCTGAGCTTGGCAGCCCCGATCCTGCGTTGCTCCAGCTTGCCAGCAGATCAGATCACAACGTAGCTTCTCCTTTCCCCGTGTGTCATATCCTGAACTTGTTTGATTCACGCCTCATCCTCCTTTTTGTCGTAAGACGCCTCGTTGCAGGCCTTCTTGCCACTCGCTCGCCATATCTCGTCATCTTTTCGCTGCCCCTCCCTCCCCATTCTCTCAGGATCTTGAATTCCAGCCAACTTTGACTTTCTCATGGCCTACTACAACTACTACTCCGTTACAACCGGCCTGTTTTCTTAGACTCGACCTTTACTCTATCCTTTTACTGTGGCTTCACGCTCACTTATTCGTTGAATACCTACTGAACTGGTACCTCATACTTGCCTCCTACAGCCCATCTATCCTACCTACCTTACCTGGTATTACAAGGTATACCTTACCTCCCGTAGGCGGTACCTGCCGAGTCCCTCCCCGCCGTCGCCAGTAGTAGCTTCCGTACTTGCACGCTCTGCGCCTGCCCATCTACAAAAGCGAACCAAACCCCCCTGCTCCTTCCCTTGTACTCGAATCAGCCCAGCATCCCTTTCGTCAATCCGGCTGCTACCTCATCTCTGCTTCATCTTCTCTTCCTTCATCATCATTTCCATCCTTTCTTTTTCTACTATCACCTCTGTTCACAACAGTCATCGGCAGCTTCTTCTTCTTCTTCTTCTTGTTCTTCCTCTTCTTCCGCCTCGACCCGAACACCCTGCCTACGGTTCTCTTGGCGTAGCGGCGCCATCGACGCAATCGACCCTCGCTATTGGCATCCTTCTCAAAACGTTCCTCTGCATCTTATCCTGGGATACCCGACGACCGCATCCTACCCCGTCACGACGCTATTCTTCTTGTAGCCGATTGCTCTGCCCCCCAATGGCATAAAATAGAGCTTTCATCAACCACTATATTATCCTCGGCAGCAGGCTTTTATCATAACCTTCAGCTTGCCTATTCCTTCTTTTTTTATCACTCGCCCTCATATCACTTTCTACCTTACTTTTTTTTCATCCTTGTCTCAAACAAATACAAGGGGGGAGACTAAGACCAAAAGGAAGAGGAAAGAAAGGCAACAGCAAGAAAGAGAGAAGGAAGCTGAGAAAAAGAAAAGAATCGCGGGCGACAGATTTGGTGTGGAAATACGAGAAACGAGAGGGAATCAGAAAAAAAAGCAAGGAAAACGACATCGCGCTCATCAACTTGCGACTTCAATTTTTCCCTCTACTATAACTTCTCGATCCCCGAATCTTCGCTTAAAAAAAAAAAGAGGCAGAGAGGGAGAGAGACCCGAAAGAAAAGACACAAAAAATTTAGACCCCCCGCCCTGCAGAGCCGTTTTTAGTGCTGCAACTCGACATTCCCCGACTAGCAGCCAAATCAGTCGAACGGCCGATATCCTCACAATCCCCGTCGTTTTCGTTCTGCAATATAACCGCCATTCACCGCCCCCACGACGGTTCGATTTTTCCGGCTCGTCTCGAGAGTGACATTATCTGATTGATTACTCACCCGCAACCGCTGCAACACGACGCTCTGCTCTGCTCTGGCCCTGCTCTGGTCCAATCTGGCATTCTGTCCTGTCCTGTCACGTCCTGTCCCCTTCCCTCTCCCGTGTCCTGTGGCGCCGCATTTGCCCACAAAGTGCTCACTCAAGCGCTCACCCGCTCACTCGCTCACTCGCTCTGAGCCCTCAACGTCTCACCGTCGCTCCGACCATCCATTGGCCGGCCTCTTAACAGATAGGTCCGAAGCACCCCGGGACCAACCTGCAGCGGCTGCGGCTACGCGAGACCAAGAGTCCCGAAATTTGTCTCAGCGGCGGCTTCGTGTTTCACACAACCCATCGCCGGCTCGGCCCTTGAACCTTTATACAGCCTGTGCTCCGTCAAATTCGCACCTCGCTCTTGTTACACGGCCTTCCATTGCTGTAAACTTCGACTTCGTTGTCCTTTGGCCTGCACCACCTTTGCGCCATATACAGCTGGAAGATACGAGCGTGCCTATTATCTCTTACCTTTCACCTTGAGTCAGGTAGCAGCAACCACCAGCCATGGCGCCACGAAGTCCCTACTCATCCAGGTAAGCCAAAAAGCGCGATTCTGCACGGCAGCTCAATTGGCATCGCCATGCGACTCTTTCCCTTCTGCCGTGTCGGTTCTCTGTTGCCCTCGCACAGCTCTTCCGACTCACTAACTCTCTTGTGCCTCTTCTCAGCAGCCGTGAGCTCCATGTTGTCGTCCTCGGTGCAGGTTTGTCATGCCTCGAAAGCTCTCCTCTTCCTGGCCTCAAACGTGTCACCGGACACCGCTAACACTGTTACTTAGGTGGCGTCGGCAAAAGTTGCCTCACTGGTGAGTTGTCGCCAATTCCTGCGCTATTCCAGCCACCGGTCTGGATTGATCCTTGGCTAACACAGAGCAGCCCAGTTTGTTCACAATGAATGGATCGAGAGCTATGATCCTACAATTGAGGACTCATACCGCACTCAAGTTCAGGTTGACGTAAGTTTACCATATATCCCGAGTGATTGGCTTATACTCGCCGCCTTTTTGGCAACCCTCTGATCTGACACCGGCTTTGCGATTGCTCTCCAGGGTCGACAAGTTATTCTAGAAATGTGAGTCTTGGGGATGGTTTCCTCCTAACCCTTAACGCCTATGTGGAACAGCTCCTGATATCGAAAACGACAGCCTTGATACCGCTGGCACCGAACAATTTGGTAAGGCTGATTTTTTACCTTCTTCTTGCAAACCACCTGCAGCTGACGCTCTGGTAGTGGCTATGAGAGACTTGTACATGAAGACAGGCCAAGGCTTCCTCCTTGTTTTTAGCATCACATCAGCCTCATCACTGAACGAACTGGAGGGCCTGCGAGAAGAGATCCTCCGAATCAAGGACGACGATAACGTTCCCATGGTCATTGTCGGCAACAAGGCCGATTTAGAAGAAGCCAGGGCTATCCCCCGTGCCAAGGGCTTTGCCATATCGCAGAAATGGGGCGCTCCCTACTATGAAGCCAGTGCCAGGACCAGGAGTAAGTCGCTTATACTCTTCGAAGGCCCGTCTGGAACCTCGTTTACTGACCGTGAAAAAGCCAACGTTGATGAAGTCTTCATCGACCTTTGCCGCCAGATGCTACGCAAAGAGGATGACACGACGGACCCCGACGACAGCTCAAGGATAGACGCCCTCAAGGCCAGCAACAACAAGCGCAGACGACGTTCTAAGTTCCGTGACAGCACCCACCCGCGATGCGTGATACTGTAGCCGATTGGTCCACCGATCCGACAACTGTTCATGCCCACATGGGGCTACCGCTGCGAGCACACGGAAAGGCTGCCAGAAAAGCAACGGGGAAGGAACCCCTTTCATCACATGGACTGCCTACATATATATATACCCGGATGTTTGATTGTGTTTGCTGTTGAGCACGGCGGGAATTTTTGCCTTTCCTCCACTTTTTTTCTTCCCTCTCTTTTCTTTTTTGTTTTGTTTTTCATGGCGAAACAAGAGCTTTGGCTCTCATGCGGGGGATATTGTCCCAAGGCCTCACCGCGGCTAGTCCTAGGTACACGACGGAAGAGGTCCTTGCAATTCAGACTCGAGTCCAAAAGAGCTCGGAGAGCTGCCAATTGATTCGTTCCTATTCGCCGCGGGATGTTGCAGAGGTAGCTATTGCCCTACTAAAAACCTCTCCGCCTTTCAACAGAACGAAACGAGAAGTTTGCCTGCCCTTTTATTCTTTCCTCACAATATGATATCAGCAGAAGGGATGGCATTTCCCGAGAAGGTGGAGCGACATGGTACAAAACATCGACGGCGTTACTAATAAAGATGGACGGAAAAGACTTGGGACGGATCTTGGAGATCATAGAGGCATGCATACTCACGTTGGCGCAGGATGGGCATCAGAGAAAAGAGTATGGGAAGCAAGGGTTAGATCGACAAGTCGCAGCAATTTAATATATATCCTACCCACGATTGAGCGCTTGAACGAGCCTGAAGAATGCAAGAGAAAAGAAGAGGATCGATAATTTGTCCCCAGTGGCAGTTGATTGATATATGGACAGGCGTGACGAGGAAAAGGACTACAAGAGAAGACCAGTCAACGAGCGATGATAGATAGGGACGGCAAAAAGAAGAGAGGCGAGGAACGAGGGAGCAAGGAGACAGGGAAAATCAAAAGGGGAAAAAAAAATGCCCGCCCCGAGATGGGAAAAAGAGAAGGGTCTGGCCGGGGATTGAACCCGGGACCTCTCGCAAGCAAGCTGTAGGGTTTACCCTAAGCGAGAATCATACCACTAGACCACCAGACCGAAGATGTTCTTCTTGATGAAAGGCTGTGATCTATCTTGCCTTATATTTCTAATCACAGTCTGTCAGTCAATTGATAGCAAAGTCATATTCGCTCGACTTACACGCATCTTGTCGTAGCGTCGCAGTTTCCTTCTACATCTTTTCAGTCAGTGTAAATATGCGAACTGCATTCGAGCTGATCCACTGACCTGATAAGTAAATACAATTAAAATCTTTGTCTCAATCATTCACGATAAAAGTTCATTGGCGAATGAAGACCGAGAGGGCCACGGCAAGACATAGATAGGCCAGATGACGATAGGCCAGATGACGCATGAAGGCTCCTGTTTCCGCGTCTGTCTGCCGGATAGCCCTCGTTTCGGGGTGTGAGGTGGCTGGACAATATTGCAGAGGGTGTCTGATTTCCTATACGTATCGCAATAGAATTTGATATGGGCATCGGTGGACCAATGCTAGTGAGGGAGCGGCAACTGAACCCAGTAGCCAAGCAAATGGTTCTGACCCGAACCACTCTCAAAGTGTGCGCCGTTGATACTCGAGGGGTCGAAGCCATAGATTCTCAGTCCCTGAGTATGGTGAGTTCAAGCGGCGATGTTCGAATCTACTGCACTGATGAAGCCCATAAGTTCCTTTCAATCATGGTGGAAGTACCAGGCAGTGTCGACATTCAAAGTCCACTAATCAGTGCAAAGAGAAGACAAGGGAAGACGAATGCGAAGGCAGTAACGGTAGCGTGAGTCCCTGAATGTGGAAGCGTCTCCCTTGATGTTCCTTGCCAAAAAAAAGACTAAATGAGAAGGGTAACGGAGAAACGGAAGAGTCAAAATAGTATCGGGCGGAAAGCGACATAACGGCGGCCCTTTCCAAAGACTCACAAATAATCATAAGAGCCGCATGTTGCGGGGTCAAGGACAGAGTGGTGATGGAATGCAGCCAGGGCCGACGATTTGCGAAGTGTACAAGAGAAACCAGGTGATAGACGGCACCATTTCCGGAAGCCGCCGACTCGATCGGATTTCCCTGCGGATCCTTCTATGGTCACACGCTCCGCTACCTCGAAAGCTGCGCAGTCTATATGGCCATAAGCCGAGTCGCAGTTAACCGTGAATGCGCCTTCGCGCATGCTAGAGCTGGTGGACGCTTGCCTTTCGACAGATGACAAGAAAGGAAGAGCTTCAAAGTCTCCGGATACAAGCGTCATGGCAAGAAGGAACCTTTGCAGTTGTCCCTGAATGCCTGTATATTGCAAAATGACAGTCAGTACCTAAGTATGAAGCATTAGACACACTGGTTGTGATGGCATAGCTCGTGTCAAATGGAGTTTCTCAGCCTGTCTTCTGGTCAAAAAAGACTCGAGGACGTTGCGTGTATGCTCGGCTGAATGCAGCGAGCAAAACCATTGAGCAGCCGAGAAGGATGCTTCTTCATGTTTTGGTTGCTGAAGTGGGAAGCTCCACGAGCCCAGGATAAAGCGGGCGAAGGAGCCCACTCCCGTCCTTCGGAGCCCAGTCCCATGGTGACTCCGTATATGTAGTAACCGATACTCTTCCAGGTTCGATCCCTCCTCCCAGTGTGTGTGGATGCGAGGTGAACAAATGTGACGGGCATGGGCCGACACACAGTAGCGCGTCGCCTGATTCGGGACACGGCCAATGAAGGATTTCGTGAGGAGGTCCACGCCCAGGAGTGTGCTTGTCCATATGTACAGCTGTACGAAGTACTAGTAGCAAGATGCCACACCTTCAGGGGTCGAAGAGGAAACTTGCAGGCTCTTGTGCGAAGTATGATATGATAGCTGATAGAGACGCAACTTGGACTTCTAGGGCGCCGGTGCGACCAAGATCTCGGTACGGTGGGAAACACTGCACTATTGACATTTGACACTGATTCCCTTTTCGTGCATGGCGGAAATACAGACCTGTAAATCGCAGCATAAAAGAGCGGACACAAGTCTGCAACAGTTCCTAAGCCACTTTCAAGCAGACAGAGCGCAATGATTGATAGACACATGCGGTCAAGGAAAACAATACCATGGAACCGGTACAGAGGATCGCCTGAGCATGAGCATGGCAATCAGCCAAAGTTCCCCGCCAGCGAATAGGATAACGAGATCACCTTGGTCAAGACTGACGGCTCGGGACCAAGCTGCCGGATGTGGTGCCATGCCACGTCTGGCTGTACCAACAATACTACGTCGCGAATCGGCTGCAGTGGTCGAAGGCTTAGGGAATGTTGAGCATCGTGTCCTTGTCTGACGTACAATTGTTAGCAGAGAAGCCAGGTGAAACAGCCTCGTTATGACGGCCACATGAAAAGAAATGCCATGGGCACTTGCAGTCTCGGCGTACTTCTAAACTCCAGCTCAACGAGTCATTGGTTAAATCGCGATCAGCTCGGTGGACATGGCTGTCGAATGCGATATAGGAAGCAGATGGAAGAATTGACAGGGAGGAGGAGGACGAAGTGTGGCAGAAGAGAGAACGCTGCGGGTGGATGAGGAGAAAACGGCGAGATGGGTAAGGGAAAGAAGAATAGTTGTGCTTGCCATGATCAGGGGTAGGCACCGCTTTAGCAAGTGTCACGAGAAGGAAGGAGCACCGCAATGCTGCCACTGGCGATCTTCTCACAAGAGTGCGGAGTTGCTTGCAGATATCGAATGATAAGCGGTGCCTTACCTTATCTGCCATCACCGAGGATCACATAAGGTAGTATTGACGTCAAGTAAGGTATACTATAAGGAGAATACCTAAGGTAGTTGGAGGCCGTTGTTGCGGCTAATAATGTCTGTAGAGGAACTGCGTGATGCGCTGGGAACGTCCAGAAGAGGCGTGTTGTCTCCTGAGATGCTTGCTCATTGTGTGCCTACCCGGGTACCAAGCATCGTAGTACCAATCACTCTCCCCATTTAGGAGCCAGAACCGAGAATTCTACGAGGTGAAAGCCCTTGTGAGTGCAAGGATCGATAAAAGATGACCTGAATGACGATGCCATGGTGTCCATGACAGTTGTCTCTACCCTCTACCCTGTAGAACTACTACTTGTACTGCTTCATCTCTGCGCAAGTCTCGTACTATGTACTACCTAGTAATTTAACCGCGACCAAAAAGGAGAACCAAAAACGACCTGTCATCATCTCCAGCCCTACGAGCGTCGGGACGAGGTCATGAATGTACATGTGGTTATGCGCCTTTCCACGCGCTGGCCACAGCCACAGAGTTCCCGCGCGTCGTACCCTTGCCTCACCTGGTCTCCGCTCGTGAGGTTGGCAATCTATCTTGGTTAAACTTCGCATGGAGAATTACGGAGCAGCAAGGTAGGGATTACTGCTGCTCCGTACCTCGTACTCTGCCGCCATCTGGAGAACAAAACGGCTAGCCCCTCGAGATCGTGCTATGCTGTGCTAAGCCTAGTCCCCGTAGGCGCGTCTGTGAGGCAGCGGACCACTGCTGCGGCCGTGTGGTCCCCCCTGGGATCAGGAGCTTGGCACGATGCGGTAGTACTTCGTATCTAGAGGCAGAGGTGAGGTATCCGTAAACGGTGTAGTCGGCAGGGTTGCGATCAACTGCGGCTCAGTCGTTGGGAGATTGTAGTTGTTGTGCTCCGAAGAAACCAGCGATATCTGTGCATAGAGATCGTCAGCCGGGAAACTGGAAGAGCGCGTCTACGCGGTCTGAGGTGGTGACTCGACTATTGCTGGACTGATAGTAGTACCTACCTAGCCACTGCTGGTCCAGTACATACATGTACTCGTAGGCACTCAGTAGACACATACCCACATCCATCGAAGCGGTTCCTGGTGATGAACAGGGGACACTTGGCCAGGGGCCATGCGCCAGTGGTGTGATGGGCCGCTCGCGAGCCTTCGTTTAGGGCATGATCTCCTCCCCTCGCCCCTCTCTCTCCTCGTTTTGCAGACGGCGTCCACAGAAGCGCAAAATGAGCGAGGCGCGCGCATCCAATGAAAGGGCGTCGGTTCGGTTCGGGCTGGCATCATCTCCATCGAGGGCAGCAATTTGACATGCATAAGCTGCCTTGCTAGTGTGTGCCGGGCGCGGCATGTGGTTGGCTGGCGCGGGCTCCCCATAATCTGCAATCTGGGCGGAGCCGGCCACTACTGGCAGCTTCGTACCTTGGCAGGGAGCGGTACCTCTGGCGCGACTGGAGCCTTCGAGCGGTGGGTGGTACTCCAGGGTCGACATCGACCCCATTGTAGATAGTGGCCCCGCCAATTGGTCGTTTGCACGTGCTTGCCGTTGCGCTAAAAACGACGGTCATGAGCCAATGGCCGAACCTTGGGTTCGATGGAAGAGGATGAGATGATATGAGATTCTTGTTCTCTGACAACTCGTACGAGTCGGTACTGCACTGAAAATCAGTACTCGAACGAGTCACGATGCGATGTTGCATTTGAGACCACCAGTTTCATTGTCGCTGGCCAATCTCACTAAAACTCTCGTAATGGGAGTTGCGAAGGAGAACTCGTTAAGCTGTTGTGCTTCGTCCCAACCTCCACCTCACCACATCTATCTAGCGGTCGGGAACAATGCTACCAGCTTTGCCTCGGAACAGTTCTTGGTGAAACTAAGGGTCATGCGGAGGAGGATGCAGCCTAGCCCGAGAAACGCTTCCAGCTGCCAGGATGCCCGGCATCTGACACTACCTACCTTGCTTCATGGCGGGATCACTCTGTCATACCCAAATTTTCAAGTCCAAGGTAATCTGTACTACCCGTCTCACGCGACGCTTTAATATGGCGCTGCGCCGCGGCTGGCACATGGGACACAAAACATGAGTTGGTAAGTAAGGAATGTACTACCAGACCAATCTCAAGGGGTCGTCGCATCGTGGATCGTGTGCCTGGCGTTCTAGAAGTGCCAAGTGCGACAAGAACTGGTGGGCAGAAGTGGCAGCGGGTTTGTTCCAGATGAGAGACAACGGCATCGTGAATGCTTAGTAGTACCTTGCAGTGCGACTCGTACACGACACAGCGGTTGTACAAGTACTCCATGGCCAGTACCTTGCTGTAATACTCCGTGCCATCGCCGGGTGTCTTTCGGCCCCCTGTCAGCGAGCTGGAGGGGCAGAATGTGGCAGCCAGTCCTGCGCACCCCGTTACTTCGAGGTTCTGGGTACATTATGATTCATGCGCGCTCTTGACGCCTCCGACTTTGAGACACAGCGACAAAAGTCATCATCCTGGGAGCCCAGGTATCTGGCGGCCAAACAGCTGGAGATGGGATCCTTTTGGGTTATGCCTTGCAGATATGGCACATGGAACGCCACTGTGTTGCTCCACGCTCAACAGGTCTGATGGGATGGGCGAGGAAGTCGTTGAGAAAGATGCTACTTCATTTGGCCTAGGACGCGGACTGCTGCTAGGACTATCTGGTACTAGACACTTGCGAGGTACGTGCTGTAAGGGCCAATCTCCAACGTGTGCATCGATCAAGAACACCCCACACACACTCAATCATCTTTTGCGGGACTGCCATTTGAAATCGTTGGATCAAGGACTGGGCAGTTCGTACCTTCACGGTACCGTACTCGTACGTATCTGAGGATTTATGACGGTATTCGAGAGCTCATAATACGGGATGCTCTAGAACGAGGATTCCCCAGCTTTCATCGACGTATGAGAGTGGACTTTGCGCGTATACACACAAGCCTGTGAGGTGCGCCCAGCCGTTGAACGAAAATCCGAATGCGGCGTCAGAGTCAGGAACCCTCGGGAGGCAGGCACCTGCTTAATCATTTCACTGCTGTCTCCTCTCACATGCAAACGGCGTACCTACCTACCTATGATCGGGCTTTGCCAGCCTCAAGTGTATCTCAAGGTCTGACTCCTCTTTCCCTCTGAATCTTCGCCTTGAATCTTGTCAGCAAAACTGCGAAATGATAGGAAGAAAGTAAAAAGCCAGGCAATGAATAGACCGTTCCCTCACCTATCCCAACTCAAGAGCAAAGTTGAAGTCTAGAATCCAAGCACCGCTCTGCAATCTCGGGACAGAGTGTGATTGATCAACTGCCATGCTAGCACACCCTCGCCTCCAACTTCAAGGTATTGTACCTCTTGAGTACTTTCGTCAAGCCGCACAGGGAAACTGGCGCTAGCACGCGATGGTGGCGCCCAGCAGCTGGGACTGTCTGCAAGGTACACGCAGGGCCGGGATTCTGTACTGCTGCGACCAGCATGCTGACGAAAATGGCTGAAGGGACAGGGCCGGTACTCGACAGCGACACACGTGCAGGTACCCCCCCCAAGCCGCCGGGAACTGCTGCACAACTCCCCCGATTGGCCGGTGGCAGACGCGCAGATTTGGCCCCCTCCAGCCTCTGCTGAGTCTGCTCTCTCGGGCTTCCTCTCACCACACGCACTTCGTGCCTAGTGCCGCACTCCTCCCAGCACCCTCCAGCTTCCGGCCTTTCGAACTGCAGGGCCCGTTTCCAGGGCACGCTGGCCGCTGGACGTGCTGGACACCTGCGCGCTCAACGGCCTGAGCCCGCTAAAATCCGCCAGAAACCTCCCCGCTGCTGCGCCTGAGCCTGTCGAGCCTCCGTTCAACCCTCACTGGAAGCGTTTTGGGGGGCGTCCACCTCATCCCTCCAGCCAGTCAGGTCTCTCCCCCCCCTCCATGTCTCTCTCACTCGCTCTATCTCGCTCGTCTCTCTCGCGCTGCCCTCCAACCCTCCAAAACAAGAGGCCAGTCCAGTCCCATCCCATCCCATCCCAGAACTAGCGCGGATGAGAACAAAGTTCTCCCTGGAAGCAGGTCCGAAAGCGCCCCCATTTGCCTTAGGTTCCTCCTTCTCCCCTCCTCCAGTTGCAGAGCCTGGTGTCACTTCTGCATCTTTTTTTCCCTCTCCTCTGCTGTTCCCTCATCAAGGCCTCTCTCCCCACCTTTTGCCGGCTGCAACTGCGGGCTCCCCCCAAAAAAACCGGCCCCAAAAGTCGAGCCCCGGCAGAGCACAGAGGAGAAATACCTACTAGGTAGAGGTGCGTCTGATCTGGTCTGGTCGGGTCTGGTCGCAGTCACTAACAACCGCTAGTTACTCCAAAGGCCATCCCCCAGCCCAACCGCCAGCCTCGACGCATCATCATCCTCCTCCTCGCATCACCTCGCGCGCCAACCTCAACCCCAGGGTCGTATCTTCGCCCACCCGCCGCAGCGCCTCCCGACCGATAGAGTTGCTCAGCGCGCCGTGCTTCTCCAGCGCCCTCTCTATCCTTTCTTCTGCCACGTTCTATTTTTTGCTCCTAGCCATATCGACGCTGGCGCATTCGGTGCAAGAAGCGCCAGATCGCTCCTCGAAGGAAACTTTGCGTGCGCCCCCTCCCAGCAACAGCGAAAGTCTGGCCCTTTGACAGCCTCAAACGCACAACCTCCAGCACCTCCAGCGCGTCGCCGACTAGAAACCCCCCGTCTGCTGCCGCGCACAGAGCGCTCCCGCGCTTCTTGTCCCTCTCGCCGTTGTTGTCTCCATCGTCATCGCATACGAGCTCGTCAATAACTACCACGACAACTGCCATCGTCTTGCCCTGCTTGCCATCTGGCTCCGATTCCCCGAGCCGCTCTCATTGCGCTTTGTGACAGGATCTCCTTGCCGAACTCTGGTTCTCTGCTCGCTACAAGCGTTGTCGCCTGTTTCTGGTATCGTGCGCGCTTCGCCCGCTCACAGGATGCCCATTACGATGGGCGACCAGGGCGCGAACCGTGTGACGCCGTCGATGCTCCCATCGCCACCAATGTCGACCGCCTGGGGACAGTCCGGCGGCAACATTTGGGCGACGGCGCCCTTGGGTGGCCTGCATTCCGTCAGCATGGCCGAACCCAACCCGCAGGCCAGATACTATGCTCCTGCTCCTGTTGATGAACCGCAGCCCGCCTTCGGAGATGCTCCCATGCAGCCATCGCAAGGAGGATTCTATCCGCCTCGCCAGCACCCTGCTCATCAGCACGCCGCGCCCATGTTGTCCTTCAGGGAGCAAGCAGAGCCCGCCCAGCCGGCGCCTGTGCGCGTCATGATCCAGCGCCTTTCCCCCACAACCTCGGCGGCCGAAATTCGCATAATGCTCGTCTTTTCTCAGGAGCTGCTCAGCGTTGAACTCCTCGGTCCTGACTACTCTGAGGCTGAGCCCACCTGCTCAGCCCTGCTGCTCTTTCGAAGCATGAATGGTGCGTCCGAAGCCCGTAACAAGTTGGACGGCCGCCCGAATCCGAACGGCCATGGCACCATGAGTGTCAGCATTCTGCCCTCTCCAGCCTACGGTACACCAGCCTACGGCTCGCCAGACTACGGGTCGCCGACGCGCGCGTCATCCGCTGTGCCAAACGGCGCGCATAATGGCTATGCCGACTTCTCGTACGTCAACCATGATCCGCAGCCGCCTCACAGTAACGGGGTTGTGTCACCGACCGCCAACGCCGGCCTTTTCTACCCTGGCCCTGCCTCTGCCCCTGGCCCGGCTTCTGCTCCTCATCACCAGGACCTCGCCGCCCCAAACACTCAGGCCGGTAGCCGCTACAAGGAGATATTCAACCGGCAGTCCCCGAATGGCAACTATCTTCCCAACGAGATGCCTGGCCGGCTTGGAAAGCACCTCATCAATGCTGAACTCGGCGACGAGGATGACCGGGAGCTCCTTAGGGACTCCGTCGCCTACGGCAACAGGGGCACTCCGGTCCAACGGAGAGACGCTACCATCACCCCTCCCGACTCCGTCAGCCAGGCTATGGCAAGCCTGTCTCTCGAGCCGAACATCGCTATGAAGCCGGGAACGATGCCGGCGTATGTCGCAGGTCTGCCTTCCGTCATTGGCGTCAACGACATCTATCTGCGACTCCAACAGCACGTCGCGCGACAGCAAGATCAGCTCCATCAGCAACAGCATCATCAGCCCGACAAGCGATCCTCCAGACACACAGGGAGGCACCAGCAAGCGCAGTACGGAGCGGCCAATTATCCCCCGGCAAACCCTGCGGATCAGAACCCTCCCTGCAATACTCTCTACGTCGGCAACCTGCCCATGGACGCGTGCGAAGATGAGCTCAAAGTCCTCTTTTCCTTGACTAGGGGCTACAAGAGGATGTGCTTCAGAATCAAGCACAACGGGCCCATGTGCTTTGTCGAGTATGAAGACATTGCCCACGCCACCAAGGCGCTTACTACGCTGTATGGATTCTCGCTGCACAACAGCGTCAAGGGCGGCATCCGCTTGAGCTTCTCCAAGAACCCGCTTGGTGTTCGCTCGGCCTCGTCGCAGGCTCCCCATGGGAATCTGTATCCCAGCGGCGGCATACGCACGCCCACCGCCAATGGCTTCGCGGCGGCCAGCGGCCCTCCTCCCGGCCTGCCTCGCCCCCCCGGCCTCGGCTCCCGATCTCAATCCACCTTCAGCGCCGGCAGTCGCGCCAGCAGTGCCATGGGGCCTGTTATGAATGGCAATGCGCACGGCAACAGGAATGGCAGTGTCAATGGCCACAGGAATGGCACTGTCAGTGGCGGTGTGTCTGAAGCCGGCTCTAGCTATTCCCAGAGAGCACCGTACTATAGAAACGGCATGAGCAGCATGGGCGGCATGAACGGCATGAACGGCATGAACGGCATGAACGGCATGAACGGCTTGAACGGCATGAATGGCCTGAACGGCATGAACAATCTGAACAACATGAACGGCATGAGCATGACAAAGCCTCACACGCCTGTTATCTAGAATGAGAGATGCTCTTTACGTCTCCCCCTTACTTCCTTTGTCTTTCTTCCGTCGTTGTTTTCTTCTCTCCCACCACTACTTCTTCCTCATCTCTGCTTTTGATTTTCGGGCTTCTTCCAAGGTATCGGGGCATCTTTGGGAACACAACGATAAAGTTCACCTAGCATCAGGGTTACGGACAGAACAGGGCGCAACGGCTTTCTCTTCCTTTGGGGTGGTACTTTTCCTTACGTGATTCCCTTCTCTATCGGCATATACCATTTGGGCTCTTTTTGTCGCATCTCGTCCCCACCTATCGACTACGGCTTCTTTCTCATCTTCGCATAGACAGATGGGGCAAGAGAAGGGGCGGGCACCGGCGTTGGCTTCATGGTTTGGTCTATGATACCTTTTGATTTCTTGATCTATTTCTCCTTGATTCCCCCCGACACGCTCCTGGATGAGAAGAAGCGAAAACCAACCCTGGTTCGAGTGCCTGCAATCCACAGTATTCGACTCCTTTCGCGTGGCGATATACTTGCTTTTGGAGAATGGCCACAAAAAAGACAAAAAGAGAAAAGGACAAAAAAAGAAAAAAAAGGCTTCTCAGCGCCTCTTGTTTTGCTTTCTTCTACGCACTTGAAACGAAAAGGAAAAGGAGAGGGAAAAAAAGAATAACAGACGGGGGGCGTCATTGATTTTTATTCATCAGCGCGGTGCGTTTTGGTTGAAATTACGGGACATTTTCCCTTGGCATGGCTTCAACTTTATCCTTGTATCTTTCTCGACATTGTTATAGTATCCTTTGGGGTACTTTTCTCGCCACATTTTTCTCTTGTCTCTAACTTTATCTTTTTGTCTCTTCAATGGATGATCAGGATGACTGGTCATGCATGACTGGTCAGGTATGATTTTGCTTCCTCTTCTTTTCTTCTACAGCCTCAGCCGCATCTTCCTTGATAGAAGCGTCCACAGCATGCAAATGCTCCAATACCACAATCTCTCCCCTTCTTCGTCGTTCTGCAAGCGGAGTTATTGCTTACGCTGTTGTGGTGGTGATCTCAGGGGGGTGTGCGAGGGCGAAGGGAACTGCTTCGTGAGACTGTTCGACAATGGATACCTCGACTGGTCTCATTGGCGGTTTCCCTATTTCCTTTTCGTCCTCTTGATGCCGGTGTCGGGTTTCTCCATTTTCCCCCTTCTTCTTCTTCTTTTCTTCTTTTCTTTTTCTTCTTCCCTTGATGTATGTATGAATGGGATGGCTGCTTCTCTTGATGACTTGGCATGGACAACGGAGTATCAAGGCTGGAGAATGGAGCAAACCCTGTTGAACTTACTTTTAATGTGTTTTTTTTACCCCCCTCCGTGTGCTCCCTTTTTTACGTACAATTGTTCTTTTCTTTTGCCTTTCCATTTTCATTCCTCTTCTTCTTTGTCAACTTTTTGGAGGAGGGGTTGGTGAAGGATAGGGGTAGTTGTAGGAAAATATGGAAACACATTTTTTCTGTGATACGTCATCGGGCTTTTGGGTGCTGGGAGGAAAAAGATGCATTTTCTACGGGCAGCGTTTACGACGGAGCACGTGGCCATCACGGGAAGTTACATGTATAGGAGTCGTCCAGCGTGGGAGGTTTACGTCTTCTCTCTTTTTTTCTTAGGTCCTCTGTATGAGGTAGTTATTTGTCAATTGAGCGCCGTCAGTTCTACCTTACATTTGGGCTGCCGTCTCCGTGTCTCCGCTCACTTGCTCTTCCTCTCCTTGTTCATTTTCGGTAACAATGCTAAGCCATGAAGACTCAGCGGTAAACCAAAACTTTGCGTAGCCTCTCATGGGAAAGCATCTCCATTTCTCGCCATTGCTAGCCTCACCTAGGACAAGGGCTTTAGATCTACCCTCGTGCTCGTGCTCCTGGCCCGGGCCCTGCTGGAACTCGACCCGCGCTTTGTAGAGCATCTGGGTACGGCTCCAGCGGGCTCGGTGACCCTCCATCTGGATGCACAGAGAGCTCGGCCCGTCGACTCTCTCTGCCGGGTCAACCTGGAGCCGGCACTGCCCAATGGCCCGTGATCCTCCATTCAGGTAGTGGAACAGGATGCCTTTGCAGTATCCCGTACCCCGGTCCCGGAAGACGACGGTCGACGCGACGTCCTCCAGCGGCGCCCAGGAGAAGTATACTTCCTCAAGGTCGGAGATGGGGCTGGGCTGGAACTTGTCCAAGGGGAACTTGTCTGGCAAGCGTTCTGTGTATGGTGTCGAGGCTCCGCAGTATGTGCCAACCAGCTCAACTCGGGGCGTCGCGCCGCCCCGTTTCGGCTCGCCATATATGAAGGTGAGAGAGGCACCGCTGCCCTGGCACTGTCCGGTAGGATAACTCCCGTGAGGCCCTATGATGACGTCTCCAGCCTTATCCGACTGCACCAGGATACAGGCCGGCAGAGTTTCCATGGGGCGTACGCCAAGGATAGTCAAGCGGTCGCCCTTTGAGATGGGTAGATAGAGCCATGACGTGTCTTGCTGGAGCCCGCGGGACATCTGGTCATACGTGGACTGGGCCGATGAGCCTTCCAGGTAGTGAATATGGATGTCACATAGACGACCCCGGCTGTAGAAGAAGGTTATGCCTCGCATGCTGTCTGATTCGACGGCAAATAGTCGTGACCAGGTAGTCGAGGCAGAGCCGAAGAGACGACACGACGACAGTAGGGGAGGAGTAGGAGTGTTCCATATATGGGGGACCGGCCCATCCGCGGGTAGTTGGAGGCGCATTTGGCCATGCTGCAGAAAGAATGATGAGACGAGACGAAATGATTGAATTGGAGACAAGAAGGGGAAAGCACATACCGCAAGCTCCGCTCGAACGTGGCGAAGGGTTTCATCGTTGACGGAGGCAACAATGTACGCCGTATGCGTATGACCTCCTCGCAAGTACGCGGGCTGACCAGAGAGGCGCTCGACGCATCTGATGCCGTCCGAATCCAGCGTCAGCCTCACGACAGGAGGCAAGGCCTGCAACTGGCTCGTGACGAGCTCGCCGCCTCGCTCCCAGCTGAGGATCTCCCGCAGCCACATGATCTGCGGCTGCCTCGGATCATCCCTCATGCTGGCGAGACACTCGGCCAGCCGCCACGCTGCTATGCCGCGCCAGAGCAACGCATCCGCTGAACGCTGGAGGATCATGTCTGCCAGCTCGACCGGCAGCGCGGACAGCTGCGGCAGGCCGAGGTGCTTGGCGACCACATCGAGCCGCGGCTTGTCAACATTGCGCGGGAGAAGCAGCGGCCGGGCTCCTCTCCAAGGCTTCCGCCACGATGCCACCTCCAAGAGCCGCCGCAGAAGGAGCTGAGTGTCCTTCAAGCGACACCTAGCCGTCAGAATCTCGTAGCAGTCCTGGTGCAGCGCGACTGCTTCCGACGAGGTGGCGCAGGCAGAGCACTCCCGATATTCATAGCAGAAGCTCGTCTCGGGGGTGATGCGGGAGAGGACAAGAGAGGCCATCAGATCTCGATGGGAGAGCTTGAAGGGCGGCGAGCAGTCCCACACAGCATTGTGGCTAGTAGTGGTGGTCATGCTGGTGGAGTCGAGGGCGAGAGTGGTGGTGGTGGTTATCGTGATGATGGTGGTCCGATAGACTGGACAGTATCAGCTAAAGGCTCTTGATATGTTATCAAGGAAAGGACGTACCAGCCACAGCTGTATCGTCCCATTTCAAGCCGCCTGTGCAGATGCCGCACTGAGGCGTGAGCTTGAGATGTATACCGCCGCTCATGATGGCTCGAACAGACAGAAAGAGTTATCGAGGGAATGTCAGTATGAGGGCAGTTCAACTGCAAGGAGAGCGTATCAAGGCTGTTGATAGTTGATTTGTGATTGATAGGTGAAGTGAAGGCTAGAGAATAAAGGACAGTAGAAAGAGAGAGGGAGAGACAGAGGCAAGAGGGAGGGCGAATGGTTGCCTTTTTATCTTGCCCTGCTCATGACTCTGTTGTAGAGGAAATTGTGGCGGACCTCGCGTAACAAATTCTTGACAGAAGCTGCTCGGGAGCTTCCACGGAAGGTTAAAAAAAAGCTTAAAGTCGTTCCTGCCTCATCAGGAACAAGCAGTAGCCGAGGCGTCGATCAGCGCAAACCATCCTGCTCGCTTCCTTCCCTGCCTAGTACCTATCAATACTAGGTAGGTGCCTCATTGGGGCGTTGCTTCCCCCCTTTTACCTGTTGCGGACATGGCCGTTCGCCATCTCTTCGGCTGGCTTGAGTAAGTTGGCGAGGCATCCGGGCGACGCAAGCAGCTCAGTTTCGTATCATTGGCTACCTGTAGTAGGTTCTGACTACTCTGATACTTCATTCGGCAACAGCGGAAGTTGTTTCCAAGGAGCCACTCGGTTCCCTTGGGAGACAAGGAGGCGGCAATGATCGAAGCCGACCTGCTGTCACTGAGATTGTCAAACTCAAAGTGGAAAAGGATGGAAAGTTTAAACTCGTGATATTGTAACCTTGTTGACGAGTCCATTTGCTGCTATCTGCCAAGCGATACTTGTCACCTGCCATACAGTAAGGTAATCATACAGTAAGGTAATTGAATTACCTTACTGATGTTATCCAGCACCGGCTCCCCATGACGCGTTCCTCATACAACGAGGGTTGCAAAGAGTAGAGTTGATCCCCCCTCGGCCTCCTTCCAACGCTTCCAATATCACTCTCACGTGGAGCTTGTGATAACCCTTCCTTGTCTTCATCTTCCTCCTGAGTGTGTGGGTTTGCCCTAGACGTTCTTTCGTGCATCGGTCAAGTAAAAATGGATATGGTAAAACCTCCCAAAAACGCCATTACCCTGTGCCCGGCTTATGCCACCTCTATCACCTCCTGTTTCCGTGTGAAAAGAAAGGCATATTATACAGTATATATGCGAATGAGACTTTTCAGCTGCTGCTTCCACTTTGTGCAAGTGCGCAAGAGTGAGATGTCCCCTTTCTCCTTCAACTCCTCTCATCCTCTGGGGAAGAATAGACCCCCGATTTTTGGTTTTGATTCGGTGTTATCGGCCCTTTTGACCATGCTGGTAATGCATTTTTAAGCGCCATTACCGCTAGTTCCATCGCAGATTTAGGCTGGTGTATGGAAGAAGCGCAGGATGACTTCGTACATGGCAAACATCATTGCCGCGCTGGGAACGGTGCGCATCAGGTGAGGCGTCAGACCACCGTAAAGGCCCATGAGGCCCTCTTCCTTCCAGACGAGCTTGAAGCACTGTATCAGGCCAGTGTACTTGGGCTTGCCGTCTCCCATGGGAGCCTGTCGCAGACGGGTTCGCGCAACCTGTTAAGAGATGGTCAATAGCCGTCTCAGAGGACACAGACAAAAAAAGCAGGCAAGTTCATGCACAACTCACCTCGTGAGGATAGGCAATGACGGCAGCAACCAGCTTTGCGCCTCCGGCAGCGCCGCCGTTGCCCGTGACATCCACCACCTTGTCCCACCACGTCTTTTCCCTTCCGCTGGCCTGGATCGCCGTCTCTCTTCGGACCAGGTAGGCCTTGAGCTGCTCGTACAGCATCCACTGCATCGTCGACTCGACCACGCCCAGATAGCTCGCGCTCATGCCCTTGTACAGGCCCCTGACGCCTTCGTCCCGCACGACCTGCTTGACGCAGTCCCAGCTGTTGCGGTACAGCCGCTTTGCCGCGCCCCCGCTGCGCTCCGCGACATTCTTATCCAGCTGCAGTCTCGTCTTGACCATCCAGATCGGGTTCGTCGCCGTGCTCGTGGCCACGCCGGCTGTGACACCTGCCATGAGATGCACCCACGGCGCCTCCTCGCCCCCGTTCCAGTACTCGGCCATGAGCCGCTTGCCGTTCCCGTACACGTAAAAGTTGATGCTCCTGGCGGGGATGACACCCACCAGGTTGGGTCCCAGGCCCTTGAACAAGGCACGAGGTCCCTCGGTGCGGTAGACCGAGCCCAGAATCTGCAGCGTCTCCGTGAGGTGGTACATGGCGCTGCGCACCGGATTCAACCTCCGCAGTGCCTGCGCCTGTGCTTCTCTGGATGCGCGGATCTGCGCCTGGTAAAAGTCGGACTGCAGCCTCGTCTTCAGAACGTCGAGCGGCGCCGTGACTGCCGCAGCGGTCATGCCGCCAATTCTAGAGAGAAACGAACACAGTCAGCTATCTTTCTCTTTCTCGCTTTACAATGCTCCATCTGCCTTTGACTCTCTTCTTCGCGCTTCTCTTCCTGCTCTCTTTTTTCTCTTCTGCGCAAGGGAAAAGGATAACCTACCCGCCAGCCATGAAATGCACCCACGACTTCGCAAACGGCAAAGCCTTAACCTGCCCCCTCGGACTGTCGTCAGGAAGCACGTCGCCCGTTTCCCTCGACTGCACCAGCGCCGCATGTTCGGCCGAAGGGTGAGAGTGCTGGAACGGCCGTCCATCGTCTCGCCGGGCCAGATACGGAGCCACCGCCGCAGGGCCCTGCTGCGCCATCGCCCGGTTCTCTTCTTCCAAGATTTCTTTTGCTGTCTTTTTTCCCTTCGGCTTCGTGTTCCCCTTTGTTTTTTGCTTTGCTTCCCAAAGTATAGTCCTTCCTCTTCCTTCTTTAGACAGGTATCAGTCGGTTGCTGTCGATAGATGGCAGTGGCGTGTACGTCGGCCTGCGCAGGTAGGTTACAAAGGTGTGACAGGAAAGAAAAGAGTTAAGAGGATGGATGGGTATAATAGAGCAGGCTGTAAATGATTAGCCCTAGTTAATAATCAAGGGCGTTTTAACAGTGATTGTGGGCTAAAAGGGAGCAGTTTGTTGGGAGAGGGAAGAGAGAAGTTTTGAGACAAGACGAAGAATGATGCGTTTATTGCCTCTTTAACTTTTTTTTTCTGCCGATGCTAGGCCTTCTTTATCCTCTCATGTTTTACCGATTTGTTTTGTTTTAGCTCAGCCGATGTGGCGCGCTTTTGCAGCCAGAGCGGCTTCCGAAGTTACTCCAAGTGGCCAACCCCGACGGCACGTTCCTTTAAAGTCGTCATTAACCACGACATTGCTCTTGGCACTACCTACGTCCTACCTACCTAGGCTACCTTAGGTACCTAGATGAAAGTTATCAAAAATTGAACAATCGTGCACGTTGATCAAACAACAGAATACTTATTTGAATGGGAGAGAGGATTAAAATCAAATATAAATTTCAGTAAAAACTTATTGGCTCGCTATCGAAATCCGCCACTGTTTAATAAAATCCCGAGCAGTTATCCGGAGAAAATATTTCATCATCCATCCCCACCCAAGTACCGTATTGTATTCCATGCAATCCCAGAATCCATCCTTTAACCCTTTTCCGTATCCCACCCAGCTCATGGACGTGGCAAACATACCGAATCGTCACAAATCATCACAATGCTAACCCTCCCTGAACTGCCGCCCTGATCCACTACCGGCCTCACCTTGGGGCCAGATCCGGCAGCATCCCAAATGGCCGTGGCTCGTAGTCAGGAGGCGACAAGATGGAAGCGAGCTGCCCCGTCCGCGGAGGGTTCCGAGGCCCGGTAGGCGCTGGCTCGATCCTGGTCAGCCGGGCCGTAGGCAGCAGCCTTCGAGGCGGCTCGGGAGCAGCGGCCGGCGCGAGGGGAGCGAGAGGAGCAAGCGGCGGTGCCATCATCAGTGGCGGCGCCGCCGCTGGGTCGGGCAGGGGCCGATGTGCCGCAGGTCCCATGTCCACCGCGCCGTATATTCCCGGCATGCTGGGTCCCGCCTCACAAGGCCGGGGGACGCCGCCGGCATCGTGCTGCTGTCGTGCTGCTGCTGCTGCCGCCGCCGCCGCAGCCGCCGCCCTCTGTGCCTCGCGGTGCATCTCTTCCAGCTCGTGCTTCAGAGTTGCGGCTTCGGCGTCAGTGACGTTCCTCCAGTTGCACCTCGCGTGCTTCTTGGTGCAGCCCCGACACGCCGTCAGATGCTTGACGCACTGCAGGCGGAGGCGCCGGCATCGGTCGCAGGGGGGGAATATGATATCGCCCTTGTTGAGCGTGTCTGTCTTCTGCAGCACGAGGGGCCTATGCACCTCCGTGGCCGGGTCGCCAGGAAGCACCACTTGGCTGAGGGCAATGGTCGCAATGGACCTCGAATTGGACGTCGGAGTCAAGGCTGGCGCTGTGGATGACGAACTAGCAGCTGACGTCGAGAGGGGGGCTGGTACCGGCGCCGATGGGGATCCCGCGGCCGAGGGTGCCGTCGAAGCCGCACAGCATGTGCCCGAGGGTGGATGATACGGCGGTGCTTCCAAGCTTGGCGGTGCTTCTAGGCTCGGCGGTGCCAGCGGACTCTGGCTAGCAACCGACGTGGCCTGTGGCTGATAACCCGGAGGCGGCCCTGGTGGCGGGCTGTTTTGCATCGCGGCCATGGTAAACTGCTGGAGAAGGTCTGCATGGATATCGAACTGCGAGCTGCCGGGTCTGGGCATGACGGGGCGCGGTGGGTGGTTGATAGCATGGAAGCTGGAGCTGGAGCTGGAGCTGGAGCTTGAGCTTGAGCTTGAGCTTGAGCTTGAACTTCCATTATGCAGCTGTTGCCGCCGAGCAACGTCCTGCCTGCGGAGCTCGAGTCTCTGGTGCAAGGCGTGAGCCCTCGCCGCAACCTCGTCTGCCCTCCTATGCAGCAGCAAGGCCCTCTGTTCGAGTATCTCGAGCGTCGCCAGCTCGGCCGCCTCGTCCTCTTCAAACGTGTGCTCCAGCGGGAATCTGTCTAGTGCTCCGGAAGATATCAGGCGCCAGTCATCCTCGGTGATCTCAACCTGCAACCCCTGGTACATGAATTGACAGCAACGTGCACCGTTGGGCAAGGGGACGAGAGAGAACGCGTCCGGGCTCGCCTTGGCAAATGTGACCACGTCCAACCACGTGACTTGCTGGGCGTAGGGATTGGGCGAGTTGATGTTGATCGGACCTTCGAAAAACCTCTCAAGGCCGCGTAGGAACCGGGGACCTGTCAGCTTGGCCCCGAGATTGGCTGCAAGACTTTCGCTGCGGTCCATGACGCCTACATGCAGAGTACACTATATCAGTATAGTCCTTACAAAACCCACCCAGGGCATCCGTAGAAACAAGGCTCGCTGATGGGCAACATACCTTCGTATTCATCAATGAGGTAGACGATGTCGCTGAAGGTGTCTACATCGCCCGGCAGGAAGGCCAAAAGTTGGGAGTTGTTCCTTGGCCTAAAGTTGATGATGGATCCGGGGGCCGCTGGGATATATTAGCATCGAGGCCACTTCGAGGAATAGAGGGGAGGAGAAGAATATGGCCGCTTCAAAGAACAAACATACATGAAGAGAGGCCAGGCGAGGGCTGGCGCTGGCGGTAATGCGCAAGCTGGCCGCCGTCATCCTCAACACTCCGTTTCCGCTTGTGGGGCTCGGGACCCGGCGCGTGTGACATGGTGGGTTATCGCTTCTTCGGGGCTCGGCAGACGGCGGAGGTGGAGAGAGAGCGGAGACTTGAAAAAGATGAGATCTACCAGGCAGGGAGAGACTGGCACGACGCAAGAGGCGCAAGGCGGATGGTTCAAGGGAGGACGAGAGAAATGTCCGTTCGGGGGGTCAAGCTTTTAGACGAATAGAAGACAAGGCAAGACCAACTCCAAGGCAAATTGGCCAGGAGCAGCAACCAGAACTTGCTGTGAACGAGCTCAGGCAAGGGAACAGTGACGGGCCAAGTTCATCAAAGGCCAGAATGAACAGCGGTCAAACAGAACAGCGCCTCCTTGTCCTTCGCTGGGATGACGATGGGATGAGTAAATCGAAAAGACAGAGACGGCGGAAGTGTCCTGGTTTTGTAGCAGAAGGGGCCCGGATCCTTGGACGAGCAGAAGGACCATCAGATGCGGCGTGGCAGCAGCTTGTCGGATGGAATGCCCGTTCAGCCAGATGACAGTGGGTCTATCGGCGGGCGGCGACTGGGGAGGGGGCGTCCGTCGAAGAAAATAGTATAAGGGCAGGCTCCTTTTTTGGCATCATGCACGTCTGGTAGCCACAAGTAGGTGGTAGGTAGCGGTAGGTAGTGTGCGGAAGCCAGGAATACCTTGGTTGGCTACTTGCAAGCGGAAGGATTCGATGGCCGGCATGAACCAGACGAGGTAGTATCTGAGATTTGTACCTAGACGAGTTGCCAAGGCATGCCTTAGTGCCTATCAGTCGAGGAGTACCCGAATAGGTCGTGGGATTCTCCGTGCTCTGTGCCTACTCCGTACATCCCAGCAGTTCCAGTCGATACCAGACGACGCACTCGTGCAAGCGAAGTTGGGAGCGGAAGCACCTATTCAGTCGTTCAGGCAATCGTAGATGGGTGATCCCCACAGATCGGTCTGCCGTCCGGCCGGTCTCCAGGCCGGCTCACTTGTACTTGTGCCTCGGGCAAGATGTGCACTAGCATGAGGCATGCGGTGCAGCAGGCATCATGTAAGTGTCGACAAAATGGTCTAGGTGCATACAAGCGGCACAGCTTCTTGGGCAAGAGGGGGAGAGGGGTGTAATTAGCCAAGATGGCGAGAATGCCATCGCAGACAAGGGGGACATGGGAAAGGTGGCTTGCGGTGCTGGCCAAAGAAATAAGACAAGAGGCTAGAGATGCACAATGTATTGCATTGCCGTGGTTTGAGGTGGATGGAGAAGGCGGAGGGGAAGAGGCAACCCTTAGCATCAAGTCCCCTCTTGGTTGATATGGATCGAGATATTGATCTTGATGCTACCATTCAGAAAGAGAGTGGAGCAGCAGTACGTCTTAGGACTCGGGCTTGGTGCCTAGTATCAACAGAGCATATTTCTCCCGACTCGGCAGCTGAGACACGGGGACGATGGATGATGATGGTGATGATGATGATGAAGAAGAAGAAGAAGAAGAAGAAGAAGAAGAAAAAGAAAAAGATTTTCCGGGAGAAAGCACAGGGGTGGGAACGGAGAGGCGGAGGGGAAAAGGGGGACGACTGGCCTGTCTCTCGCGATGAGCAGAGCATGGCAAAAGGCAAGACATGGCAATGGTAAGGCCTGACGGGGCCTCGGTGGTGTCGCAGCACGGGTGGCAGGGTCTGGCAGGTCGGGTCTGGCAGTGGGCTTCCTGACATGGGGTTAATTGGCAGGGGCGGGCTTCGATCAGAGAGGCCAGCTTGGCCGGTCAATGCAATGTGAAAGCAGCGGCTTCAGATAAGATGTCGCTCGGGGTTGTGCTTGTGCTTGTATGTAATAGTTAGGTACCGTACTTCGCACGAGGCAACTGGAAGTTGGGCAGGGAGATAGTTCATACCTGCTGCAGCTGAAGCATGGGGCCCTGACTTGAGCGCGAGCAGCGAGCTGTCGTTGGTCCATCAGGCCCGGCTCAGTTCGCCGTTCTGTTCAGCAGGAAGACGGGGTAGGTACACTAGACGTGCTGCGGGACTGGTTCGAACACTCCTTGGGCCGGGAGCCGGGCCATGAGCGGTTGAGGCAGACATGGGTTGGTGCCAGAGTCGCAGTGGTGGTACTCGTAGTGCTACCCTAGGTAAGGTAGTTACCGGTAGTAGTGGTAGGTAGTATGTATTGAGAAGACCACCCAGTAATTCAAATCAGAGACGGCAAGAAATTGAGCCCTGGACTCGGAATAGCCTGTTTCTGCAAATGCTGCCGGGTCCAAGACAGGCGAGTCGACAAGGCGCCATGCGCTGGGGGAGTTTGCGTTTTGTTCGATTGCACATCAGCAAGGGCATCCTGGCCTCGTAAGGATTCGGGGACACACACACACACACACACACACACACACACACACACACACACACACACACACACACATACACCAAGATAGAAGCCCTCGCATACCTAAACATAGCCATTTGTAGGGTCCATCTTATCGGGTGATCGCTTGATTGTTGCATTGCCCTCAGCGGTTTCTTTCCGCTGTCTTGGTGCCTGGTCCATGGAGAATCATGTGTTAGAAACGAACCAGAACGCAAGTGGCAGTCTGGAGAAGATTGGCTTGCTTACTGTACAGGTACAAGCACCTTTGCGGCGTGCGCCAAAGCAGAAAATAGGGGGGTGCATGGCGCGCACTTGTCACATACTCTTTCTCACCGGATTGAAGCTGCTACCTGGTAGAAACTCCATGCTTGTAGGCGGTGGGCACCGCTAGGCCGTTACATCGCAAGACACCACCAACCAACGACCGACGTGGCTTCATCCGCAGCGTGTGCTCGCGTGCATGTTTGTATGTACAATACCATATCAACCATCATCGTTAACGGCGTAACTGCTACTCCGCAAACGCCGTCTCCTGGTGGTGCTCCCCAACGGCGAAGGCAGCCCAAGCCTTAACGTTAAGTGCCGGCTAGAGCATGGCAAGGAATGATCGTCAAGCGGACCGGGCGGCCCTGCTGTGCCCCCCAGAGCTCCATTCGATTCCCGCAGCGGGCGCGTGTACGGCAATCCGGTTCCCTGTCTGCAAGTCAGCGAGGCCCTCAAAAGCGCTTGACTTGTACATCGCTAGTAGGTACATGTTGAACCAAGCTCCTCGACTTCGTACTCGAGGCGATTTGCCGTGCCTCGACACATATGCCTGAATACTCTCTTATCATAGTAGTAGATCCAGTTCCACAGCAATGGGCCGGTTATTTGCATCTCTTAGCAGCAGTGCAGGTTGATGTCGACGAAACCGAACACGTCAGGCCCGAATTTGACAACAGCAGAGCAAGTGTGTGTGCCAGATACTTCGGCCACAGGGTGGAGGAGCAGCGTCTGGGACGACAACTGCTAGGAATACCTTGTACAAGCAATAGCGTACCGAGGAGGCAACCTTTAACAAAAGCCCGAGGTGGGAGAGAATCCATCCATGTAATGGTTCCCTGAGGTGTGCATTCGAGTAGGTGCGTCTTGCATTTTGGGTATACTGGCATCACCCATGCAATAGCAAGGAGGCGACGTTCGTCTAGTGTGGCAGCAGCGACAGTTTCGCCCACACAATTTTTTCATATTGAGTGAGGTGTTGGTTGATCTTTGCGTGGATAGGTTGAGAGTCAGGTTGAAGGCCGACAACTCGCAAGGAGCCTGGGAAGCATGAGTACGTTGGGAGATGCACCACTTCAGGCTGGCTGGCAGGCACCAGTATGTCCGGCAGCAAGTCCTTGACGTTGGCACTCAACGCTGGTGGTTGTCTGCATATCTGCACATCTGCGCTCTGGTGCCCGTACGGCATCGCCACGCACCAGCAACAGAGGAAAGGCGACGAGATCGCGCATGCGGCATTGTGTCGAGGCCTGACAAGACGAGTGTGTGAGCAAGACAGGGAATCGAGATCCAAGAGCCCAGCTCGGATGGACGCCAATTGGTTGCTGTGTTGCCGACAGCCAGCGCCATGGAGCCCCCTCCGAAGGGCCTGCATCTCGACTCCATCCCGGTCTCAGCGTACTCGCCGAACCCAACCCCATCGCAGGGTCGAGGATAGTCCAACAGGGCAGAGCGGGACAGTGCAGCATGACAGAGGACAACAGCCATGCAAACACATGCCGCCCCTTTCATTGCCCAACAGTGGCAGGCTCCGTCCTTGTTTCCGCTCTGTCACGCCGCCGTATCCGCACCCCTCCTCCCTCGTCCTTCTCTTCAAGTGCCTTCAAGTCCCTGCCTCGCGCACGCCCTCCATCTGGCTCGGATGGCAGCCGTATCGTTGGAACCTCACAGCCCAATCTGTCCCGCTACCTGAGCTCCGCAGATCGTTGGGTTCCGCGCCACTGCGAGAAGAGGGGATTTCGAGGGTTTTCGCCGTTGTCCCTGGACATGGGGAGACCGGGATGCATGGGTCGAGCGCTGTGGCGCCCGCTGCTGCTGCTGCCAGTGGCATAGCGGAACAGCTTTGTAAGGCAGAAGACGGAATATGTACTTGTAACACTCGAGATGGCATGACGGGCATGACGGGCAGGACGGGAAGGGTGAGGGCGGCATTGGGGCGCCATGCTCGTGCAGGACCTTGTGCAGCACGCGAGGAACGACGGTGGGCAAACAAGAGGCACATTCTGCTGTAGTGCTGCTTGCGGATGACTCCTTTCCCTCGATCTTATTGATTCAGACTGCCAACGGCGGTGTTGCAAGCTGCAGCTCAGCTGGAAGTGAGTAAGTAAAGTAAGGTAGGTAGTAAGTGAGGGAAGGTGTAAGACGCTCATGAAATTCCCATGTCTTGTCCCTCGTAGCTTCCCAGTCTACCTGGTCCGGGATTCGGCTCTTGCAGAGAAGGAAGGTTGTGCGGCCGCGGCTGCTGCAGCTTGTCGACCGAAATCTGGCGCACGGGTACTTGTAAGCTCGGGCATTGGAAGAGGAAAGGGAAGGAGCTCCCCCTTTTGATTTCCTTGGGCCCTTCAACCATCGCATCGCTTGGATCTATTTTCTTCCAGCCTCTGAGAGGATTTTGATGACGACGGTACTGCCTCAATACAATAATTCAGTTAGTGAGATACCTTGCCTAGAGTGCCCCTTATCATCCACCAAGGATTGGGATCCCTCAGGTAATGCTACTAGGCCACCGCCTATGGCGTGAGGCAACACTGAGGACCTGACCAATCGCTATTTTCCCACGTGTTCGCGAGATTACTACCCAGTAGGTTCAAGACAAGTTGAGAGCAAGGTACTATTATAACAGCAATAGCAGGGGGCGTCATTTTGGCCCGTCCCGTCAACTTCCCAGCTTTGCCGTTCTGCCTGATCGTAGCGAGGAACATCGCAACTGCAACCACATGCCGTTAGCAGCCAACAGCTCTTGAGCATATCACCTCAAAGCTTACTGCTCCCTCACACTCTGATGAGGGCTATAACGCAGCTGGGAACCATCTTAGCAGTAGCTTCGGTAACTCGAGCTCTGAATCTCACCACGGCATCGATGGTGCGGGCAAGACTCCCACATCCCGTCTCTATGATGCATGGCCAGCTACTATTACGCGCTCTGATGAATTGTATCGTGATTCGAGGACCGGAAAATCCAATGCGGAGATATGCAGGTATGTAGTATGCATTACCCACGCCACCAGCTCCAGGATACTGAACCTAATCCCCATGTCAGCTAAGAGAGTTACGTAGTAGGAGTAGGAGTAAGAGGCCGATGAAAAGATCCTAGCACGGAAATTTTAAGGTGTGTCAACCTGTAGCCATTATCTGCCATGTTACCACAACTTGGACGTGGCTCAAAGGATCCTGGCCCTTCGGAAGCTTGCCTGCAACAACTCTATCGGAAGATAACCGCCCCGTAATGCGACATGTCCACCTGATTCCTGGCGAAAGGGCTTTGGAAGCTGCCATTGGCTGCAGTTCTTTGTCAAGATGGGACATTCATCAGTCAATCAGGCTTTTGCAGAGTGCCCGCCGCCTGACGCTATACCTACCTACGGAATACATACAAGACCTGGTAGCATCACAGCTGCATGTACAAGACAAGACCCCAGCTTAGTACAGTACCTACATATTACCTTACTAGAGTATTAGATATCGCCAGGTAGGAGTTGTAGCAGGTAGGCATGGTAAGGTAGGTAAGATATGGATCAGGTGCTGGGTTGGTGGCTTTCATGCAGAGTTGATTGAACGACTTCCTATCGCTTCTGCTTGCATGTGACCGTACTTCGACTACTTTCTGTGAATTTCATGCCTTAGCCGATGCTACGTGTCCAAACCATCTTACAGTCGACTCCAAAACCGGCTGCACTTCAGAGGTACTGGAAAACGAAGTGAGGACAAACCGTTCAAACCCATGGGGATCTCTCTTGAAGGCATGAGCTTGAAGGCATGAGCTTCAATAACTGTGCGAGCGAAGTACGTAGCCGTACTTGGTCATTTTCCCCCCTTGCCTTTTCTTTTCTTTCTTTCTTTCTTTTTTTTCTAATCATCCAGAAGAAGGAGGGCACTGCAATGCATTCTTACTTACGTCCAGGTTGGGCTGCTCCGAGCTTGTTGCATCTCTTCCATATGTCTGTAAGTGTAATAGGGTTGCTTCACACAACCGGAGGACGGGTCCATGCTACTGCTCCGTCTCTATCATGTCTCCTTCTTCTGCCGAGAATGAACGGTAAAAAGAGCCGGATCCTCTTAGATGCGTTGGGTAATGCTCCAACCCAGCCGTATAATGCCCATCATTGCCGTTCTCACTACCTACATCTGCAAGTGACTGGTACCTTGCACGCAAACTGGACCTTGGACATTCATGCTTTTCACGCACCTTCGAGCTAAGAGAAGCATCGGCTCCGCTCTGAATGAGAAAAGAAGGGAAATATCTAGTCTAGAGGATGAGAATGACATGCTTGCCGGCCTCAAGCTTCACGTCCTTGTCCCTTATTAGCGGCCTGCTTCCCAAATCTCGCCCTAGTCCTAAACGGGCACAACCCCTCCGCCCACTTGTTTCCTCTTCCAAAATCCCACGCCGTCATGCATCCGATACCTCAACGCAGCTTCACCCAAAGCACAAGCTTCATGCCCACCTGAGCAAACGAGACAGCGCTCGACAACACCACCAGCCTCCACCCCAAGCGAGACAACGCAGACGAGCAGCAGCAGGCCAATGCGCAGCGGCCATCATGTCCGATAGACCTTCGCACAGAGGCGGCCGCGGCGGCGACCGAGGTGCCCATCGAGGCAGGGGAGGAGCAGCTGGCGGCCGCGGAGGCTCGTCCAACGCCCAGGGCGAGCGGCCCAAGAAGGAGAACATCCTGGACCTGGCCAAGTACATGGACAAGGAGATTATTGTCAAATTCAACGGCGGCCGTGAAGGTAGAAATCGCCCCCATGCACAGAGGGAGAGAAGATGGATGGATGGAGACATTGGTGGAGAGATATGATGGCAGCGGGAGTGGTACCATGGCAGGAAAACCGACCTTGGCTGACGAACTTCTTTGACACGCAGTCCGCGGCACCCTGAAGGGCTACGACGCCCTCATGAACCTGGTCCTCGACCAAGTCCAGGAAACACTCCGAGGTCAGCACCCACCCCTGCCTGCCCTCTTTTCAACTCACGAGTCTCTTCTAACCCACGGCAGACGACGAAGGAAACGAGTCATCTCGGCCCCTTGGCCTCGTTGTCGTCCGAGGCACGCTCCTCGTCCTCATCAGCCCCGCCGACGGCAGCGAAGAGATCGCCAATCCTTTTGCCCAGCCTGAAGAGGATTAAACAGGGCGGAATATCATTGATTTAAGAATAAATGGACACTTGGAGTGCAAGAATTCGACGCAACTATTTTGGAAAGGTTACAAGGTGACATTGGAGGCGAAAAAGAAGAAGAAATCCACGATCTACGATGGTAAAAAGGGCAGGATCAGGCCGGGCCTCTATTCGGCCCTATCTGTTCCTCTTGCAAGAAAACGGGATACAGCAGACTATTGGAAGTCAATGCTGTACGGCGTATTCACGACTGGTGATTATAGATTTGGCAATGGACACGGCTCTCATCCTCAAGACATGAGAGAAAGCATTGAGATGGGCGCTGGCATCAACCCGAGCTAGAGGCGCGCTTTTGAGATTTGAGATACATTTACGAAGTGTCTATGGAAGGAAATCACACAATATGTCACATCTTGGTCACGAAGGTGAGAAGAGCAATGTCTGAGCCTACTCTACTGCATGCCAGGATTTAGTTACTTGCAGTCCGGGTATTTTGAGGTTCGCAGCACCCGGCAACTCAACAGGACATATCTTCTCCCCCCTGGGGCTTCGCCAACATGTAATTCGGGCTTCCAAATTCAACCTCAAGGCGTGATTCGGGACACATGGTGAATCAAGATGCAAGTTGATTGAGAATAAGTATGTATATAGGTTTTTTTTAAGGGCGCTACCTACTAGAGTATGTATACGCGGATGACTTCTGTCTTCGCTTCTTCCTCCGGTTGACTCCATCTCCCTCACCCTCACATCGTCTTCTATCCTCCCATTCCTTCTCACATCATCCAAAAATCCAGACAAAACAAAAGGAGCAAAACATTACGGAAACATTCTCCAGCACCGGCGCAGATGGCTGCATTACTGCAGGTCCGGTTCTGCCAATATCGCACAAGCCCATCAACTCTTTTGCCCATTGTCTCCCACAGAGCCCTTGCTGCTTCTTCATTTTCTTTGCTTTTCGTCTCTTTGCTTTACTTCACCACAATTAGGCTTGCCGGACACCGTCGATGGGTTGTTTCTCGTCTCTTCTTCTGCCGCGTTCTTTCCGCCTCTCTTGCGCCGTGGCTGGGCTCCCTCCCCTAGAAGCTTCTGCCTGGCTTGGCGGCCTTCATCAATTCGTTGAAAGCGCTGAGCAGCTGCTTCTTGAGCTCCTTGTAGGTGACAACAAAGTTGGTCTGCTCGTCTCTGCTGGTCAGGCAGACTCTCTCGTCAATGCCAGCGTCAAGCTTGTTGAGGCAGCGTATCATGTGTCCCATGTCAATGACGGGGTTTCCAGCGCTGTCCACCTGGTGGAATACATAGTCTCTAAAGAGCTTCAGCATATATCGCTCCCCATTCTCTGACCAAGCTCTGTCGTTTTCGAACTCTTGTCGTTCGTTAATGGTGCCAAGCTTCATCAGAAGCCTGGCAATCCGCCCGTTCTCCAGTTCACGGAACAGCTCAGAGTTGAGGGTGTCCGCTCTATGCTGGCTCTGGTCGAAAGCCGTCACAATGTGGGTTGCTATCCCTTGAATAAACTCATCAATCGATTTGTGAGGAGCGGGCGGCGTGAGCAGCCACGTAATGGTATCCCTCATTTCCGGAGAGTAGGTCCGGTTCATCTGTTCCATGGCCGCGCTCACGTTGGTGAGCTGCTGGGAGGGCGTGTTGGTGGCGAGGCAGAGCATGGTCCGGCCAAACTGCTGCAGATCGTCTTGCTGCAGGTCTTGGATTGGTCGTCTGATTTCAAAGTGAACCACGTCCAGCACAGAGCATGCGCTGAGGCGAATCCGGTTCTTGTCCGTCAGGATGATCTTGCTAGGGTCGAGACAGCGCGCTGCTAGGTTGTTGCTGTGGATCGACTTGAGGCCGCTGGCAATCTGGGTAATGTAACCCCATAGAACCGACTCGGCAATGGGCGCCTTGGGCTGGAAACGGCCGCCGCCTGCGTGCGCCGCATTGGGCGCGAGGTGTACCTCAGCCAGCGTCTTCGAGAGTGGATGGTAGTCCTGCACGAGGATGAGGGAGCTATCTCCAAACGCTCGAGTGGTGAAAGCATCGTGGATCCTGACCACGTTGGCATTTTCAACCCGCTTCCACTCCTTGACGGATCGGATGGCATGCTCGTTGGTCAGGCGAAACCCCTCCAATCTGCGCAGGCAGTAAAGGTTACCATTCTTGGTTGATGTGGCCTTGTACACCCAGCTGGGGTATCCAAAGGTGTTTGCATTCTTGCGGTGTGTCGTGTCCAGAGCCACCAGGGAATGGTAGCTGTCCAGCTGGGGCAGTTGGGAATTGGGCATCACCTGCATGGCCGCTTCCGACTTCTTTTGCAGCTCCTCCCGCAACTTTTCGGGTACGAAGAAGTCGTGAGTGAGACGGTGGTATGGCATCAAGTCTTCTCGGTATGGCCCTATCGGGGCGTAGAGGTGATGCTGCAATGGTTGCAATGGCGCCGCAAAGGCATTTTGGGGTGGGAAATATGTCGATGGCGCGCCGGTCATGGCACTATGATCCTCAGCATAGGGATTGAATGGAGTGGTAGCCAAGCTTTGGCTTGGCATGTTGAATACATCGTAGCCGACGGATCCATCTTGCGATGTACCGTTTGCTGGCGTAGTCTGTATGGACGTTAATGGAATTTGCATCGTGACAAGAAGCGAAGAAACGTACGGTGGAGGAACTGAGGTCGAAGCCTGGTGTAAATTCCCGGATAGTGGCAGGATTGAATACTTGTGCGTCCGAATCCGGCAGGGTAGATGGTGTGGCGGCTGTACGTGGTAGGCGGTCAATATCAAGCAGACTTGAAGTGAGCGTATGCCAGGCTCTCTTACCTCCTAAGCCGCGAGGAGTAAAAGACGGGGCGGTAACAGCTTGCGAGGAAAAGGTAGGTTTCTTGGTGGTTGAGGTGGTGGTTTGGAGAGTCGAAGGTGTGAAGGATGGCGACTCGACATTGAGCGCCTTCTTCGAGCTATAGCGGGAGAAGCCTGGTTAGCTACATGCACATTATGTGAATCAAGAAGCAGACAGTATCGGATATTGACATCGATCAAGGTGAGCACGGTGAAACGGCGCCGGGTATGTGCGTTTGTGTAACAGCTTCTGCCGAGCTGAAGGTGATGGATGGGCTTGCTGTTGCTCTTTTGCGCTGTGAGGGACGGAAATCGGAACCTACCTGTCTTGCTGGTGCGAGTTCGAGTTCCCCTTGTTCGGGTCGTGCGAGAAGGCACACCCTTGCTCTTGATAGCGGCAATGGCCGTATATCACGACATTTCGGCAGAGTGTATCTTTGGTGTCTGCAGCGCCCTCAAATTAGCCAGGACCGGTCTGGCGATGCCTTTGCGATCTGCCGGAAAACCCACCTCGCGTCTTGGGCCTTGGAGAGCCGACCTGGCGCCGCATCTCGGCGGTCTGATATCGCGATGTCGCCATTTTTGATCAAGTGTAACTCCAGAAGAGAGTATCGGTGCCGTCCCCAGGGCCGGAATTACGACTTCTAGTGGTGGGATCAGCTTGCGATTCTAGCTTCGCAGAGAGCGCAGTAACGGCGAGAACGAGTCGGTGACTGGATATCGAGTGCGGTGGGATCGAGTACGAGACAGATTGCGAGCAAGAGCGAGAGTAGAGCGATAGAGAGACAGGTAGAGCGGAAACTGGGAGAATGGAGGGAGAAAAGCAAGGACGGAGGACGCGGACGGGGAGGAATATGTATTTAGGTAGGTCGGGACAAGGAAGGTTCGAGGCGGCTTGGGCTGGTTGGTTTGTTTATCAACATACTGGATGGCGACAATCGTCTCCCATGGCTCAATTGATCGGGGCGGCGTCGCGCCCATGGACGAAGGTTAAAGCAAACTCTACGCCCGGCTGGGACAGAAAGGGCTGGAAGCGAGAAGTTGGTGACGAACAGCCGCGCCTCAGTCGCCGGTGATCGAGTTGGTGTCTCTGGACGAGTGGGGAGAGCGCCGCCATCTTGGAACTATGGCGGACGTCAGACGGCGCTGCTAGCCGAAGTTCCGCCGAGATAGGAGCCCGAGAGACATGCTAGTACTTGGCCGGCAAGGCTGGCAAACGCCAACTTCAGAGTTCTACGTGACCAGCATGTGTGATGAGGCTGGACATTCACAATCATTCATCTCCTTGGAGTTTTTGCATTGTAAAAAAAGGGCAGGACGCTGAAAGTTTGAGTTTGGACGGCGTTTGGAGGCTTTGATCTCTTCTTTTCCCTCCACACCTTACTCTCTTCGAAATGGAGGCTTGCAGGTCGCCGGGCAACACAGCCACGTTGATGAAGCAGGCGATATATACTTTGCAAGTGGCTTTGAGTCGGGACTGTATTGATAGAGTATATGCCTAACGAAGGAATCGAGCTTTGTCTGTTGAATATGACACTTGAATCATTCAAAGATGGAACTTGGACGGCGAATGGATCTGATAACATGAAGGCTGGAGACAGGCAATTAGGTAATCAACGTCTGCAATACAGGAGCTAGGCCTGGCGCCTCTGCGTAAAGTTCAGAGTGAATAGTGAGGCATGGAACAAACTAAGGAGACAAAATAAGTCAAAGGACACCTACGAAGACGAAGAGAGAATATTACGAATATTTCCAGCAGCCTCACTGCTGGAAACGATCAACGCTACCAGCCCTGTGTACGTTCAGGTGCTGGAGTGCTCTAATATCCAGTACGGCGGTTCGCTGGGCTCCGCTACGGCGATGAGGTAATGCAGCCTGACGCACCTGCAGGCACTGGAGTGACAGGCTTGATAAGCCCGCTACTGCTTGCTCGGCAGCTCCCATGGGGCAGTGATCCGGTGGATTCCTTGTCGACATCGCATATGTTACCTTACCCCAAGCTCGCTGCATCTCCATCTGACCAACGCCTGCTGAACATCACCACAAATTCACCAATCCATCCTTCTCTTCTTTCTTTTTTTTTCTCTCACCAAGCAGAAGAAGAAATTACATAAAAGATAGTACATGATCATTTTGAAGCCATCCATTGCCCCATAGCTCCTCGTCTGCGTTTGTCGACCG